AATCCCGTGACATAGTGGTATTAACATTCCCCGAGCAAGATTGCACCCATATCCGTGGGCTTACATTTTTCTCCAGTAAACGCTGCCGAAGATATTGCCGGATAAAAGAGATGGCGTATACGGAAGCGCCATACACGTTCAAATAGAATGCTCCAATATGAACCCTCCGCCCGAAGGAGTCGATAAAACCTCCTGGAGGCTATTTCTCACACGGCAACACGAAAATGCACATTTCGCCCTGGCACAGGTGCCCATTTATCACACAAAGCCGTACTCACCCTTTAACCAGGCCCGATGTAAACGTAATACCGATGGAGTGGCCTCTCTCGCCGCGGAATAGAGTTACCGAGCCCGAACTCGATATCCCGGGTGTTCCCTCGCGAGCTTTTTCACACGTTCATGTCGTAAAAAAGCGACTCCGAATTTGGGAAGGAAGTTAAGCCTTACTCTTCCGCAAGGTTCCTCCCAGAAACCGCGGCCGTCATCTTGGATCGCGCCTCCGAGTTCTTTCTCGCGCTCGCGGTTTGAATTTCCGGTCCTAAGCCCGCCATTTCCGGTCCTCTGTTCTTGGGGCCCACCGGAAGCCTCGGCATGCCCTTTTTGCCGAAATTCCGACAAAACTGCCCTAAAAATTGCATTAATAAATAATCTCTCCGAGGCGGACCGACCTGCGATTCGCCCGTAGGGTCATACATCGTCATCGTGGAATAATTTAAAGTCATATATAAAAAGTATAAATAAAAACCAGGAGATTTTTACATTGAACCCGGTCCTGATGTCTCTAAAACCCTTTCTAATCCGTTCCTAGAAAATTAGCCGAATATGCGTTTTCGCCAATTTCGCGGCGATCGACCTGCCACCCTCATCGTTAAATAATGGACTTTTTTTTTAATGTTCTCAAATTAATTAACTCGTGGGTACGTGGGCATCTCGAATAGAGATAAAATATGCCGTAGAATGGTCCCGGAATGCCGGTAAATTGACCGATATGTCTTTTATTTCCTTCTGGATGGAACTTGGTGCATTCCAGGACCGAAAAAGGGAATTCCTCGAGGGGAGTCCCTTAAAGCTTAAGAGCGCCGATTAAAGCGGGCCTTTTTACGCGAAATTCGTGCCGCACTTGGCGCCGTTTAGTGTAGTTTTACGAGGCCCTTGTGACGTATATATGGCTCGGTGACATTATTCGGCCCCTTTAGACGAGCCCGAGAGACCTTCCGTCCTGGCCGGCTGACATTCCGTCAGACCGAGTCGACGACCCTCCCCATTGGCCACCCACCACCCCTTTCCGTTCGATCGCCGGTCAAGCGAGGCTCTACTCCAATGTAAACGCGATATCCTGAAAAAAATGAAAATCCTCATCGAAGCCTGTACATTTCCACTACTCCAATGTAAACGCGATATCCTGAAAAAAAATGAAAATCCTCATCGAAGCCTGTACATTTCCACTTCCTCCGACCGGCGACATTTTATTCCACTTCACCTAACTGGAGCAAAAAAGAATTCCTCAACGTCTTTCAATTTTTTTCTCTTTCTCTAACGTTTTGCAGCATAAATCAAGAACTCTATCGATTGTCCAATACGAGGGTATTAGTATCGATTTGCGTTGGCTCGGCGTACCCGATTTGCCGGAAATGAAAAATCGGGGGAAAAATGTGGAAAACCGAGCGAGAGGCCGGATCGATCACGACCGATCGCGCAGCCTCGACTCCGACTCGGATATCCGGAACCGATGATTTCCCTTTTTTTTTTCTTTTTTCCTCTTTTTTACTGCGAGAACATTTGTCAACGCGACACCGCGGTCGGGAAATTTTCAGACCGCGGGATTTCATTCGGCGATATCAAAGGGGGGGGAAAAAAAATTAATCAAGCCCGGATTTCGCGTTGTCAGGGCGGAGGCTCTCGGACTTTTGCGAAAGAAATTCCCGAGTTAAATTCGAGATAACGTCGGATGATAAAAATCCGGAAAAAGAACACGAGGGAATTTAGAGACCGATCACGCGATCGTTGGTGCCGGCTCGGATTTCAGGAACCGACAATTTCCCCTTCTCGCTTTCGATAACGCCTATCGTTACGATATCGCCGGCTCGAAGATTGGAAAGGGCACGATAACCTGGAAGGAAAAATAATTCCTCGGTCGTTCGCCCGCAAGGGACAACCACTGACTTTCGCGACATTGAGCTTGGCTCGGAAAATAATAAAATAAAGAATTGGCGAAAGACAGGCGAGCGGGTTTTACGGGTCGATCGCGCGAGTATAAATATCCAATCTCCACGATTTTTCACGTCGACCTGAATATACCGTTCTACGTGACACCATTATCGCGAAAACCCACAATCGCCCAATTTTGACAAAATTACAAAAACTCCAATTTTCACAGGATTCCACCGGATCCTAAACTCGCGTTCGCCAAGGCGTCCCGGCCTTCATTTCCGACACTAATTAAAAACATTGCGCTGTCAAAAAAAAAAAAAAAGAAAAACCCAGGCGAATCACCAGATCGTGTCCAGATCGCGGAAAAATGTCCACCGGTACAGATAACCAGCTCCCACGATTTCCAGGACCTCCCCCCTTAATTTCAGGCATAAAAAAAGAAACCCCCCCAAAAACCCAGGTTACCGATCTCTCAGCCATTCGCACAGTAACAACGATCTCTACTAAATTTCCATCGCGTCCACTCGAGTGGTCATTCCACCCGATCGCACATCACCCGAACCGCACAATTTCCTAACGATAAATCGAGAAAAAAAGAGCGAAAATCGCGTTTTGCCGGAGAATCTCGCTGGATTCACGGCTTCTAAAAAATCGGCTGAGGAATGAAGAAAAGGGTGGGGGGGGGGGGTCCGAAAAATGCGGGGAAAAAAGCGGAAGAAAAAGGACGGGCTCGTCACCGGATCGATCGGGCCCGATCGCGCCTCGATTCGGCGTCGGTTCGTCGCGTCCGTCCGTCGTGTATCCGTGTCGACGGGGTCGTTCGGCGTCGCGGCGCTCACACCGGCTCACTGAGCCAAGGTGGGCGAAACCGACGCCCGGCCGGACGGCCGCTTTTGGTGGCGCAAGCGCGACCAGTTAACGCTCAGGACTTTCCTAGGTCGGGCCGCCTCTCGGGAGAGCCTGGCCGCGCGGGTTCCCACGGGAGACCGTGGCGTCCCGCGGGACTCCCTAGGCCGGTCTGCCGGTCTCTCCCGGTCTCTCGCGCGAGAGAGAACGGCCGTCCGGCCGAGCCCGGTCCAGGGCCGAAAGTATCCCGCGCCGGCAGACCTTCGCCGAAGCCGACGTCGGGCAGGCTTGGTCGCAGGCGGGTGCGCGCGCACCCTCGCCTCAGGGTTGCCACCTCCTAGGGGATTCGGCCCGCGCATGCCGCGCAGCTGGCGCGCGCAGACCGGCGAATATTCGAAACTTTTTAATCGCACCTCTTCGCATCCCGATCCATCCCCTGCCAGGTCGCCAAGAAAACGGAAATTCGGGTCGAGGGATGAGAGAAACGCTGGGGCGAGATTATTAATTATATTAAAAACAAGAAATAATTATATGTATACATTGTCGTTTGAATTATGTATAATTGCAAGGAAAATTATATCCTTGATTCTAACGCACTCCTCCTCTTTACTCTTACGTAAAAGGGGGTAAATTATCCTCCCTGAAGTGTGGGAGTTTTTCTATTTATTCGATAGTTGGTATTATTAGGTTTATTGGTTTCTATTGTTGCGTTTGTTTCGTACAGTGTTCAATGTCGCTTGATTGAGGAGGGTTTCCGATTGTATTCTCATCGCGTTTAGGATCCTGGGGATTTTGCAGTTCGGATAGTTTTTAATCGAGTTGTTTATTGTTTTTTTCCCCCGACGTTGTTGGAGAGCCACTTTCCGGATGGAGAGGCGCACGGGACTGTTACTTTTAATTCGGAACTTTTCAAACTTTTTAATTGCGTCCTTTACCCGGATTGGGTCCGTTTGTTTATCTTTGCAATGGATTTACTCGTTTCGCGGGGAGGCGCTCTCTCTCTCTTTTTTTTAATTAGTTTTGGCTGCGTCGATTGTAAGTTTGTCCGTCTCCTCGTTGTCTGAGTAAATCCAATCGGGAATAGAAACAAGGGGTACGAGAGTTTTCAATCGAGTGGTTTCTCGACATTTTCACAAAGCCACTTCTTAGACTTAAAAATTCGCAACGTACATATTTTCTTCCGTTTACCATTTAACCCCCCAGAAATAATATAATCTGTGGAAAGAATCCACATTTTGGGCAGTTTCTCCTAGGTTCCCTCGAGCTTTTCAAAGTTTCCAGGAAAGGCCTTCACGGTACATAAACCGGGATTATCCAGGGTCGCCATTACCAGGAAAACTAATTTCAAAAACAGACAGTCATGACTCACCGTTAGGTCGGAATATCCGCGATCATCGGTCCATCGTGAACAACCACCTATCGAGACATACATAATCGATAAAACAATCGCCGAAGAATAACTCGAAACAACCGAATCTCCTAATCAAATTCCAGTACGTACGTGAAAAGTCCAGAAAAGTAAATGTAGGAAAACTCCGGTTATCTCCTACTCGAGATGCGCGAACTCTGCGCGAGAAGAAAGTGGGGTGCTAACCGAGGCACCTGATTGGTCGACTCTCGGCGCATGCGCGTCGTTCACCTCGATAGTGGGGGTCGCTCTCTCCCAGCGACACGGAAAACCGGCAGTGTTAACATGGCCGTCCGAACGCGAGGAGTAGCCCGTCTCCTCCCACCGACGGCTTCGGTAAAATCGTTGGCGTAATTCAGGAGAAAAAAGAACACGGCCTCTCCTCGACGGAAGCCGTCAGGGCGCGAAAACATGGCGGCGAGTGGGGGTAACACGGAGGGCGTCGATTGGTCGAGGGTCGGCGCGCGCGCATCGAGTTCGCCAAGGACCGTGTAGGTAATCACGGTGCGCCGCGCATGCGCAGGTCCCGCCGCTCGGCGATGGGAGAGCGTCGCGCGTCGATGGTGGGGGGCGCTCTCTCGCGGCGGCTCGGAAAAGCGCCAGTGTCAATATGGCCGCCGAGGCAAGTGTACTTTGTGGAGTGACGCGCTCGCGGTAGTGCCTTGGGCACGGTTACTCGGCTCGCGCGGCGTCATGAACCTCGTATAAGTTCCTCGGGCCGCGCCGGGCCACTCTGGGATTCCACTCGTGCACCGATGTGCGCCCGCCTCGCCGCCAAGATGGGATCCACCATCGGGGTCTCCCCCACGGACGCCTTTTCCAAGACGCCGCAAGGTACGTTGCTAACCACCCGAGTCGATCCGCGTCCCCAGCGTGTCCGCGGGCACGCATCTAACCTAGAAACCGCGACGCCCTCGAGCCTTCTCGACGGCTTTTCGACTCTTACTGCAGCGACGACGGAAAAGTGATCAGGTTATGTAAGTCGAAAGTGCAGCGAGTCCGCGATTTTCTCCCTGAAATGTGGATAAATTCTCGCTTTGATGCCTCCTCACTTAGCCGAAGATGCTCAGCTCCTGGTGATTCCCGAAGAAGAGGGATTTCAAGCCGATTACTTGGAATGTGAGAGGAAGATCTGTGTCTTGTAACAAGAGTCATGGAGTGACACGCCGACTCACATGGGGCACTGAAAAGAAATGATTTAAATGAATGAGAATGATGGATGTGTCGGAGTTACATTGGTGCATTTGGGCGTGAAAGCCCATATATGATGTTTCCAGACTGAATCCTGGATTTATCTTCGGCTTTGCATGATGTCTTAGAAGAAATCGCCATGGCAACAAGCCTTGTTCGGTGCTTGAATTATACTAGCATGACGCGACCTTGAAGAGGCATGGTACTCGTTGCTTAGTAATGCCTGTATTACGTAAATTAATCGAGGGGATAACTGGATCCGTGCTGGAGCGATCAGGGTTAAGAAATCATGTCTCGGATGTTTTCTATGTGTGCAGCAAAGTTCATTGACCGATTCTCCTGTGCAGCACCGTGTCGGTGCACCCTTAGCATCGCAAAAAAATCCTCAGACTGCTACTGAGTGTCCATAAATGGCTACTGGACAGTGAAAGAAAACACTGGCATCCTTCCCTCGGGTGCATTCGTTTCCCCAGTTAATTGTCCCTGTACGGTGCGTAATTGATGTTCCCTATCCGTGACATAATTGTATCTCTGGCCCGAGCACTCTTGTGCAGCGCTAATTAAATTGCAGGTAATCCCTTTAAACGGCTCCCCGAGTTGGAATTTTTCATGCGGCTCCCATGGAGGGCCCGTTTTGCCCGCGCCGCTGATAAAATGGGGTTGCGAATCCAGAGAAGATAAAGGGCTAGAACGAGGCGCGCGAATTGTCCGGAAAACAGGAAAAATCGGAAAGCGGGAGCTGATTAAAAAGCGCGCACCCCAGGATAATCCCACCATTATGTGAGAGTGATTTTATTAACGTTGACTATGGCCTTTTCAGGGATGGTTCTCTTTCCGGAGCTGGGAGAGGCCGAGAAGGAGAGGAGGAGGCACAGATTGGCGACAATTCCGGGGCCATAAATCTAGAGAGAATTTGCACGCGGGTTCAGGGTCGCTTTCTCCCAAATGACGGGCCCTTCCTTTTCTCCCCGGACCCTGGAAAAGGGAAAAAGGGCCTCGACACCTGCGGGTCGGCAGATGTTGGAATGGTCAGGGTCGCCGAAAATCCCGATCCTCCTTTGGGAGGTTTCCACGAGCCGGTTTTTCCAAAGGACTTCTCGCTGCGCCTCGAAGATCCGACCGAAGACGAGCAGGACGATGAAAGGACCTACCTCCGTTTCAATTTACGAACCCTTGGAAGGATGACGGCACTTAGCGAGGATCGCTTTCGGAGAGCTTTTATAAAATGCTCCTTTTAATTGGACGGACAATTAGGCGGCCGGATCTGGCCTGGCTCGCTTAAAAAATCCGCGGGTTTATTTAACCTTTCTGAATGGAGTGCGAGAAGAATGCCACCGAAAGGAGACAACGGTGAATTAAATGCGGCGAAAATCTCGGATATTATGCCGCAAGATGCATTACGATTCCGCGCAGAGACCGAAACTACACGTAAACTCTCATATCTCGTTATCTATGGAACACGTAATGTCAAGGACGGGCTTGATTACCCGATTTGCGGAAATTACGAACGTTCTCCTTCTTCACTTAAGACCGTCCAGACCGAGATGCAAGGTTCATATTTTTAACCTGCTTATTGTCAAACGGCTCGTTCTATTATTTCGCATGGAGAACTACTGAGGAACTCGCAAAGGAGATAGCCACTAAGACGAAGGAAGCGGCAAATTAAGAAGGAAAAAAATGTGGAGCACAAAGCCGCCCGATAAGGCGGCCGAGCGAAAGTGAAACCGAAGCACACCGGTTCTCATTTGTGCCAATCAATAATGGAGACTTGGAATAAATTCGTATATCTCGTTATCCAGGAGCAAGTAACATAAAAGCCCAAAAAGGCTACGCGGATTACAGAGATTTCCACTATTCTCTTTTATTTTTTTATTTTTCCCCAAATTCATTTCGGGGTGAACGAATCTCACCGGTGCAGCCACATTTTTTTTTTCGTCTTATTGTACTTATTTTTAGATCCCCTGATTGGGAAATGTGGACGAGCGAGGAGACCTCCATTAAGCCGATAAGAGCCATGAATTAAGGACTTAAAAAATATAGACTACAATGCCGAGCGATAAAACGACCGAGAGCAAAACCGAGATGCACCGGTTCTCGTTTGCGCCGATCAGGGGCGGGACTCGAAATAAATTCACGTATCTCGTGATCCAAGAGCAAGTAACGCCAAGGCAGGACCCGTTACGGGCATCCTCTTTTTTTTTTTTTTTCTCTCCCTCTATCCGCACTCGATTTGGACCAAACAAGCCGCAGAGATGCGATCCAGTATATATTATTTTTTCCTGCCTATTGTTAAGCCGGCCCGTAAAAGGCTACGCCGCAAAGTTTCGCAGGATTTAAAGCACCCTCGCTCGTAACGAGGCTTCATTTCCCCTTATCGCCTCCACCTTTAATTAGCGGCAGTAGTAATAATAATATTTAGCAATCGACATTGAAAACGCGAGGGGGTGTTCTTGGAGTGAGAGGGAAAGCGTCTCGATCAATAATTAATGAACCCTGGTAATGAGGTTTTTTTTATGGAAACATGTTCAAGATCTGACCCGATACGGTGAAATAATTTTTCAAGATAATTTCTGTTCTTTCTTTATCTTTTTAATTCCTTACTGCGGAAGTGGTCAAGGTCGAAAGCTCTAAATTTACTACTTAAACTACCTTAACTGACCAAACTCATTTTCCGATAAGCGCTGGGGGGTGATAACAGTAATTTACCGAGCGCCAAACGATACCGTATCGACCGTCTCTGATAAATACCTCAAAACATGTACCTAATTATGTAAACACGTACCGCTGATAAACAATTTACCTAGAAAATTCGAAATTTACAGTTACACCCGACCGAAAGTGGTCAATTATAATTTTCCAAAGAGAACTCGAGGACATGGCGACAATTAGCTGCGTCAAGGCTTGACCCGAAATTGTTAAATAATTCCAGTAAATAATTACGTTAGAACAACGAGGCTACTTTGCGTGGAAATATCGAAATGAATTATTTTCACAATTTTTCGTGGCTTGATATCTTAAGTCTGGCGTGTTATAATTATGAAAAAAAAAATAATATAAAATTGTATCACTTTGCTTGGCTTGCAGACGTGAAAACAACGCAGGGGGACGAAGAGAAGGCCAACACAGAGGTGGACAAGTCCTCCGCGGTGAATTTATTTCCCTGGATCCCCGAATTCAAGGAAATGTGCCGTGGCTCGTTGGCTCAGCGAAGTATGACCTCCCTTGTACAGCTCATGAAGCATTACTCGAGGTAAACAAACTTATTCGACGTCCGCTTTCCTACTTTCCTCGTGCTCGCCGTTTCTCTCTCTTTCTCCCTCTACTCTCTAGCTTTGAATCTTCTCTCTTTTGGGCCCTCCACCGCATTCCACCAGTAACAGTTGTCTGAGCACTGGTCAGCAGAACAGTGAAACGATTATTGGATCATTCGGTGTCTCGACGTTACATAAAAATTACGTCCCGAGGCGACCACGAGTCGGGGTGCAAGTGCAAGATGCATGTGCACGGAAGATCCTTGGTGCCCTGTCGAGATAAACACTGTCAATTAATTCCTCGCGGCTACCTTACGGATTTACGATGTCTAACAATGGTCGACTCGCGGCATCGCGTTGTCATTGTTGCCCAGTAACAATCGAAATTAATTGTCTCGCCTATTGCCCGCGGAGAACACTTTATGCATGCCCGCGCGTGAGATCCGAATTCTCCGGGAAATTTCTTTCCCTCTGGAAAGATGTACCGAGATATTGGATTTTACTACAAGTAATTAGAATTGTACCGAGTGCTTGTAACGTAGAGAGTTGGACGTTTACGTTGTGTCTCGCCTGATTTCCTCGGCGAATTTAATTCCCCGAGGGAACCGTACTCGTTAATTATTCTCTTGGCTGGAACACTTTGCAGGACACTTATCGTCGATAATCGATTACTCGTACTCGCCGGAGTACCGTTGCATGCAAGTGAGATCCGAATCCTTGGGAGAATCTAGCACGGGAGGACGATCACACGAGAAATAACTTTTTCTTTTTGGTTTTTTTTTCTTTCATTTTTCTTTACTTTTCTTTTCTTCTTATGTCATTCTTGTCATTACAATTGTACACGGGGTGCTTGGTAGACAGTTGGCGGTTCGCGGTTCTCTCGTCTAATTTTCATGGCGAACCAAGTGTACATAGGAAATCCTTGGTACACCGTCGGTACACACCGTTAATTAATCCATTGACCCGAGGCCACTTGGAGAGGCATAATGCCCCGTCGTGTTTCGTGTAATGCGAGGGAGCTTGTACTCACGCGCTTCCTTAATTCCATTTCAGGAAGGTGAGCCCGAGCGTAGGCGAGTGCTCGACCAAGCCGATAAGAGCGGCCAAATTGAAGGAGTCCATTAGCGAGAGTTTACTTTTCTTCCTCTACTACTACCGAGAACTACCCGAGGTGAGTAGCAACGATGATCCTGCGCGGAAAGAGCAGATTTTATTTATAAACAATTTTTTTTTTTTTTTTTCGTCGAGAGAGAATGTATTTCATTAAGTCGTTGTATGGAGGAGGGGAGGACTTTTCACTGACTTTCCCCATTCTCGTTCCAGGTGTGCCAGCGCGACGTTTATTTGGATGTCATGTCTGATCTGCTGGCGATGTTTATGGACATGGAGCTCAAGGCCTCCAGGAGGGGCAAGGAGCACCACGGCAAGATCTCGGCGAGACTCGCCTCGTGCCTCTACATTTACCTCGGTAATGCCCCGACCTTAAACCCTCGCCTATGATAATTGCGAGTCGCGGGAGAAGTACGGTAATCCGTCTGGAAAATTGTTAAGCTTGCGTTTAAACTCCCTTCCCTCCCGCGAGAGTCGCGTTTCCAGGACCTGATGTTTGCCCGGGATGATCGGGAGCACTTAGATGGGACGTTATCTTATTCTCTTCCCTTTTTATAAGTATCGCATCGGGTCGAAGAGGATCGCAATACCTAGTCGCGAAGCTCTAGCCGTATTTAATTTCCCCACCGGTTGCTGACCCTCTTCAATGTTTTGCAGAACATTCCACGGAGCATTTACTCGATACGCTTATAAAGATCCGCTTCATGAGCCGCAGTTACCAGCACATCCTGGACCCGCTAATTGAGTAAGTGTCGCTCCTTATTGGACCCAGACTTGAGATTGTCTCCTGCAGTTAAAAAGTAATGAGATGCGCTTTTCAAAGTTCCCTTTCTCCGTACATTTTATTATTTTTCTTTATTCCTTAAATTATCCTGCTCCGTCTGGTGCTAGACGCGGCGGGGCAGGATCAAAGAAGCTGGATGTAAAATTTAGAGCGAAATTAAGAGTCCTTTCTCCCCTTTCAGGAAGATTCTCAAAAGCGTACCTGCTCATCCGAATTCGGACGTGATGTACATACGCTACCTCCTGGTGTACCGACTCTGGAAGAAGGTGAACAACGACGTTACGAGGAAGAACCTCATCAACGCGGCGGCCATCTCCTCCCTGGGTGAACCGCCGCCGGTCCTTCCGTCGTTTCTAACGAAATACGTACTACCGAAAGTGCCAAATACCGAGGAGAACTCCACCAGGTTCTACCTCCTACACAAGTTCGACGTGGAGGAGTCCTGCAGGCTGTTCGTGAGGTTCTGCGCGAACGGCGGGGAGGACCCCGAGGGACAGGGTGACAAGGACGTGAGCTTTATCCTGCAGGGAACCGAGGCAAGTGGCTTACTCAAGGTAAGAGAGCTGCCACGCTTGTCCGTTGACTTACCGACGTGTTCGTATCTATTTATTTGTTCATCCACTAATCCATTACAGTTCTTAGCGACGCTTCGCGCAGATTTTCAGCCCAGCTTCGTCCGTGACCTCGCTCCCCAGAGCCGCACCTAAATATCCTTGAAGGCTGCCCGAATTCCCTGCGATACGATGACTCGAGGTCCTGGAGCCTACCGAGTAGCCGAAAATCCCAAGGACGCCTTAATTAATGGACATCAGTCTCGCGACCCAGCACTCCAACGAGACCAGGGTGGATTAATTAACGGTGGACCTGGTGGTCGGCTACTCGAGCTTCGGGATCCCCAGGACTTGTCGCCGAAGACTTCGTGTACGGCCTGGTCCTTGTTTAACCGGATCGCTCGTATTTCTTTGCAGACGGCGTCTAGCTGCCAAGATACTCTAAATATTGGAAGTGACTTCGACACGACCGCATCGAATAGTTGTAGGGCGTCGTCGTTAGGCGCGTCGACGGTCGCAGTTTCGGTGAATGAGTCGTCTTCGGGGGGTCCGGTCGGCGCGAAGGGTCGTTCGGTCGACGGGCCCCCGACGAAGCCAGTTCCCACGGGCAAGACCTCGAAGAGGCCCAGACCCCGGAGGAACGGCGACATAGTGTACATAGACTTGACGGCCGACGAGACGGTCGAGAAAGTGATTAAAAATCCGCGGCACAAACGACTGGCCTGGTTAAAGGAGACGAAGAAGGCGGTCATGTTAGCCAGGAAGAAGGAGAAGAGGAAACCGGAGAGCTCGGAGGGTCTGGAGAACGCGACGACCGCGAGCAATCGTCTAGAAGAGGCTACCAGCTCTCGGTTCAACCTCGGCAAGGAAGATTCAACCTCGAAGAGCGAAGCCTGCCTCACCTCGGACTCGGGCGTCGAGGTCGACAAAGTCGAGTCCTTGGACTCCGACACCACGACTGCGGATAGTTTGGGATCCACGAGCGATGAAACGCTACCTAAGGTCGCGCAGGACCCCGCAGACCTCTCCTCGAGGCTAAGCGGCAGCGTCCTGGGGACGACGGAATCCTCCCGGAAGACGCGGGAAAACTCCCTGAGTGCTCTCAATGACATCATGAAGTACTACGACAGTGACAGCGCCGTGGACGCGAGCAGCGACGAATACGGGGATAGGATGAGGAAGACGAAGAGGTGCAACGGAGCCATCTCGAGCGACGTCGGACCTGGAAGAGAAGAAACCCCGGACAGGCACCTGGAAGACAAAAAACATGCGAACCCGAAGAGCGAAGAGGTATCGATACAATCGTACAAACTGAATGCTCGACTGGAGGGAACCGGTGATAAGTCTGATGACGGAGCAAGGATCAGATTAAATGGGACTATCGGGGGCGAAATTAGATCCTGCGAGGAGGTTCCTGGTCAGCTGGCGTGTCGCGTACTTCGTCTGCAAACCGTGGACAAGACGAGGGAGGAGGTGTTGAAACGATCATCCAAACCCAATACCCGTCCACAGGTAGCTGAGAATAAATCCTGGAAGGACGAAGTCAGCTGGAAGTCGCCGAGAAACGCCACCCAGTCGCAATCGGACGGGATGTCCTGCCAGGAGGACCTCGCCAAATCCAAGTACAACGGTGGCGCGCAGGTGGAAGATTGCAAGCCTCGAAAAGACGCGTCCAAGCAGGTGCCGAAAAACGGCACCCTGCTCCAGGTGGCCGACATCACCAGTGCCGGGCCCAAGAGTCCTGGTGGCGTCTCGGAGACGCTTCCCGATACCACCGATAACACCGTTATCGGTTCCGAGACGTCCTGCGAGGTGGACGCGAAAATCACCGGCGACCTTCCGAGTCTATCGAGCAGCGTTCCTCTGGAGAGGGACCATCCCAGGATGTTGGAGAAGACCTTGGTCTCGGACCTCGGGCATGCTTCCTGCTTCGACAGGGGAACTCTGCTCGACGGAGAGATCGCAGTGGCCTCGGAGGTGGTCGTGTCCGAGTCCAAGGTGGAGGATGCCGTCAACTTCCCGGTGGACGGTCCGGAGAGATCAAAGAGGGTCACGCCGAGTCCGGTGGTCTCACTCAAGGTGGAGAACGAGCAGAATGCGATCAACGGGCATAAACTGGGACAAAATGAGAGACGGACTGACTCGACCGACGCGTCCTTCGCGGAGAGACGACCGGAGCCTGGCTCGAGGTCGTCTTCCGGCGAGGTTGCGGTTCAAGGATGCGGTCCACCCAGGTCTGGAGACAGACAAGACCGACGGTCGCACGTCGTGGATCACCAGAAAAGCGCTCTCGTCGCCAGTGGCCCCTGCTCTGGCAGTAACAAGGACTTCAAGGAGGAGAGGACTGGCGAGACGCGGAACCTCTACGCGATCCAGGAGTCCGACTTTCAGGACATCGACGGGCTGACTCTCCTGGCGTGCGTGTCCCAGAGGGTTTCGCACTTGAAGTCAAAAAGTCGGTGCACCTCGAGCAGCGACCTGGTCAAGGAGAAGGCCACCGCGAAGGAGCCGTCCCCGGGTCGCAGCACCGACGACGAGACCGACACGAACGATTCCTCGAACACGGTGGTGCGTCTCTGCAAGGACCCCTCCACGGACATCATCAACAGGATCGTCGGGATCTACCCCGAAAAGGCCCTCGACAAGGTCACGCAACAGGTGGAGGTGACATCGACCGAGGCCGTGGACCCGGACAGCACGCAAAATCATTCTGGCAATCCGGTCCCCCCGGTCTTGGAGGCGTCTTCGAGGTCGGAGAACGATGTCGTCGCCATGGAGGGCGGTAACCACTTCATCTGGGAGAACGCCAACGTGATCTTGAACGGCGAGACGGTGATGCTGTGCCGAAAGTCACCGAATAGCAAGCTCTATATCATCAACAAGGCCGTGGAGAACGGCAGGGCGAGCTGCAACGAGGAGAAGGTCGGGAAGACGCGCAGTGGCGACCGGGACAAGAAGCACAGGCTGGAAAATTGGCCGAAGCGCCCGGAGCCCTCGGAGATGTCGGGCTACCCTAGCCTGGGTCGGGATGTAGCCTTTAATAACTCCATCAAGGTCGAGCCGCAAGAGGAGGCCGCGGAGAGCTGGCACGTCGATGGGAAGTTCACCAGGTGCAAGAGTAAATTCAAGGTCGACGTCAGGCTGGAACACGAGGCGCAGCCGAAGCCGGTGGGGTACGTCGAGGCATCTCACCTGGTCCCGGGCGCGGGGAAGGCAATGCCTTTGGTGGAGAAGCGCCTGATCAGGCGGCAGGACATCAAGCAGGAGTTCCCAGGATGCCAGGCCGACCTGGGTGGTAGGTCGACCTCGAGTCTCGGGGTGCAAACCTGCGGAGCTCTGCACCAGCTCCCTCGAGACCTGGTGGAGCCTCAGCGCCCTGGTTTGCACGTGGGTTCCTCGTCGATGGGTCCCATCTACGGGGCCTATCCTGGAGCTACCGAGCTCTACGTACCCTGTCGCGCAGATCTGGCCTGCGGCTTGCAGGTGACTCCTGGGAGCCCTTGTACCAGGGGCCACTGCACCAACCCGGACTGCACCTACGACCTGGTGGCCCATTGCAGGCAGTACATGCAGTCACCCCCCGAGTCTAGGACCACGTACATAGAGGGGACTCCGTACTTCCTGGCGGGTCCCCCGGACTCCATCGCCCCCGTCCAGGAGTACGAAAGGACCGAGACGACCAACGCCATCGCCAGAATGTACGAGGACGAGCTCCTCCGCGGCATCCAGCACGGTCTCATGGACGAGGTCCCGGTCAAGACCGAGGTGGAGTACCGGAAACTCGTCGACGAGAAGCTCCCCCTTAAGAAGAGGATCAAGGCCCACCAGATCGTGTCCGGCGGGTGTGACGTTAATGCCAGTAACTACCCGAGCACGCCGATGATCTCGATCGCTGTCCTGGAACAGGGGCCGGTGGTCGAGGACGTCGGCGAGGCTTCGAAGACCGGCCTCGAGGCCAAGGAGAACGACGACCCCCCTTTGAGGGTCCTTCGACGCTACTCGGCGTCGGAGATGATCCGCAGGGACTACAGGAAAGGTCACCCGGCGAACGGTCGACACGATTTCCCAGACGACGAGAGGCCCACGAAGAACGGCCAGGTGAACGGCCAGGTGAACGGCCAGGTGAACGGTCAGGTGAACGGCCAGGTGAACGGTCAAGCGAACGGTCAGGTGAACGGGCAACCTGGGACCACCGAGTGCCAACGAATCTTCAAGACCCCCGCCCAGAGGAAGGAACTAACCGTAGACGGAACCTCGTCCCTGAAGAGGATCGCCCCCGCGCCCGTTCTCCAGAGCAAGGCTCGCCCTGACCCCACCTCGCAGCTGCCCCTGCCCCCGAAGAAGCGCAAGGTCTACACCGAGGACAAGCAGACCAGAAGATCGAGGCGAATCATTCCCAGGGTCATGTACAACTACCCCGAGGAAATTGAAAGGGACTCGTGGAGCAGAAGGAGGAGGCGGAGGAGGACCTGCCGATGATCCGCGGCCATCGTCCCCGGGTCGCTCGCCTCCATCTGGACCCTGGGCGCGTCCTGCACCCCGAGTCGAGCGTGACCTGGACCTCTCCTGGAGGCTGCAACCGTCTTCGAGATCTCTGCCTGTAATTATTCAGACCCGGAAGTGGGCATCGCCTGGACCTCTCCCGGAGTCTGCGACCGTCTTCGAGATCTTCGTCGATACCTGTATATAGACATAGAAGATCGAGGAAGATCCGAGAAGCTCGCTCCACATTGAAGAGCTCTTCTCCAGGGACTCTTTAGCTGTGGATCTTCCGGAAGATCCCGCTTTAGTGTCCAGCTCTCCACCGGAAGACTGCCTAGAAGATGATTATATTGAGATTTATTGTCTTCGCCGATATTATTGATATTATTACTGATACTATTATTAGTTGTAGCGACGTTTTATCGATACTATGGGCAACGTTTGTCTCGTGGCCAGGTCGGAATGGACTGGCTCTGGTGGGCCCTCTGGATGAGCTCCGTCTCTCCCTACCTCTGACTTTTTTCTCTCTTTCTCTCTCTCCTGGTTTTTAGCACGCGCTAGCTTCTATTTCTCTCCTCCGACTTTCGGCATGCTCCGTGCACATGGGTACAAATTATAATTAATAATTATCAAAGGGTTGACGAGGCCCCCCATAGCTCCGTTATGGAGCCCCATTGCCCCTGATAGAGCCACCCCAACTTATCTCTTGGGACGCTCGGAGAGAGACTTTTTTTACGGTGATTAGCATACCGTGTATCATATTCGTAAATTTTGCACAGAGATGCATCTCGCGAGTAAAGCCTCGATAGCTGCATCGATCCTGAGGTAAGGACTAGTCGAATTTTCGATTTAACCCGATGTGAAATACGGTTTTTTATACCCTAGTCAACGGGACGAGAGCTCCCCGATACTTCCGTACTTTCTTACATTATTTAATTATACAAGTTAGGTATACATTTTTTTTTTTTTATTCATTCTCAGAGTCAATAGCCTCTGCGGGCGGGATTCCTGCAGAGCGCGAGTAGATTAAGATAGTTTACAGTTCCTGAGGATCTCATATTAAAAGGTACTCCCATTTTGGAGTTTTGTACAGAGCATATATATTTAAAAAAAAAATTTATTTATTTATGTAGTTTTATGCATAAAACATGTTAACGAAGTCCCAGGAACTTCGGTTGGGATTTCCTTCTACCAACGGTGTGTCATTTACCCATTTCTTTATCGGTTCTTCTAGATCTATATCTTGGTCCGATACGTGACATACTGGTAATCGCAAGTCCACCTGTTGGGCGTGAGAAAGTCATGCGTGGATGACCGAGAAGGAATCAGCGACGTGGCAGCAACATCAGCAATGAAGTACCGAGCCATCTCCTTTAGGATGTGAAAGGCAACATTCTCGTAGGTAAGTCGACATTAGTTACCTCTAACACGGTGTATATGCGGTGTAAACCACAAGTAGTCCTGAATTACACACACGGAACCAGGTGGTAACTTAACTGGGTTACAAGCTCGCTTTCATTCTGTTCGCAGATTCCGAAGAATCATCCGTTTAACCTCGAGGAGCGTCCTTACTAGCTCGAGCAAACAATGCCAATAAATCTGCCAAATAGAACCGAAATAGTCATACAGAGTTAGAATTAAATTAGGAAAGGGATGTGGCCAGAGTGTGGTATAGTTTTTTCTCCATTTACACGGCGACGCGTTATGGCGGTTCCCACGCGTTGGGTGAAGTCGACGCTAGCGCCGCCCGCGGCGGAAAGTCTCGCTAGCGAGCGGCAAAATTCGTAACGAGATATTAGCGGATGAGAGATTTGTTAAAGGACTTATTCGAGTCGTTGATAGTGGGCGAAAGGTTATCGAGAGTACCCAGCTCGCCGCGGACATGTAAACGTGCCGGATAAACAGTCATGCGACGTGTAATCACCGTTACAAATTGTTTGATATTGACTTTTCGTTTCAACATAACTAGCAACCCCTGACAAGTTTCTGCGAAAATTTCATGTTTCATGGGTGAGAGTTTTAATTACGTGGTTATTCACCGCGAGTGAAATGGAAAGGAGATTTTAATTTAGTTCGTGTAACGAAATAATGAGGAGGCAAAATTATAAGCGAGGAAATTGGGTGTCTAATTGCAATGCGCACGTTGATATGTATAATTATAATTAAGTAGCAAGTAATAGCGGGTGACGCGGTTTTCCTACTTAATGGATTTTTCTTGTTTTTGTTTAAACAGAGAGTTTATATGCACGTTTGCACGCGTACGCACGAGCTGAGTAAATTCGGGCGCAAATTTGTGCGTGATCGATTGCTGGGGGGGATTGGGTTTTCAGGGGGTTTTCTTCACTTTGTGCTTTTTCCTCGTCGATGTTAGGGAGTTAGAGGAGGTTGGCGAAACTTTTTAATGAAATTGTTAAGGACTAGGCAAGGCAGGGCCGAGATTTTATCGGTACTATCCCAGGGCCGGCCATTGAACGATTTCGTCAAGAGGATGGAACGTCTTCGGCGTCTCGGAAGAAGAAGACGAAGAACGGGTCCACTCGTGGGCCTTACATGCTTATAATCTTTTAACAGTTTTCCCTAGACACCCACACACCGCGTCCTGGGGATACCTGGAGAGTTTTCGCGCTGTAAATACGAAGGGATACCGCCGAGTACTCCGCCGGGACGAAATCGTTCTCAGGACGTGTCTTCGAGATGAAAAGAAATATGGAAAACGAAGACGAAAGGGATGACAATTTAGTACACATTTTATACGCCGTTTAATACGCGCGACGCAGCGAAACGACAAATGCGGACTCGAGATCCGATGCGTACTTTACACCCTATTTATCACGAACGGATATATTTAATTCCCCCGCGACATCGTAAGATTCAAGAAAAATTCCGCAATAACTTTCCTTTGATCTTGTTCTTACTCTCTACGTATAATTATAGTTGCAGTCCGATCGCATTCAAAGAAAAGCTCTGCTTAACATGCGCCGCCCTCGCCAATTCGATATACATACTTGTATAGGGTTCGTTACAGAATACATTACTTTGAGTATGTTACAAGAAAATTTCCCTCGTCTGGGATATAAAGTAGCGTGCCCGCGCCAATTCGGATTCCTCGGTGAATGGATGTCTTCCTGGCAGTCCGGTCGAATGCAAGAAACCTGCCTTTGTAAAAAAAAAAAAAAGAAGATTCAGAGTCCAACCCTGTACATAGTAATCAAAAGTCCAGCCGCGAATTGTAATGGAAACACGGATGATTAACCTAGGGGGTAAAATATGCATCGGGGGTCCACGTATCGCTGGGTCGCGATTCTTCCAAGTACAGAAACCTCGTCGCGTCGAGGGATGCACTTGGCGCGAAACTCAGCCGAGCCAGTCGCGTCTTGGAAATGTCAAAACCACGTGTGGGCGTTAATCTACGCGCCACTTACACTCCACACACAACCACAAATATCGCGAATACGTAATTAAGTATATATAAATATATACATATATATACGAATATATAAATATATATTATAAAAGAGAAGAGCAGTTTTATATACGAACTGTTGTTAATTAGGGTAACGCGCGTCGGCGGGCAATTGTCCCCTAAGGATCGTCGGAATGTATTTTGACTCGTTATCGCACCGATCGAGCAATTTCCGTCGTTCCTATTTTTAATTATTTTTTTATTTTTAATTTTTATATTTCCAACGGGGACGCCTCGTATCCGAGGCGGGAAAAACAAAGTGCCCGAGAGAATGAACTTAAGGCTGTCGAGGAGACCTGCGTTCCTCGCAAACCCAGGATGAATTTTCGCCGGCATAACGGGAGATGGATTCTTTTATTCCGTTTTCTTTTTTCATTTAATTTTTTTTTCCCCCTCCCCGACGTTTTTCGCTAAAACGGAAGAACGGCAAAGCGACCCGGGGAGAGGAGAGCATAGTCGCTCCCTCTGCATGTCGGTCTTTCTTTAGTTGGTTTTATTTTGTATTCTTTATTTTTCATTACCGTTCATTTTCCCTCTTCTCGCTCCATTTTCTTTTATTTTTTGTTTCACCTTAAATCGCCATCGTGCCGCGTTAGCACTTGATTGCCATATCCCCGATATACCTGATCTCGAATCTGTGATGGTTAGCTATGCGGTAGCTAATGCTTTTGTTGTACAAAAAGGTGTCGTACCTTGCTAAATACTCTGTTGACGAGCTTGATCTGCCGTTGCCAAATACGTTAATACGTCTCTCCCCCTCGTCACCTTTAACGGGCACTTTTCATCTCCGCTTTGTGAACGGCGCTTGGAACGAATCTTCTATATCGGCATCTATTTTATATTTTTTCTCCTCGTTAACTTTAATTCATAGGAAAAAAAAATCTACCGACAAAACGAGCGCCCTCGGGTTTAACCAGCGATTACATATTCCAGTATACGGTGAATTATTCGAAAGGCTTGCGTACCGGAAAATCCGCCTTAAATAATCAAGCAACACCGGGGGATGTTCGAGCGACCCCGAATTGAATATTAACAACCCCTTTAAGTCCTAATTTTAATAGTTAATAGTCGCTGCAACATTAATGCGCACCTCAGAGGTGAGGATTTCCCAGTTGTCAAAGATCTCGGATCGGAATTAATTAAGAAATGATAGTTATAAATTTACTTTCAATGTCGGACCAGGCACCGTTCACAGAACAGCGACGCGAATCCCAGAATGTGTTCCAAGCTCGTTTCCCGAAGCATAGGTACTCTCGCACTTTGCGAAACAGGAGGCAAAAAGCAATTGTCACTAGCTCTTCTCCTTTTCTCTCTTTCTCCGGCCCCTTCCTGTAATTTATTTACGTTAATTATCCAATGTGAAGTCTGATACGTCTAGTTTGTTAGCGCTCGTCGTAGTCGGGCCGCCCGTAGGGGCGAAAACGCGCGTACGGCTACCTCGGTAACCCGAATTTACGAATGGACTATAATAATTGTAGCTGGACTCGCGATAGTCGCTGGTTTCCCTTCCCCTTTGCTTGGACTCGACGATTTCCTTCGCACCTTGGACAATTCATTAAGCAAAACATGGAAAAGAAACAATTCGAAGAGGACGCGTCACTTACGCCTTACCTGGCGGTGAACCGCGTCCTTTTAATTTCTCGCTTATTTTCGAGATCAATCGAAGGTATTGCTTCTAATATTTATACCTAAGTACTTCAATTATAATGTGTCATTAATGTTACGTAGAAAATTGCAATCGGTAATGGGAATTTCGTGAAATAATCAAGTTATTGCGCTTCCACTTACGCCTGCAGGAAATCCAAGATGGCGGCCGGTCGTAGTCTTACACTTTTGTTAGATATTTACTCTTTTACTTAGCTGCGAGTAGAGATAGAGGGGAAAAGAAAATGCAAGCAATGGTGGAGGGAAACCTAGCGCAGTGTTCACCGATGAAAGTCTGACGCCTTAGAGAGTAATGAGTTTCCTTAGATTAGCGGCGAGATGGTGAGATGCCTCTTTTGCGTTGAGACATTTAGTTGTTAATTTAGCCTTTATTTCCTAGTTTTCTTTCGTTTGTAATTCCTCTCCGGTTGCGGGCGCAAGGAGGCTAGGCAAGCCTCGGCGATGCGGATTGTCGCGTTATCGGCGAATTAATTCCACTGTTAATGAGAATAACTACCATTGCGACGGGTGGAAAGGCGATCGTGTGTTAAATTTACTCGTAATGGTTGTTATTGCCCTTTGATTGGATTATTAATAACGAGAGTGGCACTTTCGGACCGAAGGACATTTCTGCGGTGTCAGAAAATTTTTAATATTGTAAAATTCAAGCCCTGCCCGTTTTACTCCTCTCGAAGGAAGGTAGAAGTTAATTCCATCTTGAGAGGAACCTTGAGAAGCGATTCAAGAACGACCAACACCCTGCGCTAGAGTGACGGCGGTCGGTACCGCTCGACCTGTGATCTGCGAAAGCGATTTTCCGCTTAACGCCTCGCGATGGAAGAAAATGCCTCCTGAGAAAGTTATCGACTATAATCTGTCGAGGAAAGTTTATCCGAAGCATTTTTTCACGTCGCGCGTCGTTACCGCGGAAAATCCCGATTTGCAGCTAGGTGTACGAGACACGGTCCCGGTTTATCTTGCGCGAAATTAATTGCCTCTCGAGTTGGTCACTCTGGAAGAATTGTTGAAATTAATTCTCCATTCGTTCCCCGAATACTTGTCAATTGACGCGTGCTGCGGTTTTCATCTTAATACATAATTACATAGATATCTGTATACCGAATCATGGGAGGACCGGTCGTGACGGCCGCCTTTCCCGTGTAATAGCGATTTTCCGCTTTAACGCCACGCAGTGGGGCAAATCGTCCTGTATAAAAGTTCCTACCAACGTTACGGGGAACAACTTTCATTCGACCCATTTCTCCGTACGGTGCGTCGTTATCGGAGAAAATTGCAATTACCCTCGAGGCGCGCAGAAAGTCGTCACGACCTCCCTCAGGGTTGCCCCAATGTAACCACTTCATCGTTACTCGAAATTAATTCCGTCATTACTTTGTGATTATCGCGAAAAGACTGTGAAATTGATCTTCAATGCGTTGCCGACATAGTCTGCCGAATAATTTTATTATACCTATGTTTACGTATACGAATGATCCGTCTGGTATATTATTTTAAGTTCGCCGAGGCGAAGAGACTAATTTCACTCCCGTTGTTTCCTTTCTTCTCTTTCGGCTGTTCTATATAGATATATAATTTTTTTTATCTAGTACTTAGCGGTAAGCGGTAATAATTAGTCAAGGGAATCTCGAGTCTGCCAGTTTGGTGATCTGTCGGGCCGACGTTCATAATTAATTTAATATAATTACAGGTCCGTCGCGACGTGTGCATATATTATTAAAAATACTTTCATGTATAAATCTTCCCGCGATTGCTTGTACATTTCACCGTATCAGAGAGGCATCCGTGATCTATTGTATTATACGTGGCTTTCGTTCGATAACGTCGTTTCTCGTAGGTGCGTTCAAAGGGGCAGAATCGTCGAGAGATTTCTTCGATTCTGTCCCCCTTTTCGGTCCCTTGGCTTTGTACATAGACACGCCTCTCCCGTAAGCGTTTAACACCTGTACATTAACGATGCGACGATCGTTATTTTTATATAACCCTCCCTAGACCCAGAGTACTTTTTAGGATAAAATTTACCCGACATTGTATATTCTATTTATTAGACGGATCGACGATTGTTCGAGAAATAAATGTTAAATCCCATAACCTGTAGGCAGACTTAATTCAACTTCTTATCTCTCTTTATTTTTATGTTCCAGGAGTATGACCAGAATTAAGAGTTCTCATAGATGGGTATCGATGGCGCGATCGCTCGTAAGAAATTTTAATAAGAAAAGGGAAAAACGGAATCTCTATTATTCGAGATGCAACTTACACGCTATCTTCTATTTAACGGGATCGCACGTTACCGATACTGATAAGACGATTTTTTTTATCGCGCTTCCGGATAGCACGCAATTTCCCTCTATTTTCCGTTTAAGGTATAAAGAAATAAGATAAAAGTTTTGTATAAACATGAGCTTTTAAATACAGATCTGAAAGTATAAAACGCCGCGATTTGTACAAAAGATAAAAAAAGGAAACGAAACGGTCTCTTGCACCGTTACGCAATGAATTCGTGTATAAATTGATGGAAAGCAGCATCACCGTGCAATGTGCAGGAAGAAATGCTCAGTATACAATTGTTTTGGTCTCTTTTACGTATACTTGTCTCAGGGTTGTCGGAGTACTCGGATAAATAAAAACATCCCTAGGATTTCGACTCTCCTACCCCTAATATAAAATTAATGCGATCGTGTTACGAGGTCTTGCACCTTGTCTCATTCAAAACGAAGTACTGAAGGTACGTCTGAATATTTCGGCGCCATCGAACACGTTTTACTGCGAGTAGAAGGCAGACTGCTTTTCAAGATGGCCGACATCAGACTCTTCTCGCAGGCGAGGAATGCCGAAGTTTGTCGGGAATGCTTTCGAGGTAATTCCGACGTCGTGGCTCCCTCCTCTGACTCTTCTCTTATTTTGTCGCTCGCAAGACCTGGAACCAAAAAGCAACGATAAAAGGGTCCCTTTAGGAATTGAATACAATGATCTCATAAGCGACCCCTTCCCGAAGAGGCTCTTCTAGGTCTACGTCGAGAGTCTCGAACCCCAAAGAACACGTCGAAACCGCAAGGTTCGGATAAATTAGTCCGTCAAGAAGTCGCCACGAAGATCGCGTTACCGTTATAAGTAAGTCGCTTCTTAAGAGGTAGATCCTTGTTGACCATCTCGACCATCTTGGCGAAAATCGCCCGCCGCCCGGATAAGGAGGATCTTCCAGGACGCCGTTGCGAGCTCTTTGGGGTCGCGATCTTCGGGCAAGACGGAACAGGGTCGAAATAGACCTCGGGTTCGGTGTCCAGAGCCTCGCACAGCTCCTGCTGGGTGTCGCCAAGGTCCCAGGCCTTGTCCACGTCCATGAACTCGACGGCCGCCATCCTGGAGAGGGCCGAGGGCTCGTCCCCGTTGAGACCGAAGCCCTTGCACAGATCCTTGGAGCTCTCCTCCAAGGGGAAGGCCGTGGTCCTGCTCCTAGGGGAGAAGCCCTGACTCGAGGAACGAGAGAGCTTGCTGGAGGGCTCAAGATTGCCGAGCAGGTCGCAGCGGAGCCTCGGAGAGATGTCCCGAAGGGACTCGTCCTCATTGGGGCAATAAAATCCGAGTTCTTCCAAGCTGAGAATCCGTTGGTTCCACAGGAGGTCCCTCTTCCGCTTCGGGAACGGCTCGTTGAGCCCCTGGGAATCGCAGAACGGAGCGTCGTCTCGGGAAGACCAGCTACATTCCGCCTTGGACTTCCTGGCAGGCCTCGAGTTCTCCGTCTGCGCCCTGGAGTAGGGATGGTCGCTCAAAGGAAAACCAACGTTGGTCAGATTGACATCGAGAGAGGAGCTCAAGATGTCCAGGGGACCCTCCAGAAAGGAGCCGGAGGGGAACTCCGGATCCGTTAGGCCTTGTACTCGCAAACTCCCTTCCTGGTCCTCCAGGGTAGAGAGCACGAAGCCTGGACTTGGGTCTCTGCTGGGACTAGACTTGCCGATCAGATCCGTCGAGCTTCTATCCCGAAGTTGCCCTTCGGTCGAATGGAACATCTCCAGAGAGGGTACCGACCTGCCCCCCAAGTCGAAAAAGTCCAGCTCGTCGGATGTTACCAAGACGGCATCCTCGGGATCTCCTGGGTCTTCGTTTCTCTCGACACCGTGTGGGCTGGTCGCGTCGACTTGCGACTCGACGGTTCTCTCGTTCTCCAAGTTCTTTTGAACGCCTTTTACCGAATTTACATCCTCCGGACACGGCTCTAACCCCATGAAGAAGTTCCTTTCCCGAGGGATCGACTCCTCCAGCAACTGGTCATCGAACAGAGCCTTTGTGTCCTCGTCGAGGGAATTCTGTGAGGACATGGAGACCATCTCTTCCGGGTCGAGGCTGATGAACAGTCGGTCCTGTTTGGCGTTATAGTCCTCGCGCGACGGATGTATGACGACCTCGCTGATGTCTTCATCCACGTTATTGCTTTCGGCAGACACGGTTTCGTCCACTGGATGTATCGGTGATTTTACCGCTTCCACAGCCTGATTTTTTGTGTTCTCTGGAATTTCATCCATTAAAGAATCTTGCCGCGTCTCGTTTACGTCTTCGGCGCTGCCTGCAGTGTCGGTTATTGTCAAAGACTCTTTGCTCTTTGCTTTCCTCTTCCGGCATAACTCTCTCAGCCACTGTATTTTCTTCCTCTTGCTTACTGTCAGGTCGATGAAAATGATGTCATCCGATTTTGACTTTGACGTGTTCCGGCGCTGGTTCCTGAACTTCGGCATCCTCTCTAGGGGTCGTTGTTTTGGAAGAGGTTTTTCTGGGTTAACGATACCCATCTGGAGAATAAAGAAGCATCGCTGAGTACTCGTACAGATATAAAGTAGAGTGAACAGAATTGTTGCAAAGTCCTTACTCCACAATGTCTGGAAGGCTGCAGTACAATATCATCAGTCACCTTGGAATCGTCTACTTCTTTGCGGAGATTTTGATTTGGATTTACACCTTCCTTTAACTCCATATTCTTGGCACAGGTGTCAAAACATTTTCTATGGAATTATATTACATACAATGTTTTGAATTCATTAAGTTGATGAAAATGCGTTAACGTGTACTTACGAGAAAATGAGCTCTCTAATCTCTTCATTGTTCGCAAGAATCTTTGAACGATATAACGCTCGTAACATGTATTCTTTTGAATTATCTGTAGAATGTGAAAAAAAAGAAAGAGTAAAATCTCACTTTAAATGTAGCATTGCAAGGTCTCGGTGATTAATTATTTAGTTCATTTTACTGTACCCAAGTAAAGATAGAGGATAGCGATTAATTTCCTAGAAATCTTCATTGTTGAGTTTTCGGTCTTTTCAAAAACAATAAGCTCCAGATCGATATACATGCCTATTAGCGTTGACATTTGATCCATGTACAAGCTATGATCGGCTATATCGTTCTTAATACCACTCCAATAGAAATGGAAAAATGTAAGCGTGGCGCTCGTGTAATCCCTTAATTTGCTCACCTGACATAACTCTGAGTCAATACTACTCACTTCTTTCGACAAGTTTCTAGAACGAAACAATTAATTCAAACCTCCTACACTAGAAAGTCAGGTCATAGGGAGAGAAAAAGTTGAATCATACTGAATATAAAACGAGAGTAAGCTTTTGAGAAGTTGGTAACTGTCGTATCCAACTACCGAGCATTTGCTTTTGGTAAATTTTGTAAGCCAGGAGTTATTCTCTTTGATCTTCTGTGATGTAAGGTCAATATCTTCCCGATGTACCACGACTTTAACTTCTTCATTGTTGTCAATGGATATCCTCTTAGCCTTTAATGCTACTCCTTGTATCGATGCATCTAAAACGAATTCTGATATATTTTTTTTTTTTAAACAAATACGTATAAGTAGTTATGAAGGATATCTCACCTCCTGGAGAATAGGATGATAAAATATGTTCTTGGGGAGAAAGGGAGCTTGAGATTTCAGGATCTTGCATTAGCTGGACGCTACCCATTACGTCAGCCTGGATCAGAAAAACACTTTTCATAATTTATTTCAGCTCGTTCACCGACCTAACCTCCGAACTCTGTGTCAATTATCTCCGAACACGAGATTTAATTTTTCTCTCGAGTATTCGTCGACTCACCCAATTTCATCAAGTTCCCGTCCAAACCAAAGAAAAACGACATACATCATCCCGTTCTGGCTAAAACCACGCCGCCGTCAGAGCAAATCAAGAGTAAAAGCAGAGATGAGTTGGGAAATTGCTCACGGGCAGGATCGTGCGTTCGCATCCTGTGCTGCCCTCTGGTTTCGTACGTTAGCTTTCACGGTTTTTTGCCCCCAAGGGCGGCGCATCGAATTTCTGGTAGGGGCTCGCGCACTCGCGTTGGCGGTATGTTCGGCGCTACACTCGACGTTATGTGTGCGTTCGGCGCTACACTCGACGAGTATGCGTGAGAATCGAATCCTGCGAAAAATCCTCCCGAGACTTACCTAACTGCGGATATAAGAAGTGCGTATTCTCATTGATCGTTTCCATTGGATCCCACTTTGTGATTGGCTGTCATATGGCACCCGTACTGGCAGCTTCGCAAAATAAAGGTTATATCCGGTGAACAGGTGCGCGAGCGCCTGCGCAGTTACGACCGGCCGCTGACCGCACCTCGATCCGCGGCCGCGGCGTGGCGCCAGCCGTCCGACTGCGTCGACCGTGCCAGCGGCCGATCACGTATGTACGTGACATGGCGTCCGGGTAGAAAGAAAGTTGACTGTTAAATAAGCGTTAATGTTGTTTTTATGACACTGACCGAGCGCAAAAGAGAACCTCCGAGGCCGCGAATTCCCCCTAGACACCGGCATTGATGGTAATGCATGCGAGGAAACCACAGAGGATCAGCGATGGGTAGGGCTCCGCCGTCAAATACCCGAACTCCTGACACACCGCGGTCACAACCTCTCTCTCTCTCCCTCGGTATCTCTTTCTCTCTCTTTCGCTCGTTCTCTCTCCCTCGCTCGCCCTGCCTCACCCATCGTCCCCTCTTCCTCTCTCCGCAACCTCCTATCTGTCGCCTACGCCGTCCCTCTCGCTCTCGCGAAGAAAAAAGAAACCGAATCCCCGACCTCGGCCACCTCCTTCGAGACGGGCGCCGCGACGCCGACCCCTCGTCCGTCGCGACGCCCTACAGTATCCGTAAATCCGCTCTGCGTTTTACTCAAAGGCTCTTCTCTGATTTCAGGTACTTCGAAAAGCACCAGGCCCATCCCTACCAGGTAAATATCCAAGAGTCAGGACTGCGGCACACTAATTAACTTCCATCCACTGCAGTACCTTCGCCTTCGCCGTCACCTTCGGCTTGATCTTGCCAAGGTTTTGTTTACCGTCATCGATGAATCCTGGGTTACGTCGGCGTGCCCTCGGGGGACTCTTTGTGTATGCCTTTTAGAGTATCTCCGATGAAATTCAATCTCCCAAGAAATTTTACTTAGGGACGTATCGGTAGCTTCCTGGTGACGAAAGAATTACTTTGAGGAAATCGGGATCGTTCTCTGCAATCGCTGTGCCTTTCTATTGGAGTCGGCATGTTTCTTTTCTTCATTCAATTTCCTTCGTTGATCTCTTGGCTCCATGATAAGTGAATTTCTGGGCTTTAAACATGGAGCACTTGTTTTTAATCGGTCGGTAACTTGGAAGAAAAGGTAGACATCTTTTTGTTACGAGGTTGTTTAAAGAATATTTCTTGTCTTTTGGGAGTTTTCTCGATGAGGTTGTTCGAAAGAGAATGCTTCTCTTGCTGTAAATATCAAAATGAGTTGATGTGCTCAGGATTTTTTCAAGGATTTCGGAAGTTTCTTTTGTTTTCGTTTTTTTCATTGAATTCACCCTTGAGCAATTCCTAGGAAGAGTCTAAAGGTTTCGAGGTCCCTGAGTTATTGATTGAGGCTTTGAATACTCTTTCACGAGCCCTGTATTGCCCAGAGTTTCTGAAGATGCAAGTTCTTTATAGGCGTGTAAACATAACCTCACTTTTCGGAAAAATCAATAATCTTACCATTTGTCTGGGTTCTTCTTGAGGAATTATTAAGGGGGCCTTGTTAGTGAACTTAAAGCCAACTTGTTTGCAGTATCCTGTGGAAATATTTATAAAAGTTTATCATTCTGGGACCTCAAACTCGTGGATTGACTCGATCAAAATTTCTGGTCAGATTTTCCAGTCAATGGCTTAGAATATATGATTTAATTCAGTTATTATGATTAGTGTCTCAATGCCTGACTTTCTTCTAAAAAAATAGATCGTTTTATACATGTTTCTTGAAGAAATTAAATTCGCATTGGACAACGACCATAACATTTAATTGGGCACACTGATTTTCTGGCATGTGTGGCAAATAGTTTGTTTAATTAAATCTTTTGAAAAGGAAGAATGTACCACAGCTATTTTCATCAAATCAGAAGAGAAGAATGTATGGTAACTTATAATAATAAGGCGGCATAGTTTCATGCAGCTAAACAGTTGTAAACCTTCATGGCTATACGTGTGTTTCGTTGTTGTTTGTAGAACGCTAAATACAGCAGTTCTAAGGGTGGGTATTCCTCGTCGACAGCTGCATCGGATAGTCGCTACGAGGGGCGAATGCGGGACTCTCCGAATGGGAACTCATATAGTCCAGCAGGAGGCTTGGGACTGGGCATGGGAGCGGACCGTGATAGTCCCCGCAGTTACACCACCAAGCCTCTTTACAAGAAGGAGAGAGAAAACAGAGACTATAAGTTATCCTCCAGGGACAAGTATTCCGGTAATTATAATCATCGCCAGAATATTTAAGAACAATCTAAATCTCTCATTTCATAATACCTGAGAATATTAGGAAAGAAATTGCAATTTGTTTCCATAAAAGACCATTATCTAAGTGAATCGTACATAACCTAGTTATTTTCAAGACATTAACAAGCACAATCAGAATCCAATATCACTTGAGTTAAAATTTGACAGGCCCTACGTTGAAAAAGAAATATATTTCCTATCATGAAAATTCAGGCTTGAAATTCTCTTCTTTATGGTAAAAACAAATTTGGCATTGTCGACTGTATAATACCTGTACATATGCTTAGATTGTGCACGATCTCCAAAAGACAAGAGGAGCCGCGAGAGCAGGGATTCGGAGCACAGGACCAACCATGATAGGAGCGGCGGAGAGGTGAGCTGCTAAAATATTATAAGTAGCAATAATATTCTCATAGGAAATTACCCGACTCTAAATAAAGCATGCACAAGCGATCACTTCCTATAAGGGGGTTGCTGGATAAAATTCCAATAGTCCCGATCCCTAGGAATGATATTCCGATATAAGTATTATATTCCCTCTAGCTTCAAACGTTCCATGCCACCTTGAAACATTCCGTCCACTCTGGCAATATGCGTTTCAAGCTATCTCATTATATTTTTATCGTTTAATTTCTTTGCGTTGTGCAGATATTACATCCCATAAAGTTGTCAAACTCATCGAGAGATTCCTCGTCTCAGCGAAAGCCAGCACACAATTCCTGTCAGGTACCTATTCATTGGATTCTGAACTCTTAAAGCTTATTTCACAAACCGATGGCTCTAAATCTACCAAAGAAACTCAACAATATTTCTACCTCGGCTACATATTATGTAACGTATACATTAAACCTGATATTTCCAGGAGAAGCGTGGAGACGATCGAGGGGGCACGACGGAGAGGACTGCCAGGTTCGGTGACTGGTCGGAGCACGTGAGCTCATCGGGGAAGAAGTATTACTACAACTGCAAGACGGAGGTCTCCCAATGGGAGAAACCCCGAGAATGGACAGCCAGGGCGGAGAGCCGACAACGCCAGTCCAACGATTACTCCTCTAGGTCAAGTAAGTTTACATCGATAAGGATTATACCCCGATACATGACAAGCTCGATATAGATACATACTCGAGTCAACCTTTACTACTTAACCCTCTAACGGTGTTTAACAAATGTGCCCTGATATAAAAAACTAAAATATCCTCGCTATAAAAGTCTGGAAAAGCTCTGTTGACCCTTATTTTACTTATTTCAATTAATTAACCTACACATTTTCATTGTAAAATTCCGCCATTAGAAGGTTAATAAGACAGACCTGAAGTCTAGACTCTAATTACCTTTTCGCTTGCCACCAGGTCACGATAAACATTCCAACTCGCGGTCGAACAGCAGCAGCAGCGGGAGCGGCGCGCGAGATGGCAAGTCGGGCTCGCGACAGTCGGACAAGCGCGAGTACTGGACCTCGTGTGGGACGGCGAGCGGCGGAAGCGCCCGGGACGAGGTGGTCTCCTCGAGGGAGCGCGAGCGCGAGAGGGAACGGGACCGCGAGCGGGAGCGAGACCGAGAGAAGGAGCGGGAGCGGGAACGAGAGCGAGATCGCGAGAGAGACCGCGAGAGGGATAGCTGCCGCGATGAAGGGGGCGCGGAACGGCAGGCGCAGGACATGGACATCTCCCCGGGCGACTCGACCCCGACTTCGGAGCCCTTGGTGGCCGCTGCCAGCGACCCGCTACCTCAAGGGCCCGTCCTCCTGGCCACCGGTAAGCGGCACGAGTTCCTCTCCAGGTCGACCTCCCTGGTCCACGCTCCGTGCCCATTGACTCAAGAGTCGGACGTTTCCGTGATTGCAGCGCTACCTAGACTAACTTCCCACCCACCGTCGACGCCGCAGGCGCCCGGTAAGCTGAGCTCGCCCACGCAGCCTCAGCAGCAGCAACAGCAACAGCAGCAACAGCAGCAGCAGCAGCAAGGCGGCAGCAACGCGCCTGGGCCCCCCGTATCGCTGGCCAGCCTGCCGCGCCTTCTATCACAAATCACCGGTAGCAAAGAGCAGCCCGACATCACACCGCAGAAGGCACTGCAGACCATTCAGACCGCGATCCTGCTGTCTCGACAAGTAAAGGACGAAAACGTCACGAGGCATCGTGTGCCTTGCGGTGCTCCGAGGCGGGGGGCTCTCACTCGGTCGGGGATCGCGTTTAACCCTTTCGGCTGGGGTGGAAAGCGATTTTTTAGTATGGACGCTATTGGCTTGGCACGTGTTCCCCGCTGATATCTGGGAATTAGCGTTGTCTCACCGGGATGTAAGCACGAGGAGAATTCTCGGAGCTCCGTTAGGGCTGGCTCGGAGACCGTTCACTGATGGCTCGCTTGATCTCACTTTCAGCAATCCGGAAGCGGAGGCGACCGCGTCGTCGGCAGCGGGAACGACGTCATGGCGCCGCTCAAGGTGGACACCAGCGGCGTTACCAGCGAGGGACCACCCACGCCCACGCACTCGGAGACCCAGGACTGCATCGACGCACGAAAGAGTACGGCCGAATCTTTAATTGCGACTAATAGATCGTTGACTCTCGGGTCTATTTTGTAGGGAGACCTTGAAGGGAGACCCGATGATAATGTGCCAAATGATCGAGGGAACTTACTTCTTACGAGTCGATGGATGTACGTCTAATCGCGAGTTTCCTTGCAGTGACGAGTCCCGGGGCGGCGAGTACGGGGGTTCAGGGGCTCAGCTCGCTGCAGAGCCTCGGCACCCTCGGCTCCCTAGGAGGCCTGGGCAACGGCGGGGGCCTCCAGGCACTCTCGAGAGTGCAACCTCCTCTCACGCCCTCTCTCACGCCCTCGCTGGCCAACCACTATCGGGAAGACTTGACGCAACATGTGCGTGCCTTTCCTGCGGATATCCTTGAGAAACAGGTACGTCCTTAACCGCATCGAATTTGGCTCTGACAACCGAAAAAAAAAAAAAAAAATGAAACAGGACTCCCTCTTAGCGAGTTTCTACTTTTATAACGAATCTCCCTTTTCGTTTAAGGCGCAAAAGCTTAGCGAGGAAGCACACACCATGGGCAGTTTGCAGTGCACGCGAGTATCCGCGGAGCTGAAGACGGCCCGGTCAATAGTGAGGCTGACGGAGATTCAGGCGACGTTGCAGGAACAAAGGTTCGACACAGAGCTTCTTCTAGGTTAAATAAATCAAAACGCTAATCACAGCCGAGAGTTGTAACCCTACGGCAAGGGGTCGAAACGCCTTTAATCCAACCCACTAAATCCGTTTTCGCGATAGAGTACCGAGAGTTAATCGCGTCAACGATTGTTCCCACAGTTAATCGTCGGTTAAGACCCCGAGTTAACTTCTTCGATCTGTTTCAGGATATTATTCCTCCGTCAGCAAATACAGACGCTGGAGGAGCTGAAGTCCCAAAATTCCTTCATGTCCGACGATTCTTAGTGTAAGGGAATTTATAAAGATATAGTAATAATTACAGACCTATAATTAATTCTTGCAGAAGAGAGACGGTAAACCGAAGGAAAGGACAAAAAAAGCATATAAAACGGTAAAAAAAATATGAAGAAACTACACGGATTACACGTACTCACCCGCGCGCGCCCCCTCCCCCCCCCCCGGAAACACATACACGACATGGTCACACCCCACGCGACACACACACACGTAATTATAAATATTCTCATTAATATTGAAATAATTAAGATTGTACCTAAATTATAATGATTATCATGAATAGAAGTGAGATAAGCGACTGTAGCGCGAGCGATTGTGAACATAATTGGGCTGCCCAGAGAGGAGGGGCTGCTCTACGACTGACAGCCCACGGATCTTATTATTATTATTAATATAAAAATATTAATTAGTGAAACCACGCACCTCTCTGGGCGGCACAAGAGGCCTACCCAAGGGGAAAAAAAAAAGAAGAAACAAGAATCAGTACCCACACGCGACACTCACAAGTTCACCCTCACACTCACACGCATACATATACACACACACCTCGACGTACGTCCCCGTTCGCGCGTAAAACACTTTTCACACACACATTGTACACACTCTCGCCCACATTTACACGTCTCTAAGCGTCAGAGTGCAGCGTTAAGTTGAATAGAAACGCGCGAGGCGACTCATCGCGACTCGATTAAAAGAGAGAAAAAGAAAAAGAAGAAAAAAAAAAAGAAGCTGTACGCGAATTGTATATCTGAATTGTCCACCGTTGTCTTGTATTTACCTATGTTGTACGTGTCAATGTTTCATATCCTCCCTCTATCTATCTGTCTCTCTCTCTCTCTCTCTCTCTCTCTCTCTCTCTCTCTCTCTCTCTCTCTCTCTCTCTCTCCGATGAGAATGAAGAAAGGGAAAAAAAGATGTAGAGAGGAAAAGAAAGATAAACGGGAAACGCGACGAAATGACGGACCGACGAGAAGCAAGAAGAGAAAAAAAGAAACAAAAGGGGGGACGAAGTAACGACGACGAAACGCGAACGCGGCATTTCGACCCGGGGTGGAGAGCAGTACACTCTCTTTTCTTTCTTTCTTCTTCTTCTTCTTTTTTTTTCGTTTTTCTCCTACTTTGTCGTGTAAATCTCGGAATAAACGAAACTCGTGCCACAAGCTCGAGGGGACTTTGCTTGCTGCGCGCCGCGTGACTCTTTCCTCTCTCTCTCATTCTTACTCATTCTACGTCACTCCTCGTTTCTTTCTTTTTCTCGTTCGCTCTCGCCGGTCCTTCTCGGGTCGACCTTGCACGGACGATAAGGATGCTCTCGGGACGCTCCTGGAAGTTTGCAAACCGATAACTACTCTCCGTCTTTGTTTCCTCTCCTTTTTTCTCTCTCTCTCTCTCACCTTTTCTTTTCGTCTTTCAATGACATCGGGACGACTTAACGCGGGGCCCGAGAATGGCCTCGACAATGCCCGGGACACGTTGCTCATTCTCGGGCCTCGTTGGAGGCGAAGCGATCATGCGCAAATTGATTGGGAAGAGAGAAAAGAGGGGGAAAAAAACGGAAAAATTTTAAATCCCTTCCCTCCCCCACCTTTGCACCTCGGAGAAGTATTGCCTCGCCCGAAAGTCGCATATCCCGGTTGTCTCTTGTCAGAGCCAGACTCGCGAGGATGTTTCGATTGTCTTTTAACGGTGGCATTATTTATTTAAGCTTTAAACCGCGAGACCGCGAGGTACTGTAGAGAGCTTTTTATTGTAAAGGAAAAAAAGGGGAAAAAAAGAAACCGGGAGAGTGATTTTACAACACTTCATTGTGATCCGTATTTGTATGTAGCTTATATATATAATGGAGGTTATATATATATTTTACACGCGAATACCCCGATTTGTTAATTGTAGCGAGAGAAAGAAGAAAAAAAAAACGACAACAAACAAGCAACTAATAAAAGCAAACGCGGTACTGCCTCCGGTGTACTGCCATTATATCATGTACTTTTTCTTATTCCGAGCGATTTATTCTACACCATTCTGCGCAAAAAAAAACCACGTTCCATAATTACCTCTACCATAAGGACTTAGTTACGAATATTAAATACCACTATGAACGATCGATTAAGACCGGTCATATATTTCTCTTTAAGCGGGTACTCATGTTTTGCAGCCGATCGTCAAGAACGGAGTGACTTCTCTTTTTTGTTTTTTAATATCTGTCAAAATAATTAAAAACGCAAATACGACGTATCGGGCCCACGGAATCCAACATCACGTATGTATTGCTTCCGGGTTCACCCCTGAGGTAAGCCACATAATTACAACTGGATGACAATTAACCCCCACGGATTTCCAGATTTACTTAGTCAATGTCAACAAAGTGCCTAATGCATGGGGATAAAAAAAAAAAAAGAAGGGAAGTCTCCCTACATACCTCCCATCCATCCGCTTTCCATATCCGACCACTGGTGCCAAGGGAAGTCCGAAAAGAAAGGCCGCAAAGAAGGATTATACGCTTTTTTATTTCTGAAAAAAAAATCACACCTCGAGAGATGCATTTAAAAAAAGTGGGGGTGGGGGGAACAAGAAGAGGGTGAGAAGAAAAAAAATAAAGAAGAGGAGGAAAAGAAACGTAAACGTATACTCTTAGGGTCGCTCCAGCTCCGAACTTAAATGCCTCCTAAGGTCTACGTAAATATTACACAACAACGAATAGAGCAACAATATGTAACAGTGCGTTCGTCCTTTGTACCTATGTAATATCTAATATGGCGTAGGAAATGAATAATGTGTTCGAGTTTATTCTTGGCCACTGTCCTATTAATCGCATCGCCGGCCGCGCGCGGCGCCACCCGTCGACGGAGCGCGGGAGGGGAAGGCCCGACCACGTAACCTGCCATTCTCGATCGCCGGCCGATATAGAGCGCGTCGCGGACGAAGAATTGAGGAAAAAGTAATAAATGGAGAACTCTGCACGACCCTTCCATCGCTACCGCGGCAATTTTCATAATTTCCGTCCCCTCGACGCGTCGACGATGCCGCACAAGGTGTGACGTCAGCCATGGAGGAACGAGACATCCCCATCGCGTCCGTCATTCTGCCCAACCTGGCGCGACCGTCCTCGATCCTTCCTTCTCTCCTTTAACCGTTAAGCCAACATTATTACATACATAACGTAACTAGCCTAGATCCTTAAGTGGGGAATTTAGGGGGGGGTGGTTGGGGAGGTGGGGGGTGGCGACGCGGCGCGCGGACGCGCGCCCATCCCGGTCCGAGGGCCGCGTCGCTAGTTCTCTCTTTCTCTCTTAATTCATAACCTCCAATTACCTATGTACTCTCCGTCTCGCTATCCGGGGACTCCCGAAAAGGATCCGCCGCCGACCGCGCGACGGCCCCCCTTGGTTCGCTCTCTTTTATACATTTGATTAATCTCTCCCTCTCTACATAACTTGTCCCGATCGCGCGCAGGGTCGTCGATGTGTATCACTCTTCAAGGATTGCACGTGTCTGCACGAGGACGCGCATTTAGGGCACCGAGGGCGTACCTTTGCGCAATTATAATAATAAACGGCGCCCCGCCAAGGGTTGGCGAGCTAAAAATAAGACTCGATTAAAAACGAACGAGAACCGCCTTGGCGTTTAGCATTCGCTAACAATCCGCAGGTTTAGGAAAAACGGCCGCGAATTGGGCGCCATATAGTTCGCCGAGCTCCCGTCGGAGGGCGCGACACGAGAATTAAAAACTACCGCCGCCCTCGCAAAAGGGAAACGTTTCTTTTTCCCGGCGTCCACGTGCAGAGTATTTATATAATTTAAAAACTGCCCCTTTCAGAAGTCCCGCGCCTCGGGGCGGCGATCGATCGGTCGATCCATCGACGGATCGATTGCTCCCCAGTCTCCGTTTCGCCGCTCGCTCTCTCTCTCGCGTGCGCGCGCGTGTTTATATATATTTATATATGTATATGTATATGTTTATATCACTCGACCTATACGATAAAACACGCAACGTTACGGCTCCTTAACACCTAAGAAAATGGCATTCAGTATTCGATCTCTCAATAGGATTACTTGGATTACTCGATTTTTTATTTCTTCGTTATATAAAAAAAATATACAATTTCGACTACGACAATGGAAATACGCACGGTAATCGGCCTCTGTGTCTTGTGTGTGTCTCTCTCTTTCTCTCTTTCCCCCGCTCGCGGTTTGTACTATGCCGAATGCCATTTTTTGTTTTTCCCTTCTCCCGCTCTCTCCCTCTCTCCCTTTCTCATTTCTCTTCGCGTTGTGGTTCTCCTCCCTCGTCGTTATCGTTAGTACTAGAGTTACTATTATTAATAATGTTATTATTCGCGGGTGTATCTTCTCTGTCGCGTGTTTATGGTACACTCTACGTGTGTATGCTGGTGTACGGGTGTACGTGTGTATATAATGTATATATGTCGTGTCAATTGCGTGTATCTCGCCACGGGGACAGCACTAATATAGTACGTCGGCTCGAGCCTTGCGCAGTGCTGTCCGCGTTTCGCGCGCCTAGCTAAAATATAATCGTTAGATTCTTTTTTTTATTTTTTAATTCTAATAGCAATATGTCTCTATATATATGCATATATATATATAGAGTGGGAGTCCACTGATATAGAGTCGGTTCGACGTCGCTCGCTCAACGGGGATGAAAAGGAAACCCTCCCTTCCTCTTGCTCCCTTTTCGGACCCGCCATTTTCAAAATGGCGACCGGCAAGGACCCGGTCGGTAACGCCCGATCCTTCCAGAAGCAATCCGGGAAAAGTCTTGCTAGAGATCGAAAGGAAGAAGAGGAACTAACGAGACTAATGAATGGGAGAGGAAAAGAAAGAAAAAGCACTCCCTTAAGAGATTTAAAACCGGGCGCCCGTAAAAGGGGTTACGGACGGTTTACCATAATTTCCCCGTATCTGATAAATATCAATTAAACAGAGTAAATGAAAGTGAATGTCAACCTTCAGAGGTTCGATCCCGGGGCGTACGGGTCCAAGGATTGCCTTGAGACAAAATAAGGACTCCACAACCTCGCGGCATGATTTCTGATAAGGTAAAACCCCGTTGATGGTCAAGAAAATCGCTGACGCTACAAAAGAAAAGAAAAAAAAAAATGAAGAAGAAAAAAGAAAACAAGGGAGAGGGACGTTATATATAAGAGTGGAGGAATACGAGAGATCGCAATCGCCCGTAACCCTTTCGTCACGATGGCCCGGATCGTGCGATGAGATATCTTCCTTGAGAAGCATGGGGTTTCCTTTTCGCCTTTTCCCCTTCGTTTCCTCTTTCTGGAAAACCAGTTGGCGAGCCGCGCGAACGGACTTATACTTACCTGGAGCAGGACGCAACGGTGTCACCACCTCGCCGGTACTAGCCGTTAAGCCCTCCGCTCTTCTCTGTTGTCCTCGACTGTACACCTTCCTCGTCGAGGCGGCCTCCCTGGCCCGCCACTGTCGCAAGGCTCCGCCCTGGCAGTTTCCGGGTGGTGGTCGGTCGACTTCGTCAATCGCACACCCCTAGGAACGTCCCTCGGAGCGCGGCCAGTGTCTCGGGCGGCCAACGGGATAACTACTCGTCTCGTACGATCGGCCTCGTCGTCCCCGACTACCAAACCCCCCACCCCTCGGAAATCGGTGGACCAAATCAGTACACACATTACAAACAATGTCAATATCCATGTCATTACCCGTAACATAATACCTAAACCGCGTTACAAACAGTTACTACATATCCTACCCAAGAAAACCGAGTTAACAAGGGTAATTGTGCGCTCGCGGTGTGCAGCGCCTCTAGTGGCCACCTCGGGTAGCTCCCGGCTTGCCCGGCCATCGAGACTCGTAGAATCGACGTGACTTTTACCATAAAACACGTTTGACGAGGCCGACCGTGTTCGAGGCTCGAAAATTCTCTCTCCGCGTGCGCATCGCCTCCTCCTGACCGTCCTCGGCAATACCCGCGCCCTCGAGTCCCTTCCTCCCCCCCTCTCTTTCCTTTCCTTTCGTATAATTTAAATAATTTATAATTTATAGTTCTTCCCTGTAGAACACAAGCGGTCGCACACTCGAGCGCGCCTCGTCAGCACATCGGTATATTACACGCGTCGACGTCTCGCGGCGCCGAACGCTCGAATCTTCCTCTCGCTCGCTTCCCTCCTCGTTTCCCTCGTTTTCTCTCTCTCCCTCTCTCTGGGCACGAGCGATCGATCGGTGTGCGACGACTGCATCTTCACGCACACCCCGGGGACCGACAGCGCCCCTCTACCGCAAGCACCGCGTTCGTGGCGGACGCGAGGGCCATCTTCGCGCACACCGACCATCCCCGCGTGTCGTTCCCTCTTCTCCCGGTCGACTGCCGTTCTCTCTACCGGGGTGGCATCCGCCTAACCGCCTTTTTGATTTTCCTCGGGACCGCCGGCTGCGGCGTGGCGCTGCAATCACATTTTTTTCAATCGTCAACTTAAGGCCACAGAAACCAGAAAAAAGAACCTCCATACACTAATTATCCCCGTCCACGACGGCCGTTATTCGACTACCAAAGAACGACGGATGATAGGTTTACATGCAAATTAACCCGGAACTAAAAACATCTACAATCGACTCACTTGAATGCGGTGGGTGCGCTGCCTTGGGTGAAATTAAACGAAGGTTTCGTGTTAGGGTCGAAGGACACTGTTGACGTGGGATTGGTGGCGCTGAAGTTGAACCCTCCCGGCGCGGCCGGTGTTGGGTTCTGCTAATAGAGATAAAAGTGTTACTTTTACGAAGCTTACTTTTTAGGGTACTATCCGCTCCTCTTGACCCACAATCATACTAAAAAATCAAGGGAAGAAGAGGAACCAGGTGTCTCACCGTAGCGGCGAAGTTGAAACCGCCAGTTGTCCCGGTGGAGGGCGCCGTCGAGCCGAAGCTAAAGGGGGCACCAGTGGCACCGCCACTCTGTCCAAACGAGGGGACAGGTTGGGTCTGTCCGAGAGGTGTAGGGGACTGGGCCCCGAAGAGCGACGGCGCCGCTGTAGCAGGGTTCTGCCCAAAGGCCGGAGCCTCAGGTTTGGGCGCGTTGAAAGTGAACGCCCCAGAGGACGGGATCCCAAAAGACCCAGCGGTTCCAAAGGCGTTCCCGGTCTGCGGGGCGGTGGACGTGCCGCTGAACGAGAACAGCGGTTTCGGGGTCGCAGCCGGCCCGGTCGCGCTAGAAGTCCCGGCGAACCCGAACCCGCCGGGGGACTGAATCGAGGTCTGAGAGGACCCGGAAGACCCGAAGCCGAAGAGACCAGTGGAGGGTGCAGGAGTGGCGCTCTCACTGGCCTTAGTTCCGGAGAAGATGCTAGAAGAGGCGTCGGTGCCGAAAGGCGTGGCCGTGGCGGTGGGGCCGCCGAAAACGGGGCCCGTCGAGGAGCCGAATGTCGGCGCAGGGTTCGCCGGGGTCGCCCCGAAGGTCGAAGCCGGCGACCCGAAGACCGACGGTGGCTTCTCGGCGGCGCCGAACGAGGACTTCTCCGCTGCGCCAAAGGAGGGCTTCTCGGTGGACCCAAAACTCGGGGTCTTGTTCTCGGTGCTCCCGAAGATGGGCCCTATCTTGGTGTCCACGGCGCCGAAGGTGGGCGTCTTGCCCTCGGCGATGGAGAACATCGGCGATGGCTCGGTGGAGCCGAACGTAGAGGCGGACTTGGAAGTGGTCCCGCCGAATAGCGAGGATGCCGGAGGGCTGTTGAACGTCGCCGGAGGAGCGTTGGCACCGCCGAAAGACGCCACGGGTTTCTTCTCCGTGGTCGAGGCCTCGACCGTTGGTTTGGCCACCCCGAAAGAGAAGGAAGTCGAGGGCGTCATTGATTGTCGCCCGAAACCGGGGATCGCAGGGGTCTGCCCGATGGATGTGGTCTTCGGCTCGAAACTGAAGCCCGACTGACCGGGCTGACTGGGAAGACTCGTCGCAGTGGTCGTCGGAGTAGAAGTGCTGGGCGCCCCGAAGGAGAACGCCGGTGTCTGGCTGCTCGGTGGCTTGGAATCCGCTGGACCTGGCTTCCCCGTTGCGGAGGGCAGAGCTACGCTGGCAGTAGCTGATAACGAAGACTCTCCTGCCGGAGTACTCGTCTTCGCAGGCTCTGCGGAGGCCACCCCAAAAGTGCCTGCCTGCGGAAGGTCTTTGGCCCCCTCTTTCTGGGCCACAGTAGACTTGGGCACTCCGAAGGAGAAGGTCGGTGCACCGCTCGATAGCGTTGTGGGGGCCCCGAAGGAGAAGGGTGCCTCACCGGATGTCTTCGAGGAAGTCGATGATTTCGGTGGCTCCGTCTTGGGGACGGTGAACGAGAACATCGGAGTACCAACCTTCTCGACTGGGCCTCCTGTCTTGATCGGAGTGCCAAACTTGAAGGCTGGTTCAGACTCCGCAGCCTTCGGAACAAATGCACTGACCGAAGCTGTGGAGCTGGTAGTCTCCGAAGCAGTCACAGGGGTTCCACTGTCCTTCGGAACGCCAAAGCTGAACCCACCTGCTGGGCTGCTCTGCGCGTTCTGTACTCCGAAGGTGAATCCACTCGCTGTGGAATTTGTAGCTGGCTTCTCAGCCTTGTCAATGCCAAATTTAAACTGGCCGGCATCAGAAGGAACACCGAAGTTGAATGTCAAGGTCGAACCGGTGCTGGAGGTGCTCGTCGTCTTGGGTTTTTGGGTTCCTGGCTTGGTTCCACCGCAGGCAATGCACTCCATAACGTCGCCCTTGTTCTGCACCATGCACGAATCGCAGGACCAGCTGCCTTCAGGTTTCTTGAACTTGTCGCCAAAACCTGCAGTGCTGGTCGACTCGGTCTTCTTCGATGCAGGCCCCCCAGGCTTCGCTGTGTCGCAGCAGGGACAGGCTGAATGGAAGTTCTCGTTCCTTGCCAAACACGAGGGGCACTCCCAGGAACCCTCCGAGTACTTTGCCTTGAGCATGCTCGAGAACTCACTGCCTTCCGAGGAAGTTGTCAAAGGTTTTGAAGCTCCTTGAGCTCCAAGGTCTGAACCAAAGGTAACATTGCCCTTGTCCAATGAAGTTATCGCAGAACTTGGCTTTGGCGTGTTGCAGCAAGGACACGCTGCTATGATGCTAGTGTTCTTCAGAGTGCATCCTGGACAATCCCAGGAGCCATCCACTGACTTCAATTTCCCTGTAGGGCTCGAGTCCACTGGCTTCATATTCTTCGAAGGCGTCGAGTCTTGCTGCTTCTTAGAATTCGCCACTCCACAGGCCACGCACTTTGCATCGGCCTGTTTATTTCTGACAAGACAAGAGGTACACTCCCAGAGGTCATTGGACATTTTAAATTGAGCACCGAAGCTGCCGAAGCCACTGGAGGCCTTAGATGTTTTATGCTCCATGGAGTTGTCATTAATAGTCGACGAAGACTGTGACACCGTGCTCTTCGAGTCTGGATTTGAAGCCTTGCTCTTCGAGTCTGACTTTGCGGTTTTGCAGGCTATACATTGCAGTTGGCTATTGCTGTTTCTGATAAGACACTGACTGCACTCCCACATTTCAGAGGAAGTCGCTCCCTGTTTCTCCGATGCACCTGTACCTCCCATTGGTGTGGAACTGGTTATCAGAGTATGCTCACTTTCAACGTCAACTGCAGAACTCTTCGAAGCTGGCGTGCTGCTCTGCTTCCCGCCCAAAATGTCCATTACGCTTCCGGTTTTCAATTCGCTGGCTACTTTTGCTCCAACGAAGCTTGACTCACTGCTCTCTTCTCTCTTCTTCTTCTCCTTCAACTTAGGCGCCGCAAAAGAGCCTGTCCACACAAAGTTTGGACCCAATGGGAAGGAGATCGACGAGTTGGAATCCATGCTCATTGTCTTCGAGAGATTATTTGAATCGTTTGAATCGTTCACACCCTCCTTGTTTTCCACTGTTAATGGCTTGCTGAAAGTGAAGTTATTGATCGACTTTAGATTGCTGGATGAACTGGTCACTCTGATTGGACTGGCGAACTGGAAGGTATCCCCTGAGGGTTCTTCCCGGTGGGCTTCCACTCGACTCGAAGGCACTGGCAGGGCAATGTCAAAGTTGGGCAGAGAAGATATCGGCAGAGATACACTAGGCAAATTTACTGTCTCCACTGTATCTTCCTGTTCGATGTTAGTGTTACTCTTTTTCTTTAGTTTCCCCTGGAACTTGGAACTCTCGTCGTCGTCAGATCTGGAATAACAAAGTCATATACAATCTGAATGCATCTTTAAAATATATCTATACAAGACTTATCGATTCTCCTGACCTACAGGAAGTATTAGTCGAAATAAAAAAAATATACCTTAATCGATATTCTTCAGGATTAGGAGGTGGTCCACTGTTTGCCGAGATAATTTTTCTAGCAGCCACCGTGGTGTCCTGGATCTTTTGCCGTCTTCGGAGTTTCAGTAAATCAGGCACGGTCGGTACTACTAGCTCTCGTGCCAAATGTCGAAGACCTACTCTAGCCGATGGAGTGATTTCGTCCTTTGACCTCGTTGCACCAGCAGCGGGAGAAGACGTGTTCTTCGTACTCTTGACTGGTATTTTTTTAGCGTCGGAAACTGGGGAGGAGAAATGTTCCAAGGCCTCCAGTATTCTCTTTGCAGTTTGACTCATGCCGCATGAATCGATCCCGGATGCATTTGAAGGCTTCACCTGGACACTGGTTCTTCTGGGCAATTTTAGCGATATCTCACTGGTATTATTAAAAAGTGTGCGATTGCGTTTATAAAGGCCAGCTGCATTGGCTCCACCAAATGTGGTATTGCCGCTATAAAATGGAGATGAAAGAGGCGAGGCACGATCCATCGTCGCGTTCATCATCGATGCATCAAAACTGGGCCTACGGCTACTCAAAGAATCTCGGTTACTGCTGTCAAGGAAAAGAGACCTCGGGGACTGTAAGTGGTTTGCTGAAAATAAATGCGCTATTAATTCCTATTTCAAACATTCTCTTGTAAATTTTAACTTTTAATACGTCAAATAATTCCATTCAATTTAAAATCTTACTATTACTCGGGTTATTTGACATTTCTCTAAAATCATTTTAAATGTCGTCTCAAACTACTTGCCAAACAATAACATATGCTTACTGAAAGTCATTTTGTCATCAATGTATCTTTTTCTGCTAACAAAAGATTTATTGTATCCAGCATTTACTGGAGCCTCCTGTCTATTAGTTTGAGGGATAAGGGAGCTACATCCACTGGTACTCTCGCTCGATTCTGAATTATCATCTGTTCCATTGGCAGCTCCATTGTTTTGAGAAGACACTAAAGAGTTAAGTTCTGTTCTTTGGGCATTTTCGCTCCTTGTGTCAGTCCTTATTGCAGGTGTGGATGACACTAATCGGTTAGTACCACTGGGCCCTGCTATCATAGGTTCCAGAAAATTTTCTCCCTGCAAAACATTTTCATTTGATAAATACTTCCATAAAGTCAAAATTTCATAATGACTATATAAATTAATACATACTCAAGAAAAACAGAAACAAATAAGGTACAAGGCATTGATGCAGAAATTTACTGACCGAATTGTGATGAAATCGTTCGCCAAGAGAATCCTCGTTGTTTGGACCAATTCTATTCCTAGGTTGAATTGAAAATGTACCCGGAGGGTGCGTCACATCCATACGTATACGCGGTCGTTTTGTCGGAGGTGGCCTCTGCACGGCCTCCTCTTCCTGCTCCGATTCCTCGGTATTATCCGCTGCACTTGATACATCTCCGTTGTCCTGAGACGTGTTGAACCATTTACTGATCCAAGACCGCTGTGGTATGAAGTCCGTCACTTTCGTCGCCACCTTCTTTACAAACGACTGAAACATTTAAATACGCCAACGTAAAATTCTGAGTTAGACCGATCAACCAAGGGATCGTTCAACTGCAATACAAATCGTCACGAAAGCCTAAGTAATTTGAGATACAAAATGAAGGTTATATGGGTTATATAGGTTATGTATCGGCGCAGCATGTGACTCCGGATGCTCGCTAGCGGGCGAGTGACGATTTAATCGCGTCGTCGAATTTTGGCACCTCCGCCAAGACGCAAGTCATCTACACGGGAATCTAACGAAGGTTACGCAGTTTCGCAACGTGCGACCTCGGCATCGGACGATGGCCTGAGAAACCATTTCCGAATCTAAGGCAGTCGCCTCCGAGACTCAGGTCGACCGCCAGCGCCGATATACGCGCGGGCCGCGGGTCTCAGATTTCAAGGTTATGGCGTCCGGCCGTGGGGACGTAGGCCACGGGCGCGCGGCCGTATAGGAAAATTGAGGTTATCGGAGCGGGACTCACGTCACTCGGGCGACCCGCGCGGACATCACCGGGCTCGTCCTGGCGCATTCTCGGCCGGCTTCGAGAAGGGTCGGGACGATGCCGCGACTCGAGTCCGTCCATTCGAGGAAAGGCGCGAAGGACCGTTGGGAGCGAGGCGGGATCGGCGGCGCTCCTGACTCGGCGGCGCTCCGCCAGAACGCGGCTACTCACGTTGTTCGCGTCGTAGGGCTTCGGGCCGTGCGACCGTCGCCCGGTCAGGTTGTTGCTCCCCTTGGCCATGATCGCGCCCCTCGCTTCGTTGGGAGTCACACACGCCTAAGTCGATTTAGATAGTCGCATATCCCGAAACTGACACCGCGCACCACCCTCGCGAACCGAAACCACGAGAGACAATATGGCCGCCCGAAAGACCGCCGCCGGAGCGCCACAGAGTATCATTAGAGAGTGGACTCGCCACCATCACCCTCGCGCGTCAACTACGTAGCGTCCCTAGCAGTGCTCTACGAACGACACACCTTCAAACAATATCCAGGAATTTGAAAACGGGGAAATTTAGTTATCACGGGACGATTATTTATTGAAAAGAGATTATTTATTATAAGTATGCATTATTAGATAGATGGAATTGTCGTTTCTCTTGATTTTATTGACTTTCAAGAATTAACTGACTGTGGTAGGTATTAATTCATCATTTCAAATACGTTTTTCTTTTCAATCGATCGCGTAAAAAAGAGAAATTGTCCGATCAAAATTACCCGTTGGCAATGCTGTTACCCACCAATTGTTTTTAAGTAAATATTAACAGATTTCAAACGTAGTCGCTGAACAAGAGGATTTATTTATTCATAGGTTGTGACCGACGCAGAAGAGTGACAAGCCGTGACGTGCGGTTCCTCGAGATTTGGCATATTCAAATTTGGAACGCGTTTTGAAAATATGAGCAGCTTACATCTTGCAAAAGGTACGGACTCCTACTGTTAAGCAGTGTTACAATGTTACTAAATGAAGTTTCATATTATTTTCCTATGTTAATGGTAATTAGATAATGGTCTTTGAAAATACAAGTCATGTGATTAGTTATGTGGAAGAACGTTATAAATTTTATCTGTTCTTCAAGGCTCCGAGAACCCACCGAAACCAGATGAAATCGCTCGTTTGTACAGTATGAAGTTTTGCCCATTTGCTCACCGGATTCGATTAATTCTGTCCTATAAAAAGGTTCCCCATGATATAGTTAATATAAATTTAATGAACAAACCCGAATGGTATTTCTCGGTAAGTATTTCACATATTAAAGCACAAATATCACTTTTATCTATTTTTTATACATTTATTCTCCATCGTCTCCAGATTCACCCCGAGGGAAAAGTTCCTGCATTCGTTGATACCAATGGTACTGTAGTGACCGATTCCTTGATTATTGCTAACTATTTGGATGATAAATATCCTAATCCTCCCTTGTACAATGATACAACAAAAGACCGAGACAAGGAACTTATCCAAAAATACGATGAGGTATTCCGATAAATTTTTGTACGTGTTTCTTTCTACATAAAAATGTTACTTAATACGATCTCTTTGTAGATTATTGAAATCTTTTCAAAGTGCATCCATAATAAGGACAAGAGGCCACTAGATGAAATCATTGAAGATATATCAAATCATCTAATTGAATTCGAGCAGGAATTAGTTATTCGTGGAACAACTTATTTCGGAGGCTTGTAGAAATTTGTTATGGAATTGTCAAATATACTTTTGATAACATTATATGTATAACAAAATTTAATTCATTGTACAGGAGAAAAACCTGGGATACTCGATATTATGATGTGGCCTTGGGCAGAGCGTGGGAAGGCACTCCGTATACTCTACGATCAGCCCCTAACCTTTGACAAAACAAGATTTCCTCAGATTGTAAGTACTAACAGAAAAACAAATATCTATTTATCACGGATTAAAAAGCTATTTAATATTTTAACATATTAAAATTATTTCAGCTTAAATGGGTGTCGGATATGAAGGAAGAAAAGTTTGTACAAGAAAATGCTGCTTCGTATGAAAGATTTGCTCAATTAATACAGTCTTTGAATTCTGGAAGCGTCGATTTTGACGCCGTCTGAAATTTCAACTTTCATAGCCACTCAAAATATTCTGAAACACCGTAATACACGCTTTTCACCATGATACACATTGTTACTTAATGAGCTTCTCTACTCGCTATAAGTCTAATTCAAGTATTTGCAATATACGAAGAAATTAATATATAACAAATACGCCTAAGTATTTACTATGAGATTAGTGCTTTAGAGGGAGTAATTTTTTACGAATTTAATTGCGAATCTCCTGAATGATACTTGTAACTCTCACATTTTGCTAAGCCCTTGGCATTTACCTTTGTTAGACTAAATATACAGTCGGTGACCTGTTACACCAAGAAAAATGATTTATTAAAATAAGAAATAAATCAATAATCAATTTCTGAAGCTCACTTTAAATGTTTCCCTGATTACTTGACTCACCTTGAAAAGCTGTGGTTAATAACAAATGTAACGAACAAATTCCGTCGTAAAAATGTATAATTATTTCTTGCAATACACCTTAGGTATTCATGTTGATACAACACATACGCAGCATCTCTTCGGTTCATTAACCATCAATTAAAGACAAAGTGTGATTGAGTTAAGACAAAAATCGAAAAAGACAGCCAACGTAATTATTTACAATAGAGATCTTGGCTCTCAGGAATGGCAAATCTTTATTCGTCAAGAATACTCAGTCTCATGTGTTGTGAATCTCCTCAATATTCAAGTGAGCTATGAAGCGAAGTCTCATTTGCAGTGCAGGCCTTAGCCTACGTATAATACCTTCGACGTCAGTCTTCATGCTGTCTCCAACAAACATGTACTTAATGTGGTACCTATAATAATTACAGTTAAGGAAAAATAACAATTGGTAGCGGTAACAAAATCCTGGACAAAAATCTTAAATTCTTCAAATAACTTTGCAAAAGGATACAGCAGGTCGCAAACGGGATCCATGTACTTCAAGTGGGTTTGCGAGCGGTCCACCTTTTCTAGCATTTCATATAAAATCACAGTGAGTTCTACAACACAACGAGGTCTTTCTGCATCAAACCGTGCCAAGGTGGGACCTATTAGATGGTATGCAAATATCAATTGCTCCTCCGTAGTCACCACAGGTTGAAGCTTCTCCTTGATGAACCTGAAAAGCAATTCTTTCCTTACAAGAAAGAAATACGAAAATAGGAAAAAAAGTCTTTCGATGCAAAGTTAACTTACTGAGGCACCGTTGTGATCTGTCCTACTCCGGCATGGTGCCAAATCGAGTGAGCCAAAGCCAGCATGTAACTGTATTTGTTTTCTAACAAACTGTTATGTGTAATGTTAAAATTGAAGAGTTGGAATGGAGTTAAATTATGGTACTGCCAATTAGCAAGACCGGAGCTAACAGTTTCCACGAGTCTGTCATGTAATGCAGACCAGTAGCACTCTGGCAATGCTGCCAGTAACAAACCGACACAATTAATCCACAAATGTATTTCATCCGATGGTATTACGGTGTACCTGTCAGGCAGAAATGCCATTAGTTTGACAAAAAAAAAATGTCTGATTGATTATTGTTAAACTACTGTCACTTCTTACCCTTTGGCAACCACGTCAAGTAATGAATTGGCAACTAAATTAGGAGCGACAGGAACTGCCATAAGTTCCACACAAGTGACGTACAAGGCATGAGCTGCTGGATTGGGAAACTCGTTGAACCTCCAATCAGTGGCAGGAAAGTGTGCTGTTCCTGACATAGCTAGAAAAATATACACAAAATTAATAAAAATCCTGTTTTAAATTGTAAAAATAAACATAAAGGAATGATATCGAAGAGCATACTCTCAACAATTCTCTGGACAAGGCGGATATAGTAGTCCAATTCTGGCACCCAGGTGACTGCGTCATCAGCTGACCGAGCCATATACATTTGATAAGCTTCGGACAAAGCCCAGCCAGGCGCTCTGATTTCTCTTAATGATCCCAAAACAGCAGAGACCAAACGTCTCTTCAATGGGGGTCTCTCTCGTAGCTTCCTTTCATAGTAATGCAACGTGTTGTACAAATAAGTAACAGGACGGTCTAACAAGAAAATAAGAATTATACATTAATAACAGAGAAAACATATAATAAGAGGAATGAACCGTCACAATTATTTTCCTACCATGGAATTTGTACAAGCATCCCAAGTGTTCGAGCAGTATCTCTAAGCTCTTCGATACCGGAGGAATTTCTAAATATCTGTGTACAACGATGTCGAAGACAGGAAGGAATCGTAAGCATACGTTTCCAAAGTACACCGGAAGACTTTGGTACTGGCTCGGTCCTCCTGTTGTCTGCTCCATGATTCCTTCGGGAGCGAATTTCTCCGGGAACTTTCTATGAAAGGCAAGATGCTTCTCATGCCAGTTTGACTGTTTCCAATGCTCCGGTGAATTCTCTTTAACGAATTCCTGAACTCTGTTTCGAAATTCTGCAGCCTTAAGTAAAAGTAGCTGAATGATGAAGAAGCACACCTGAGCCTCGCTACCTTCCTGAGTCCTCAAAGCGAGACACAGGACGAGCCTGTCAATGGTGACGATATTATATTTCCAAATCATGTCGTTGATGGTATCCACACATTTATTGACATGTTGTCCACCGACACTATTGGCAAACTCAAAAACAAGGTAGTCACAGAATTTCCTCAGGTGAGCCGACAGGGCTCTTGCTCCGATCCTTTCTAGAATCTTATACGCTATGGGACTGATCCGATCTGTCTCCAGGATCATCTTCCACAAGAGGCACAGAAATAGTGGCGGAGTTCCAGGAACAGAAAAGTGTCCAATTATATCATTTTCATTACTCATCGATGCCCAGTTCCTGTACTCCTCTTCCACAGCTTTCTTGATCTGCTGCTTGTTCTCCTTCGCCACACTGTTTTGCTGGAAGAATTCACTGAGCACTGGAGGGAAACACTGCAGGGTATGATTCGCCCAGGAGTGCGGTGTGTTCTGCATAATAGTGTTCAATAATTCTTTACACCACGTACCGCTCAGACTGTCCGCACCAGTCCCAGTAACGTGCATGGATCGTGCAAGAGTCAACACCAGAGCCCGATTGAGCTCCTCCGACTCGGCTGACACCAGAGTTTTAGGTTCGGACAGAAACCTCGACAGTTGAGGTTGGACCTCTGCCGAGCCCAATCCTGTGATGAGGCGGAGAGCTGTGCTTTCGACACACAAATGTAGCTGAGTTTGATTTGTCTGAGGGACCGCTGCAAGGCTGTGCAGATGAGACAGTAGCTGCACTCTGTAGTGTGGTTGAATGTGATGCATTCGATAACTGAACATCTCCAGCAACGTGTACAACGTTCCCCAAGCATGCGATTTAAACACCGTTGGCAATAACTGGCTTATGAAGCCTTTGATTCCCAAACTCTCGATTTCAGTGTACACTAGCAGTCTGCTGTAAGTTTCAACAAGAGCTGGTGCCAATGCCATGTTGCTCTTTGACTGTGCCAGCTTGATCACATGAGTGACGATGCTGTGTATTAGACTCATCTTCGAGTGAACTGTCAGCGAGTCCAAAATGGACATCGACAATGGTGTCGTTGGTCCATTTGCCATCGCAGCGTTGTTCTGTAGCGATTGCAGAGGCTGTTGTTGCTGTCCTTTTTGAGTGCCCAAAATTGTGTCCACCAGGGCAGCCATCGGTCGACTGAAGTATTCCTGGTTTGTGGAATATGCGTTGCAAAGTAACGCTATACGATAATCCGAGCCCATACAAAGTGTCGTATTTGGGAGGACCAAGTGTTGCAGGAATTCGTGGTGGACTTTCAAAGTTAGAGGAATGGGTCGATGGATGTTGAGATGCTCGGATTGTGCCTTTTTCAGGAGATGAATCCAAATGCAAGTGATCGCCATTTGATGCGTGCACAGAGCTTGACTGAAGTCGGGAACTGGCAACGGCTCCTTCTCCGGGTACAGGAGATCGTACAATTTCAACACGGGCAAGAAATTAGATAACTAAAAAAAAAAATATATATAAAATGATTACATCACGTATTATATCATAAACAAGTTTAAATTTTATTCTTACCGGATTACGTTGAATACTTCCAGATATAAATTGTAATAAGACCCACATTAAGTGATCCCTTCCTTTCCGCAGTTCCCGTCCAGCCAACTGCAAGTAATAAAAAGATTCTAATTTTCAAGTTAACGTTATTACTAGATTCACATCGGTGACTTTTAGTGGGATTACCTTATTATGAATTGCCATCACAATTGTAGGGAAGCAAGCGAATTGGAAGAGCACAAAATATATAAGTTGCGACGATAAGTGCAACCAGACCCAGTGGTTTGAAACTGTACCATCCGTTCCCTCTGCTGGTGGAGGATCATTTTCAGCTCGCTCCATAGCCAAGATAACTAGTTCCACGAGTTGTTCCTCCAAGGCAACGCAACGTTGTTTGTGCTATAATGAAAAATATACTTAGAGTCAATTAAGAATTATTATACCACAATGAAAAAAAAATAGGTAAAGTGGTGACGTACTTGCTTCTGTAAACCAAGCATTGAGCATACCATGTCTCGACTGTATGGCTGTTCTAAGACATATCTCAGTAGCTCGGTTTGAGGTTTAACTAAGTCTTGGTCATAAGGTAAATTCCCTTTCAGAGAGAATTTGAGCGTATTGGGATCCAATAGCCATGGATTGATTAGGTGGTCTGCGTACCCTGTATGCTCAACTACGGGTAACATCTTTGAGTGGCCCACTATGGATACCATTTGTGCAGCAGCTCGAAAACTTTCAACAAAACTAGAAAGTAGTTTCGCCAGCTTCTGTAATAGTACAGAAAAACTTAGTATTTAACAGAGTTCTAATGCAGCTAAATTATTCATACTTACCCAATGAGGCCAACTCTTATTATCAGTGTAGGCCTTCTGAATCTCGTCAACGATAAAGTAACTTGGTAAAAGGCAAGCATTTCGATCAAATATGTGCTCGATGACATTTTCTAATGCTTTGAGTTGTGGTTGAACTGATGCATTTAACCTTGTGGGGATTGTCTGAGCCTTTTCTCGGCAACCCTAAAATAGTGACACGTACATGACATTACAAATTCACTCTTAACCGAAAGAAATATGAGGTTAGTAGAAAAAAAATATACAACATACCTTCATTATTTCCCTGACACCTTTGTAACCAACTCTACCAATAATTCGCCTTATTAAACCAAAACATTCTACCCAGAAGTCCTCTAATTGATACTGTAATTTATCACAGGTTAAGATACATTCGGTAACTAATCTGAAAATAAATAAATCATAATTATAACAGATATCCCAGGCAAACATGTAATAAACAAACGATGAGGATAAGAAAGGCTATACCTCGCTGACAAAACATTGCTTGTCACTAAGTTTTCCAATAATGAGAGTAATAACTGTAGTCGACTGTGATTAGTCATTGCCGCTGCCATAGAGAGAAACTGACGCACTGCACTCTCCTGCTGTTCCACATTTAAGCCTGTCATAACCGAAGTTAACTCTGACTGCCATGTTGTAATTTTATCACTTTCACTGTCTGGATGATGGACAATGACACAACTAAAAGCTTCTTCAATAGCTTCGACTTTCTAAACACAATTGTAACAAACAGATTAACCCAACGTTTAATTAAAAAATTAACTCTACAATGAAATATTTCTTATTAGGCTTACTTACCAGAATGTCGTTAACAATATTTGTAATTTGTGCTTCGCTACCCATTTTTACGAATTGAACGTCACATTTACTTTCGTCTATAAAACCTAACAACCACTATTTGTTAAAAAAGGTCCTCATGAAAAATCCATAATAAAACGCTTCTCAAATCACGCAATATTAGTTACAATTTCGTAAAAGTTAGGTTAGGAGGGCATTAAAATAATTCCGTGCAAAATCTTCAGTGGAAACAATTATCGTTGAGAAAAAGGAATTCTCACATCCCGACCTGATACTTGCATCGATCAAAAGATATGTGAAGTCACAAATTGAAGACAAGGCTTAAGCGTAAGATTTACTTCCCACATTTCAACGAGAAAGCTCCAAAAATGTTGCGCTTCTACTTTTTGACATGTTTTTCAACGACTGGGAATAACTAAATAAAGCAAGAAGGAAACGCCATTTCCAATGAACTGAGGCATCTAACGGAGTAAAATAGAAACTCGATCCAGTAAAAAGTGCCATCCCATGGAAGAAAATTGAAACTAACTAAACTAAAATTGAAATTAACTAAAAGTTGATTAATAAATTTCAAAATTGGTTAGCCGAGCAGTCATTCGCGAATCGATGCTTCTCTTGCATTTTCGTGCTAGTTGAATCAGCGATTCCCCAGGCCCACCACGAGGAGGTTGCCGCTCAATAGGGCCCGTCTAGGAGCTCTAAAGCGTCTACCTAGCACCCATTCTGTCACCTCTCCGTCACGAGACTTCGAGACGGAGAAAAACTGGGTGTACCTAATCGTTTGAAATTTTATAACGTGAGCTTGAAAAGAGCAAGTAAATGTTAAAGAAAGATGTCAGCTAGAAACCACGAGGGTTTTTGATAATCTTGACACATTGGTTATTTTATGCGATTCAATAAAAAATGCGTAAGATATATCCTTCTGTTTTAACATGTACGTATTACTGGTATGATACGGTAAATAATCATCTAAATTTATAGAATCACCTAGGATAGATGCATTCGATTACTACGAGGTTTTAGGCTGTACAAAGGATTCTACTTACGAAGATATAAAACGTGCATATTATCAGCGTGCCCTACAATGTCATCCAGACAAGAAAGGTAATTCAGATTGTAATACAAACGAATTCAGAAGAATCGAGGAGGCTTGGAGGATTTTAAGAGATCATCGCTCTAGAGAAGATTATAATACACAATGCAGACAGGCCGAGTTGGAATCTCAGAGTCTTCTCATTTATGCTACAGTAACACTTAATGAGTTAGAACCTACTATGGATAAAGATATTTTAAGTTATCAATGTAGATGCGGTAGCGATTATATTGTAAATCAAGTCGATTTACAAGAACAAAACTGTACCCTTCAGATTCCTTGCCAGGAATGTACCTTTGTCATTCTTGTTGAAACATAACATAAATTGATAAAGATAGATCGTGTACAAACATTAAAATAAAAATTCTCAAGATCATTTCTAATAAAATACAATCACGTGTATTTTAAATATAACGAAGGCAGGATAAAAATCATACAATCACACATCTCTGTGAAATGATCGACTGGGTGTTAAAATGCAGCAACATTTTCTATTTCTTATAAAAAATGATACAACAGATAACACATTCTTATAATATAAACTATTGAGCAATATACAAATAAAACACGATCCCTGGAGCAGTCATGGTCCAATAATAAAAGACGTTCGCACACAATTGCATCCCTAGACAACGCTCAGTACGCACCGCAGTCATGAAGGAGAAAAAGAAGATTCATTTCGATATCGTGGTGACCAGTGGAGCTTTAAAATCTCACATGATCCGAGAGCCTCCAGGTCTAACGGAGAGTCAACAGAGGATTCGCCGTATTAATAAGTTATACTAGTGATATAAATAGCATTAACAGATTACTACTAAACCCACTTAACAGACCATGCGCTCTTTTTAATCTATCTACAGTGGCTTGTGTAAGTATTGCACAAAGAACATGATGCGTCTTGTATTATTGTACCGTGGCAGAGTCCAGACTTCTTGTAGATATCGACTTCTCATCACGGACTTCCTTTGACGGATCTCTACGGTCATCGACTCGGTTTCTCTCGGCGTGCTGCCAAGGATCACCCAAGCATCTCCGACGTCAAAGCAATGATAATTAATTCTCCGACACATCGCCATAATTTCCTTCCATAGCTACAGTGGCCCAATTATAGTATGACAGTTCGGTGTTAAATCTATGCGCAGTGATTCATTAGCATCATCCACCTACTTAAAAATGCACTCTTTACAGTTTGTACCACATAGCCACCTTACTTGGCCCACCAACGATGTCCTGGTGAAAAAATCCCTCCAACTGGTTCATCGAAGCCATCATTTTGTCAAAACCCAGAAAAGAGCTAGATTCCTCTAATTTTCCAGTCAACTGATTAGTCCAAAGGTAACTAAATTCTCCCCACAAAATACAAATATCAAAGGAAGAGCAAGGAATCCCAGAAATAAATTCAACGGATCGAAATCTCATAGGGACTAAACGAGACCTGAAACTGCAGACATTTTTTCACCAGTGTCGGAAACAGTCCGCAAAGTTCCTCGGAAAGCATACAAGAGAGCAGAAAAGGAGACGATAAGGCTCAGTATCGCGTCCTTCCATGATCTCGATATTTCTATTGTTCCTCCCTAATCACTTGAATTCATTTTACCAAATTCTGCCTTCGAAGAGAAGATACCATATCTGCTCGAGTCCCATTGAAACGTTCACCATTAAGTATCCTCCACACGTCTGGTCGATCCTCGACTTAAACGGAACCTTTAAATTAGACCCTAAGTGTCGTAATTGAAATTGCCTCTTTCGCTGACATACACAGTATCCCCGTTTGCAGGGGGCGATTTCTATTTTTTTTTTTCTTTCTTTCTTTCTCGATTACGGAGAGTAGGCACAAAATTTCGGTAAATGCGTAAACGCCCTTCGTGCACTTTCCTGCGAGCTCTTAAAATATTCCCTACGTCTCGTGTTTCCCCCGATCGCTGTTAACTCGCTTGTCGTCAATCCGCGTCGAGCACACAGACCATGTATACTGCAAATGGAAAATCATTAAAAAAGGAAATGTCTACGTCTGCAAAGGGGCACCTCGAATCTGACTATTTAACGACCATTCACGAAAAATCCCAAAATGGTCAGAGTCTGAGTCTACGTCGCCTGTTCTGCCTGTAAACAAAAGATTATCTACATGAGTTCATGACAAGAGTGGCCGTCGTTGACTTGGTGAACGCGCATTTACCGAATCGGAGTCATGTCACCATATACAAGATTTCCATTCCGCGCTCCTTGCACCTTACGATTTCGGACTAAGACCCTAAAAAATTACATATACATATATAATTAGTTATGTATATATGTACCTATGTATATGCCGCTTACTATCTACATATATCTCGTCACAGTCTACGGATATAAATTATTACGCCCGAGGAAACGAGCGGAGAGCAAATAAGAAGAAGAAGAGAAAAAGAAAAGAGAAGATTCCGACTATAATACTTTTCATAATGATCCGTAGCCTTTTTCTTTTTATTGACTTCGAAGAGAATTTTGGAACGAGCTCTTCCCCGGGAGAGCTGCGTCCTCGCGGAATTAATCAGGGCTAAGCCGAAGGAATCCGACGTCCTTATAAAAGTATTTCAATGTTTCGAGAGGCCCGCAAAGTACATTTATATATGTATATATATACAACCGGGAAGGAGACTTCCTCTGGGACGGAAACCCTGAGTTTCCCGATTTTTCAAATAGATTCTGTATTTTTTAGAAGAAAAAAAGAAAAAAAAGAGGAGAAGGAATAAATGTCCTTTAAATGTATAAAAATGTTCAACATGTCGAGATGTACCCTTCGACTTCATGGAGATGAAGGTGTAAAGAATTAGGAGTAAAAAAGAAGAAAAGAAACGGAAAATGGGCGAAGAAACTAAGTCCGTCCCAAAACGAGTTCCCCCCATTTGCATTAGAATATCGCCTTCGACCCTTGTTTTCTTGGTGAAAAAAAAAAAAAACAAAGGCCCCATCGCGGTTTCTCATTGCTTTCCGAAACTATCCCTCCCCCGGCCCTGTTTCCTAAATCCTCAAATTTTGATCTCTCCTTCCAGGGTGGACTACACCAAGGAAGGAGAGAAGGAAAATCCAAGGAGTCGATCCTCCGTACACGGACAACACGACCGTCGATTTAACCCGATTTTATACCGCGTACATACCGCTCCTGGAATTGAAAAGAAACGAGATTCAGAGAAATCAGTTATTTTCGAAACCTTCCCTAGGAACTTGTCGACGGATTCAATAATTTATTGCAGCGACCGCCTGAGGCCTCCTCGCTACTCGAATACCGAAATAAAAAAAAAGAAGAAAAAAATCGTCAACGAGAGGAGGCCCATGAATCCCCCCCAACAAAAAAGAAAAAAAATTCCGCATCTCCACGGTAGTCTCGAAATCCATGTTCCAAAAATTAAATTAAACCTCGAATCGAGGACGAGAGCTCGAGATCGATTTTTCTACAATCCTACGCGTTCCACGTTCCGTCGCAGAATTTATTTTTTTTTTTTTATAAATAAATGCATCTCACCGAAGGAGTGCCAGTTCGAAAATAATGCCGCACGTACTAAAACAGATTTTCGATCGTGACGCGCAACCGAATAATTCACCTAATAGCGTGCATACATACCCACGTATGTATATATAAAGAGGAATATATAGCGAGGAATCGGTTTAAAAAATTAATTGGTACCGAAAACAGCCCTCCACCCCTCGCTTACGGTAGAGACTCTAAAGAGTTCGGCCGAAAATCGGGAAGAAAGTTAATTAGATATCGAAATCGGCCTCGGTGAGATTAACTTCGGCGGTTTATTGCTACTTAAAAAAAGAAAAAAAGAAACAAGGAAAGGCGACCCGCCTCGTCGACAAACGTCAGAAGGACCTTCAAATCCAGCCGAGAAGTAAGTACGAGCTCGACGTTAAATCCCCAAGTTGACCCCGCTTGGCTCTCGCATTATCGACATAAAATGTTGCATAAACAATTACTCGTACGAAAATTCTCCGCGATTCCGACTGGCTCGACTGGCGCGTCCAACCCCGAGTCCAAAGTACCCATTCGAGACAGAGATTGCACACTAATCGTTTCAGAATGGCCTACAACCGTTAATCCAATAATCAAGGCGAATATTAAGGTTAATCGGGCACCATTTAATTGAAAAGAATATTCTGAAACAAGCACCGTGCAAGTATCATCTAGAACGAGTAACCCAGGACCGGCTTTGGTCGCGTCGAGTCGCGATACACAGCGATGACGCAGTAGTAAACCGATATAAGCTCCTTATTCACCATAGTTTGTATCGAGTCTTTTGAATCTCCCATTTGTACACCTCGGTAGGTACATCATATCCCCGTTAGTTAATTATTAATTATTCCGTATAATAATTAATGTCCTCCCTCCGGGTCTCGATCCTGGCGGTCGATCGGTGCACCCCGAGGTCTTCCTAGCTGTCTTTCGCTCTAACCCCCTGTCCCTTCGCTTGGTCTCTTGGGACTCTCCACGTGCAGTCTTATCACAATCACACCATGTAATACATGAAACATTGTACAGTAGATTGGTTACGCTACCTAATCGTAGTATGTACAGAAGCGACACGGAGGAGCGATCCGACCCAAAGGATGGACTATTTCACCTCGACGTCGAAATCAAGGACCAGGAGTTTCGTCTCCTCCGTGCCGTTGCGACTGCCTACGGCACAGACGAGCTTCGTATCGCTGGCCCTGATACGCCAAACGACGCCGCCACTTCCACCGCTCTCCAATGCCACGAGATTCCTAATAAATTCGCCTGCAAACAGAAGTCAGCGGTATAGATCTCTAAGGAATACGTCAAACATTTAAATATTGCAACAGGCCTTAGACAAAGTAGCGTACCGGTTTTAACGTCCCAGAGCTTGACGGTGCCATCATCCGACGAGGTGATGACAAAGTGGCTATTGAACTGAAGGCAAGTAACAGCAGACTGGTGCTTGTTAGGGCCAGAAAGAGTCTGCAGGCAGTGACCACTGACGATGTCCCAGACCTTAACCGTAGAGTCCGCGTTCCCCGACACCAGGATGTTGTTGCGCAACTCCATCCCCGAGGTCAGGGACTGGTGACCCATCAGCGTGTGCCGACACACCCCGGTCTCCACCTCCCAGACCCTTATACTCGTGTCCAGCGACCCACTGACAACGTGAACACCGTCGAACTGAGAAGGAAATTACATGTAGCACTTGCATCATTTGTCATTATTAATTGCTTGGTCGGTTACAACGCAACGATAACTCACTTGAAGAGAATAGACCCGATTGGTGTGTCCCTGCAGCGTGTGAAGACACTCCTCCCTCTCAGGATTCCACACCTTGACCATGAAGTCGTAAGCCCCGCTAACCACTAACTTTCCGTCATATTGCACGCACCTGACAGCAGCCATATGTCCCACGAGCACGTGCAAACATTCCCCGGTATCGACTTGCCACACCCTCAGTGTAGCGTCCCTGCTGCCACTGACGACTTTATCCCCGTGCAAATGCATACACCTCACCGTTGAGGTGTGACCGTATAATGTATGGATACACTGTCCGGTCTCCGCGTTCCACACTTTTAGAGTTCGGTCCGTACTCCCACTGATCACCGTAGTGCCCGACATCTGCGAAGACCACACTCCCCCGGTGTGTCCCACCAACGTCCGCAAGCACTGCAATTCGAATCCATTGTATTTCTGGCTTGCAATTAGCGTACCTTGTCAAGATTAGTATTGTAATGTGTATTCACCTTCCCTGTCACTGCAGACCACACTTTGAGTGTGTTATCGTCAGACCCACTGACTATTCGGTTCCCGGAGAACTGAAGGCAAGTGATCACGTGGTCATCGTGACCCTTGAGGACCTTCGGGGGCCGGATAGGCTTCGTCCTCCAGTTCATCTTGATGTTATGCTGTCGCATGTAGGCCTGCTTCCACGGAGACGAGCAACTTCCAGAGTTCCTGCAGTTTTTCCTCTTTAATGGCGGCAGGTCCTTCAGATCCTCTATACCCGCAGCTCTGCACTTCTCCTTCCACAGCAAGTTATCGTCGGCGAGAAAACGCCAATTCCGACACGTTTGTGCTGCTCGCAGTAAGTCTCTAGGTTCTAAAAATGCTAACACTGACAAGGCTAGTTCTTTAGGGAGCAAAGAAATGAAGTCCCTTTGAAACTGAGGCTCGATCACTTGCATCATGTGGCGCACCTGCGTCGGCTCGCATCTCTCGATCAGTTCATCGATTGCTAGCATCCTCTCTGCATTCGACCACTTCTGTAAAGTCCGGAACATTTATGAAAATATTTCATATCACGGGCAATGAGATAAATCATTTAAGTACGTACCTGAAATTGCAAGAGCCAGGTACTCATCTCAGGCGGAGGGTTATCTCTAGTCGGTATGATGCATCTAACGTGCTTTCCCTTATCATCTGCCTTTTTTACAGTCCTGAATAAAAATAAAGATATTCAAGATTTAATTACAATTTCTGCCAGTTAAATTCAAAAATGGTATGCCAACCTTGAAAATGTTAAAAATCTACCTTGCACACTTTTAATAATTGACAGTGAATACATATGTTATTGGACTTACATTACGGGTATGCTCTTATTTTCTGGAATAAGCTTTTTACAAGGTAAACTGGACTCGGTTTCACTCTTGCGCTTTCTTTGAGGCTGGACTACATCGAGAGGAACACAGGTGTGCAAAATAGGACTTTGAACTCGCTGCGGCAGTGGTGGGTGCGATTGTACGGCAGGAGGCCTGCACTCATTGCTTTCAATTTCTCCTTCGCACTCGACGTCACCAAACATACCATTATCACTGATCTAACGCGTTCAAAAACATTCAGTACCTCGAAATTATTAAATTCACTCCTTTCACATTTCTTTCTTGCCTCCTACCATCCAAAAGATTGCTTACTTCGCTTTCAGCCTCGCTGCTCTCATCCTCATCTGCCTCTTCTCCGTACTCTTCCGACTCCTCGTCCTGTGGCAGCATGCATTGGACGGGGTTGGAAGAACTGGGACCGGGCACGCATTCTACTCCTTCTACGCCTTCTACAGGACTAGGACTCGTTCCTCCGGGCTGCTCTCCACTTATCCCTTTAGAGGACGATGAAGGGACGGACATTACTGGCTCGTACAGCTGGTACAATTTCACCTAGAGACAAACCACCTTAAAGGTCCTGATTTCCAACGATCACCGAACGATATTATCCACATGTTGGTGCACTTATCGAATCCCGAGTCATTTAAATGCCCAGGCATGCAGTGTCTTATGGTTGAAATTAAGCACTGTTTATGCAAGAAGTACAGATCGATGGAAAAATTTCTCACAGCTGAATTTCCCGAGAAAGGCACGAAACTCAATTTCTTGAAAGACCTAACCTTAAAGTCAAGCCAACTGCACCAGGTGTTTCGAACCTAGCCTAAATATTGGTACAACAAAGGACCGGGCCCTGCCACACCCCAGATGGGCCCAAGGGGCCCCGAGGGGCACGGAAGGCGGCTCGTAAAATGTCGAAAAAAATACCGAAGAAATCTCCGTACTTCGGCCAAGGAACTCCCTGCGTCTCCTCTCTCTAGCGGCTCGAATCTCCTTGCTGGCTCGCGACTCCTGCTCGTCGGACCAGTGGACGACTCCCTATAAAGTGCGCGCGGCTCGCATCTCTCCGAGGGCCCCCTAAACTAGGTTAGAATCCGACCGTGGGAATTTCGCGAGCGGATCGGGCCACCTTGGGCGGGCAAACAAAAACAAGAGTCGAGAGTATAAACACTGCGAGGCTTCCATCCAGTCTCGTCGGCCGAGCCCGAGCTCCTTCTCGACGAACTCCGCGATTTATTTAAGAGCTCGTGCACATGCGTTCGCGCGATTAAGCTACATGCTCAAGTAACTACCGGCAACGTTGCGAAACGGGACTGACTACTTAACGAACTTTTCATGTAGACGACCGTGCTTCCGTGCGATACTCTGATTGGTCGGTTCCAGGAGAAAATATTTCCGGATACAACGGAAAGCTTTCTTCGACCAATCACGTAATAGATTCGGGTTAAAAAGAGATTTTCTTACGTTCTACACCGCTACGCGTGTCTATACATTTCTCTTATCGCAATCAGAATTAAGATGATCGAATCGCGATGACGTTTATTTCTTTAGATATCAGATTGACAGAAAATCAACGTTTTTGAACAGAATTTTCTGGGTGAATAATGATGAGTATGCTTCCCATTATGTAGCAACATATTCACCTCTAGTGGCGTTATCTTTCCTGCTTTATAGTCTATGGAGTTTGGTGTTAAAATTATCAAATTGATTTCAGTAGGTTATGAAGTGATGTTAATTTATGAGAAATTAAGTATTTCACGGTAAATCATGCCGAAAGTCGTATCGAGGAGCATCATATGCTCCGATACGAAAGATCAGGAGGAATACAGTGAAGAGAAGCCGCTGCACATATATTACTGCCTTTGTGGACAGATGACGTTGATTTTAGGTAATGCAACCTTACGTACCTGTTTAAAAAATTATAAATCATATAAAGTAATATTTATTTACTTCTTAGATTGTGCTATAGAAAAGTTGCCTTTGCGAAAGAGAGACGGAGCACGCGTTATCGATGGCAGTAAACATGCTCATAAGATGACCTGTGAACAGGACGAAGTGGTTTACCTGAAACGACAAGAAGGGATTGAGAAACAGTATCGACAGAAGTGTAAAAAGTATTGCTGCTGCCTCTTTTTTGCAGAAATATTAATATTCATTTAACTCATTGCTTTCTGGATTTCTAATGCTAATTTAAATTATTTCTTTACCAAAGATGCGGGCTGTGGCTGTATTACAAACATGACCTTGGGTTGAATGTAGTATTTGTCGTAAAAGGTGCAGTGATCAAAAGTTCTGGAGAAGGTCCTGTGACAGACATATACAACCAGGTCGCTATTGAAAAGCCCAAGAAAATTATGGTCACAAAGCATACGAAGAACATGGGCAAATTCAGTTCAGTCACCGTTTCTACAATCGATGAGGAGGAAGATGAAATCGAAGCAGTAAGTCATGGTGCTAAATTTCTAATGAGACTGTTATATAAATGATTAAATAATAATTTTAACGTCTTTCCACACAGAGAGAAGTTGCCGATTCATACGCTAACAATGCACGCATCATAGAGAAGCAATTGGAGAGAAAAGGCATGAACAAGCGGAAAGCTATGCCACCTCCGGAAGTGGACAGTAAAAGAACAAGACCGAGGGGGACATTATTAGACATGTGATATCTCTACCTCGTGTTTGATGGTAGTAACCTGTAAGCGAACTGTACATAGACTTTCTAACTATTGAATTCTGTAAGAACACATGATTCCAACCTCATATTGAAATATTTATTAACATTACATAAAAGTAAATATTTAAAATATATAAATGACTAGATACAAATATTGCATAGAAATGTACATTGAAAAATATAGAAATTTCATAAATAAATATAATAGCTACGTACAATTTATATCATAGAGGGTTGCGCGTTTAATGAATGCGGACCAGTTGGGACCGGAATAAAGATTTTGAACGTGGCAACATCAGCTTCCAAGTAGCAACTATGTGGACACACTGAAAATAATGGTCGCTAGTACGGAGTGCTACGAAAGGAATCCCTCGATATGGCTGGTAGATGTTCTAGGCTACTACAGGTAGAGGATCACTTTTATAACAAAATTTAAAAATATCAGACGTAAGAGATGCGAAAACACCGTTCAGCTTCTCATGCTGGACCTGACCAAACGATCTCACGAATCGACGAGTCTTGCGAGGAAACGAGGAAGCTGTCTAGAGTAATTATCGAATATGTGGTATGTCTAAAAACTAGAGAAGAGTAGGCGGTATGTGACTACAAGTGTGACATCGATTTGTATGAGCTACATAGGAGGTTTCTCGACAATTTATGCTGGCTCTAACAGTAGTTTATCAAACACCGTTAAGTATCCGATGCGAAGATACCCTAGTTGTGCAGCTGGCTAAGACCGAATCCACATGATACGTAAACGTACCTACATACACACAGTATATAAAAAAAAGTGAATTAAATAACACGACAAACTACATTCTTACATACAATGAAATTATCTGTGCAACATACCAACGGTGAGAAAAACAAGCTGTGAACCTTGATTCGATGCTTGCTGCAGTTGTATAAATTATTAATTAAAATGTATAATTAAAACCCATGAATAACCAATACTGTATATACTGCGTGTGTGTAGGTAAAGTTGCGTGCGACCTGTGGGGAATATCATCTTTTAGTCATACGTCAAATCGCTCTGATTCGGAGAGGTTCCTGGATCTGCTACGTTAAAACTTAAAATCAAATGCAAAATGTCATCGTGAAGGGCTTCTGGCGCGAATTCGTAAAAGCGTCGCAACGCTGCGACTTCTTCGAGGTAACTTAGAAGTTTATAAATGCACTGCGAGAGAGATACAGTTCTCTTCGATTTCGTTCGCTTAGCTGAAGCCCTTGTTTCTTCGGCGTACCTTATGTTTAACTTTACAGATTTGCAAGTAGGTCTTAATCGATATATATCACTGCAACTCCTGATGCCGTAGAATACCTGCAGGTTCTACTTGCGCCCAAAACCTAGAAGGTTTGCAATTAATCAATTCAACGGAGACATACTGTCGTTCCCTTGGCCGTAGCAGGCCTCAAATCAATTAATAAATTAAAAGGATATTTTATTCTCGTCCTCTTGGCCGAGACTCGCAAGTGCGACTTGCGTACGAGTAAATAAGTATAAAATAAAAACTTGAGACACGGAATTCATATGAATATATATGTATCCTTCTCACTTAAAAAAATGTTCCCAGGTTCCTCTGCACCTTTTCGTAATCTTACACACAGCAGGTGTTAATAAGTGTAAAGAATCTCGGCAGTTTGCCAAATATTCGTAGGAAACGTGGAACCGAATAACTGAATTCTGATTTACAGATGATAGGAAATCATTCGTTTTTCTTTAAGTATCGGCTCATCCTCCTTCGCTGACTACTTAATCCTCACTCTGACAGAGACTTCCATTATCTGCTGCCCTACCGAATACTCAGAACTCAGTGAATTCAATGCTTTTCACCATAAATGCAGCTTATAAAAAAAAATGTATAATTCAAGAGTTAAACAATAATTAAAATAGTACGTCCACTCTTTTAAGTATCACTCCTCTGTCAGGATTTTTCTCCATGCCATTTTCATTCGCGCTTCAGCTCTTTCGCTTCTACAGCTTTGGTAGTAGACTTTCTACTCATGTCATAGCTGTCGATAAGCTGACCTTCGGTCCACCATCTCAAAAATCAATGACATATTTCTCTCCACAAAAAATGCCTAAAAGAGGCAATTCACACGTTTGCTCATCAAGGTACTTACTCCTGAGCTTTCCTCCAGCTGCCATAATTTCTGTCATCATGACAGATTATTTTTTTTCATATCTTCGTTACTCTTTCACTCCGTCGTTACCATCAGCCTGACAAACCTCCATTCTTACTTCTGCCTTTTAACAATCCTACCCTTCTCTTCTGTTAATTCTGTCAATACATGTAACTGCGATAAAAATTAAACACTAGCCTGTGGAGACTTCATATCCACCCTCTTGAGAATCGTGGGTTCGTCCTTGAGAAAAGTTCCGGACCTGGAGCCGACCGTGGGCTGCTTGGGTTCGCCGTTTTGACACTTCGTCTTCGCTTTATCCTCACCTGGTTTAGCAGTGGTCGTCTTTTTGACAGCAGCCGTTCTGTTGGCCCTGAGAGCACCGTTAGACTTCGGCGAGGATTTTTTCCCAGGACTCTCCTGACCCTGTTGACCACCTGGACCTTCTTTCTTCCTTTTGTCCTTATCAACGTTGACAGCTGTCACTTGACCACTCCCCTGGCGTGCACCTACCCTCTGCTGAGTATTCTGTGTCCTGTTAGGCACGTCTGGCGTCTTTGCCGCGTCCAGGAGGCTTCTTCTCAGACTTGGCGAGCCCTGATAACCAGAAGTTGCGAAAGCTCTGCTCCGACTGGCTGCTGTTGAGTTTTCCAAGGTCCTCGCAGGCCTCCTCGAGACTGTCAATGGACTTCTCTGCTGCATCGGAGGCGAGGGCTTCTTCGCAGGAGTCTTGTTGGCTCCTCTACTCAGAGTCGGTGACAGTTTGTTGGACACCGTTGACTTCGGAGTAGCTGCGACATCTGTCATCAGGCTGTCCGTTGACATCGAAGTGTCCATTTTACCTAAAGTGAATATTCGATGCATAAAGAACTCTCTAATGAGTTAATTAAAATAGTACAATTCCGGAAAAAAAAAAAAAAGAAACAACGAAATCAATTAATTCACTGGACAATTTTCCTCACCAGGTTTTTTTCTGATGATAGGTTTTTTCTTCTGCTCTGCGAGGGAGTCGATCGATAATCCCATATCTCCTTCCTTCTGCTTCAATGACGGGGATTCGGGTCTCGTGATTCCGCAGCTTTTACTCGTTAAATCTTTCTTGACGTTCGTTCGATTATGATTCGACTCTGTGAGACTATCGGAGGAAAGAGCCTTCACATCTTTCTTGATCGGTAGCTTCATTTTGGCTAGAGGCTTCTTCTCGGCGGCTCGCTTCATCGCGGGACTGGAAGTTCTCGAGGAATCCGAGGAGGAGATCATTATTTTCCGGCGTTGCTGGGACATTTTGTCAGGTTGCAAAACCGGAGGAGCAGGCTCCTTCGGGACTGGCTTACTCCTCGGCTCCAGATACCTCGACTTTACCTGGAATTAATTTATGCAAAATATTATTTTTCCGCGATTACCTAGTTTTAAAGCTCAGCCTTTAAATCGCATTACATTTATGCTGAAACGAAACTGGTTGCACGTTTTGAAACACGAATCACTCCTGTTACCTCGACTTTGTTGGGCCATGATCTAGGCCTCATAGTGGAGTCACCCGCGTGCGATTTATCCTCCTGCATTTTTCTCTCCAAAGGATCAGTCTTCGGCTTATTAAGGGGCTTTTTCGGCTGCGGAGGAGGAACCGCAGGCACCGGCTTCGTGGTTTTATCGTTGTGTTCGGATATCGCCATTTTCACGCGCCTCAAGTCCAAGCTGCGGCTGACCGAAGAGCGACTCGACGGAATCTTCGGTTCCTGAATTCAATAACAAAAATAGAACATTGCGATCCATGGCGATGTCCCATAGAATTTTTTAAAATTCTGTTCAGTCCATTAATCGCGTAATAACCCGGAACAGACCTTTAGGAAATTGGAATGTCTGGAGGGCCTCTTCGTCGCTTCGTGCGGCAGTATCACCAAGCAAGCTAACTCTTGGATCCTCCTGCGGAGCTCTAAATCCATCTTAAGCCACGCGGTGGTCCTCGAAGCTCTCGTGGCATCCCTCACGAGGCACTTCTCGACCCGGCTCTGGATCTTCTTCAGGAAATCCACGAAGAGCTGTCCCCACTTCGTCTTGCCCAAAGCGTCGTCCGAGGTCTGAGCGGCGGTCAACATTTTGTGCAATTTCGCGTAACTTTTGCAGGCTTGTTCGGGTGGCAAGCGTTCAGCTGCTGCCAGAAAATTGTCCTCGAGGCGACTGATGTTCCAGGTGAGCTCTCGCCCCAGAGCCTGGAACTTGTCGTTGCCCAGCACTCCGGAGAAGTTCTCCGATAGGTACTTGACAGATGTATCGAGGAGGTTCGACACCAATCTAAAGACTGGTTCAGCCCAGCGAACATTTGGCAAAGTGGCCAGGAGCTTGTCGCAGTCCATCATGGTTTGCAGCACAGTGTCCGTAGACTGAAAAATAATATAAGATGGTCACGTCAAAAATTAAAAATAAGGAGGGTCCTTGAGAAGTTAATAATAATTATTTATCAACTATTCACCATGTGTACAATGTGTTGATGGTAACATTTCTCCATGAGCTCTCGAGGGAGAGTGGCAAATGCTTTGCAGGGCCAAATTCGCACGAAATGTCTGGTAATCCACCTAAGGGATTTTCTGTAGACTTCATCAAGACCGTAGGCAGCAGCTAAAGGCATACACTCGAGCACTCCGACAGCACAGATTTGGCAGGGCTAAACAAAGAGGTGTATTATAGCGACAGATATAAAACTATGCTCGTGTTAATGACCTTGTATTGTTTTAATTCCATTAAAAATATATATACACCAAGTATAAAATTCACTTACTTTATGGAACAAGTGGCAATATTTAACTTTAAGGGTATATCCGATAACTTCCTTCAGTCCTTCTAAACACAGCATATCAGCTAACGTAGCCAATTCTACGATACTTATAGAATCTGGTATATTACTCTCTCCGCTGTATATATGACACAATGCAAAATGCACTGCATTGTAAGAATATCTGTAAAATGAATAAGTGGATGTGTATTACGTACCTAGTAAGATAAATAAAAATATTTTAAACGCATCTCTTACAGCGAGGGATCACAGGTAAGTAGTACATTTATGTAATAAACTGAGTTACCCTTGAAGAGGTATAACATTTCCAGCACTCTCGATCCAACCTCCACTAAGAATTGCAGCAAAGTATTGACACCGAGAGCTTAAAATGCACTTATGAGCTCGTATTCGTCGACCAGCGACGTCAATCGTCACGTCTGGATTAATTTCTTCTAGGAACATCCTGAGAAGGTCCTCTCCGAGCCTGTTGTACGGTTTCGCCCCGGCTATGCTAGACGTTTCTGTCTCCTCGGTGCTCCCTTCTGTACATTAAGACAACCGTTTCCTGGAGCCATCCACAAAATAAAATCATAGTATATGAGAACAAATTATCTAAGAAGACTAACCTGCCCCAGAGCGGCCCATGCTACTCTGCATACTGCTGAGATCAGACTCGGAGACCAATCCTTCTCCATCGAATTCTCCGATGACCTCCTCCATGGGTGACTTTTGCTTAGGAGGCAATGAAGTGGACATAGCCGATTGAATTCTCCTGGGATTCGCCCTGACCGGGCCAGTCCTTGAGACAACGAGCTTGCTTTCGATCCAAGAGGTCTCCGGGATGCTTTTGCTCATGCGATAAGTTACCTTCTCCTCGTCAACTGACATAATCTCTGTAGATTGACATCTCGCCGGGGCCTTATCGAGGTCGGAGAGCCTGACAAAAGTGGAGCCCGTGGTTCTGGAAAGCCCAGGATGAGGAGTCCGCACGTCTCTGGCCCCGGAGCCTCTACTTCTCTGAGACTCTTCCTCTTCCTCAATACCCTGATCCAACCTGACCTCTTCTGAACTCTTAAACTCGCACTCTATTTTTTTAATCGTTTCACTTAAGGACCTGTGAGTCTCCATTATTTTACTAGCCACTGGAGGAACTAATCGAGTTCTATCTGACAACTGGGGTACGACATCTTCTCCATTGGCCAGATCCGATAGCTCGAACTGCTGGTTATCGCTGCAGGGGGATGGTCCACTGCCACTGCTAATGTCGAAAGTCTCGCTCTTCCTGGTGTGACCTTCGGTACTCTCCGTCCCTGTTTTGTCCCACACTGACACTTCGGAGAACTCTTCTTCATAAGCTTTGACATCAAGCTCGGCACCTTCCACGATTTCAGTAGTCCCAAGCTCTTTGTAGTCGTGATGCTTAATGCAGACCCTTATCTCTTCGTCCACTATTTCTACATGCGAGTTAGGAGGAGTGTCCCTTACGTCGTACTCGAAGACATCCTCTGCAGAGGTATCCATGTTCCTCGACTCGGTCTCCTGGGGACGTTCCGCAGATTTACCATTGGGTACCTTCCCTCTGGTTTCTTCGCTTAGGGAGTGACTAGAGTTGCTGGTCTTCGCTTGGAGCCTGCGAACGTCTCCTCGGTCCACAGAGAGACTGTGCGCACGCTTATGCTCCCTACGGAATGCCGGTTCCTTTGTTGGTTGACAGTTGCCATTAGCCGATTGGGACTTTTCAAGGTTCCAGGAATGCCTCTTGAAGGGTGGCCTCGATGTGGACAGAGTTCTTCTTCTTACCACTGGAGAGTCCGATTCAATGAACATAAAAACACTGGGTTTGTTCCTTTCTTTCACTGGCTTTGGATCCTGAAGTCCCTTAGCTTCGGTCAACGGCTGTTCACAGCTCTGTGGCTTTGAGTGTCTGGGATCGAACCTTCTTTCTTTAAACAACTGGGCTCTATCGCTTGGCCTAACCTCTTCAGACTTCTTTTTTTCTGGCTCATTTAAATCTATGAACATCGAAAAGATATTTTTCTTGTCTCCTGCATCGGCACTGCCACTGGGTTGTTTCTTCTGAGGCTCCTCCGAAGGCTCCTGTTTTTGATTTTTCCCTGCTTCGTTCTTGTCCGACATGTCAATGAAAAATTCACAGTACTGCTTCCCAGGCCCGTTTTGATCCTTCTTCTCCTTCTGGAGTCCTTTTGGAGTATCCATGTCATTTAGGTTAACAAAGAAACCCAAACTGCCATGCTTTTCATGAGTTTTTTTCTTAGTAGGTTTTCTTGCGTGATCAGCACTCGACAAGCTCTGTGACATTCCCGCCTGGGAATCCTTGACATCCAAAGATTTCATATCGGACCTACTACAGTCGCTCATGTCTACGACCCAGGCACTCATTGAAGAAAACATCCTCGCCGTTTTTTTCCCCTTCGTTTTAGGTTCGTTCATAATTACCGAACCTCCAGAAACTATCGGTGTAGATTCTGTCTTTCTTCGGACAATTGGGCTGTCGGTAGGTTTCGAGAAGTCCGAAGTACTGGCACCACCTGATACTATAGGCGTAGCTTCGTCTCGTTTGGTTCTCTTCGTTAACTCCCTCTTCTCTCCCTCTAAAATGCTATTCAGCGTCACTGGCAGACTGCTACTGGCGTCATCCGAGCCTTCTGTGGATCCGTCAAAATAATCACCTAAAAACTTGTCGCTTGCACTTTTCAACACAGGATAATTCATCGATGACTTCTGTTCTGAAAAATATCTCTTCTCCACTTCTTTCTGGGCAGTGTCCAGTTCCAACTTGTCGAATGACAGATATGAAGTCGAAGAGTGATCAGCAGTCTTGGGAATGAGTTTTCCTTCTAAGCTGTGGTTATTCAAGGCTTCCATCGAAGCCATGTGAGGAGATCCAAAATAATTTCTCTCTACCTCCTTCTGGGTGACATCGAGCTCCAGCTTGTCCATTGGTGGACACGAAGTTGAGTACTCCGAGGCCTTTGGAACCACATCCATAAAACCATTTAAACTCTCCATCCCAGATAGACTGGACTCAGCAGGCGGAGCAGTAGGATCAAAGTAGGGGTCATCGTCTATCCTATGCCCCGAATACTGTGGGATGGAGTTCTGGAAAACTAGGCTACCTTGTCTCCTCTCGTACTCTTGCCTTAGAATGGAGAGCTTTTCCTCGTTTGAATCCAGCTCGAAAGTGTTTCTTCGAATTAAAGAGGGCCTCCTTGTGTCTTCGGTGGTCTTGGATTCTTCTTCTAAAGGTTTCTCTTCGACTTTCTCCTCGAGTCTATCTGAAACCTTCGGAAGGGCCTCATTGATACTCACTGTAACAACTTCATCTTTGTCTTCAGAAATACTGGTGCTATTGTCAGGGCAAGGAGAGGGTTGAGTGCTCTCTCCGCTGTCAGCTTCCTTAATTTCCACAGCCAATGCCTCCTTATCGATACCTCTGTCCACCTCGAGTCTCTCCTCCGATGTAGAGTCCACCCTCTTCACCTTCCGGGGCTCTGCAAGTGGTTCCAAATGCTCCGTAAGCTTCAGCTCTCTCTCGAACTCTGCTACCCTTTCGTGGCCTGTTTGTAAACTCGCAGACTTCCTCGAAGTAAATTTATGGTACTGATCTTCTACTGGAGGGTTGCTAGGTCGACTGGTTGCACAGTTCATCGAGTGAGATATATAAGAAGGTAACCGACCATTCGAGTGCTTGTCTCGGTGGGCCACCGAAGCCACTTCTGCATCATCACTCAAAGTGGATGCATCGATGAAATAATAACTTGTCGAGGAATTCTTCTGATCTCTATCTTCATCTCTTGAATCGTCTCCACTTTTAACGTCATCCTTGGCTATTGAATCGCCACATATTTCTTCTTCGCAGCTATTAATAATTATCCTACCTTGTTGTTTGAAGTTAATGTCACCGTTGGGCTCTTCGTCCTGTCTACTGTTAGTAGCTTCGTCACTGGAATCCTGTCTGAATTTGGCCTGATTGTTAGAGTTCCTTTCTAGGTCAACCGATGAAGCAGCTGAAGAAACGTTGACAGGATTTATGTACTCGAACGAGCCCGTAGGGACGAACGAGTTGATTCTTTCGTTCCCCTCGCTCTCACAATCTGACTCATAGAATGGATCACTTAGCACCTGGGTCTCGTATAGAGCTATCTCCTCAGCCTCGGTGACTCTCTGATGGGGATTCTCATCGGAGGAACCTGACGAGTCCAAGCGAGGTTCCGGCTCCGTCGACGAGCACGTAGCATCCGTTCCAGGATTGGAATTAGAATTTGACTCCACTAACACTGATCGCACTAGGGATTTCGCACCGTGTACTCCATTACAAGTGTTGATTGCACTTTGCTCTTTGAGCTTGGTTCGACTCCGGAGGTTCTCATCACTCAGGTGGATCTTGTTCAGGTCTTCGTCAGTGGATATGTACTCCGCAGTCTGGGAATCCAAGTCCATCCCTAAGAGAAAATAATTATTAGGATTACAACAATACAATTGGAATATATTAATCAATATTATTGTCTTTTTAATTGTTTTTAAGATATTCTAATTGTAGGCCATTTATTTCGATACCTGACGACTCCGACACTGTATTCTCTTGTGGACTGACTGAGCCGGTCTCTAGTCCAGAGTCAGCCATTTCAGATGACAAGGGACTCACATTTGTTCTGCAGGCTCCATCACTCTCTTCAAATTGTTCAGATGCATCACCACTTGCATACGCAGTCTCTTTACATGTTCTAAATTAAATAATTTAATATAAATAAATTTGTTGATAATCCAAATATTACAGTGGAATTTAATTGCGAGGACAATTAAACGTGAAAGTCTCCAGAGGACACCGAATAGGTATCAGAAAATACAGCAAACCTTTTATTCAAGGAGGATCTACCATCGGCTTCAGGAGACTCGACGACTTTGGACGCAAATGCGATATTCAGAATAAGTTCTACTAGTAACCTCTCCTCTTGAGATGGATCCACGTTACGGTATAGAAGCCTATGATAAAAAAGAGGAATCATCTTTCGTTAGAAATTACGTCTACTTCAGTCTGTGCTGTACAACTCCTAATTTATATTTCTAATTAGGGGCAATAAATTAAATGAAAATACAAACGTGATAAAACGACTTATTAATGCTGTTAGTGTCTATCAAGTCCTTAGAGCAACTGCACAAAAGTAGAAAGATTGCAAAGTAATGGTAAAGGGTGGAAATCTCGTGCAAACGAAAAACCGACCCAGGCCATGTATATTGTAATTTTTGTTTTGAATATTCGTGCAACTAGCGCATGGAATAAAAAATTATGTGCTCCCGGGCATTTCCCCTTTTCTATGGTGCAATGGAGAACACGCAGAGTTAACGGAGGTACCTCACGAAACTCTCTACTCGTTGGAACAGTCCGAGAGAATGAAGAAAACATTTGACTGTCCTGTCGCAGTACACTAAGTAAGGTCTCAAAGCTGCATAAAAGTCTGGTGATCTGGCCCTTATGATACATTGGTTCGTCTTTATGACATCATAGCCATGTATTATGTAAAAATCACAATTCAGCGACTCCTTCAATATTCTATAATGTAAGGGAACATTCCAATTCAGGGATATTATTTCAAAGAACAACACTTTAATACCGATTAACACAGTGCTTTAGTACCTTCATTTATAACGAGCATAAATTTTCTTACATAATTTTACAAAGTCTAAAGCAATAAGCTTTAGCAATGAAATTTTCCAATTCTACATTTTTTACAAATATTTCAATGCATTTTATATTTTCAATACTTAACTTAATTGGTATATTAACATAGCGTCATTATAATTGCAGGGAAAAATTAACTTACCTAAAGATATCTTGTTGCAACAAGTCGATGTTCAATGAATAAGTACGTCCATGCTCCAGCTTCTGCCTCCTTTTAAAACTTTCGCTGTTAGGAGGTTTGCTCGGTGAACAAGTGTGAAAGCGTCGGTGGTACAGCCTCGGGTTTAATTTGTCCAAACTTCCACCTTTTCTGTTGCTGCCACCTCCTCCAGCCATGAGGCATGTTTAATCTTTCATGCTGCAAAAAAGTAATTATTCCAGTTCATCTTGACTAAATAAATAAAAACGAGAAATGGAATCTCAGCTATTTAGTAAATACGTTTTTATGTATGTACCACGTCAAACATGTCAAATATGTCCACGGTAATTAATGGTCATTAAGTTGTTCCAAGAAGTCTAAACGAGAGGCGATAAAAATAATTCCTCCGTGGCAACGTGATTACACGAGACACATTCTCAAATGATTAATTCAGATGGATAAGTATCGTAAACAATTCACTACTATAATCATTTTATTTCAGGTGCATGACTGAAAATACCTCTGCTAAAGCCAGACCTTGCATCATCGCTGATTGTACATAACAAAGAGTCGCCTAAGGAAATGCATACAAATTTCAAGGCCAATGTCGGTATCCTACAGGTATGATCATTAATATTCCACGTGCATAACACCCGAGCCTTTCAGTGAATTTACCTTTCGTCGCCAACGCTTCCCCAAGCCCACTTGGTTACTTAAACACCCAGGACAGTCTATATTTATAATTCATGAGCCCGTTCCTTTCTCCACAATACATTAACAAATTAAATAAAATTAATAATTAAAAAATTCAGTTCCCATCTTACCCATCGACAGGACCATGAAATAAAATTCAAATGACCAAATCCCACATTTCAAGAAAGTTGGCAAACAATTCTACCGCTCTTCCAGCCAAGAATACAGTCAAGAACCTTAACGCCTCCTTGCCTTTCCTTGTTCCACATAACGAGACCCTTGTTCCACTTATGCAGTCCTGTTGTGATAACTAGCACAAACGAATAAAAGACTCAAATCAAATTCAGCCAACAAACCGCGAGCTCATCCGTGCCCATTGTCATCGTAACAGCGTCGACTGACAGTGTCTGCCGCTTGACAGCAGCATGACAACAAACGCGCCTCTGATCCGTCTGTCACTCGCCACGCGCTCTCTTTCTTCCAAGCCGAAAGAAGCCGAAATTGCGCAGGACTCCTCTTGTTATCAGGTCCGCTAATGGGGAAATCGCTTCGTCGTCGGTCGCGGGACTCGTACCCGAGAAGCTGACTCGCTGGAGAAACGACTTAGCCGCGAGTGCGGCCCTTTTCTGACATAATTTATTGATCGCTCGAGAATACCTCGCCGTACCCACCTCGCATTATTTCCGCGCCGTATACGCGTGCCGACCCATAGGACCACCCAGGGCGTGAGGGACTCGAGGCGTGCCACAGTCCAGGTTTCCGAGGACATGGAAAACAGCTGGAATGAGTCCTTCGGCGTTGTTTCTTCCCTGAGAGCGATCGTTCCGTGGTGTCTTCTTCGGTGAACGATCCGCGGGACGAATTCCACGATGCGGATCGCTGCTGCGGACGACGAGCAGTACTGCGCGACTCGACGTTTCACGGCGCTGCCATGAGATGGCGGGAGCGCGCGGGCGACGTGACGTCATCTGTTAGCGAATGCTCGAACTCGGCAGCCAGTATACATGACCTTAAAGCTACAGGAAAGTTACTCCACAGGCGTTGTGCATCAGTAGATCGGGTATTTTTTTAAGCATCAACAGATAATTTTGAATAGGTGGAGTGAAAAGTGAATTTAAGCTATGAATACAAAGGAGAAGGAGAAGTACATCGAGGAGTTTGATTTCCCACACTGCGATGAGTCTACCAAGTACGAAAAAGTGGCGAAAATTGGTCAAGGAACGTTTGGGTTGGTGTTGGAATCTTACGAATTTTGAAGTTGTAGGTTAGATTGCAAGTTTATGCGAGATTCTGACGTTATGTTATCTTTTTCACACCGTCCCATCATCTGGGTGAAACCAGGGAGGTCTTCAAAGCCAGAGATAAAAAGACTAATAAAAAATTCGTGGCGATGAAGAAAGTATTGATGGACAACGAGAAGGAAGGGGTATGTTCGATGTGCATTTTCTAAAGTGTAGAACATTGCGTTATGTTTCTTGTCACGTTCTTGTATCATACTTGACATTGCATTTGTAAATTGTTAACGGGATGGTACTGGAAGGTATACAATATTTTGTTACAGTTTCCTATAACTGCCCTCAGGGAAATAAGGATACTGCAGTTATTAAAGCACGAGAATGTAGTGAACCTTATTGAAATATGCCGGACGAAAGGTAATTTCCTTAAATTAAGTGTTGCATCCTTACCTGAAGTTCCTCATTAAAAGAAAACTTTTACTTTCAGCCACGCAATATAACAAATATAGGTCTACGTTCTATCTAGTATTCGATTTTTGTGAACACGACTTAGCTGGATTATTGTCAAATGTAAATGTAAAGTTTAGCTTAGGCGAAATTAAGAAAGTTATGCAGCAATTACTGAATGGATTGTATTATATACATAGCAATAAGGTAAGAAATATTTAAATATCTTATTAGCAAGTCCACGACAAGATGTATCATTTTGCAGATTTTACATAGAGATATGAAGGCAGCTAACGTTCTTATTACAAAGAATGGAATTCTAAAATTGGCAGATTTTGGTCTAGCACGAGCGTTTAGTGCTAACAAAAATGGCCAAGCGAATCGTTACACCAACAGAGTAGTAACGCTTTGGTACAGGCCACCCGAGCTACTGCTCGGTGATCGAAATTATGGACCGCCTGTTGACTTGTGGGGTGCTGGATGCATAATGGCTGAAATGTGGACGAGGTAAAATTAACATGAGAAATGACTATTAAAGATACTTAGAGTATATGTACGTACTAGATATCCAGTGATAATAGAAAAGAGTTATCTTCAATCAATGTATTTAATTTGTTAATACCTTTCCAGATCTCCAATTATGCAAGGCAACACTGAACAGCAACAGCTTACATTAATCTCCCAATTGTGTGGGTCAATCACGACAGAAGTGTGGCCCGGGGTGGAACACTTGGAATTATTTAACAAAATGGAATTACCTAAAGCACAGAAGAGAAAAGTGAAGGACAGACTGAAACCCTATGTAAAGGACCCGTACGCTTGCGATCTTTTGGATAAACTGCTGATCCTAGATCCTAACAAGAGATACGATTCTGATTCTGCTCTGAATCACGATTTTTTCTGGACTGACCCGATGCCCTGCGACCTCAGCAAAATGCTGGCACAGCATACGCAGAGCATGTTCGAGTACCTGGCACCACCGAGAAGACCTGGCCATATGCGCCATCCTCACCATCCCGTACCGGGAGGACCTGCAAAACCTAGTTCTAGCATGGCCGACAGTGGATATCAGGATCGAGTGTTTTAATGTGATTTTATAAACAAACTGTGATGACCACTCAATGTTCCGAAGATAATCGTTACAGCTGTCGAGAACTCAAAACTAATCCACTGGGATATTGTAATAAAACTAATGTAACGTTTAATGTTCAATAATATCCATAAGCTGTAAGTATCAATGATACCATTGAACATCCGATTTATACGTTTAAGATAATATGTAAAATAATTTGGTATATATACATTTTTAAAAGACATCTCTTGCTTTACTACCCCCAAAGATCGAGAGCTATCAAATGTTAGCTAAATTGTATCCAAAGTATTAATTACTGCATCGCTTATGTCGAACGAATGATTAATAAGGATTCCGTGGAGCGCTATGAAGCTAATGAGAATCAGTATTGAGTATCAAAGGACGCACTCGTGTGCTTATTGTAGTTCAAAAGTACACTAACGATACTTCGAGGCGAGGGAAAGTTCCTACAGAAACAATTACCTTCGTACTTATTAATTACGAGACAGAGTGCTGCATTTAACGGGGTAAGGCATTAAATTAAATAAAAAAAGAAAAGAAAAAAAAAGAAGAGACCGCATCTCTCGACGTGCCTTAATACCAAGACATTCTAAAGTGGAGCAATTATTTATCGACAATCTTCAGCTCTCTACTTCTCGGGAACTTGGTGACGCAGGCTTTATCTCGGCACTAGGAGAACTTCGATGAACCTTCACTTAGTGGATAAACTATAACATAACCTTCGCCCAAACTCAACAATTAATCCAATCGGTCCAGCTAGTCGTTAATTAATCTAACTTTTCAGAAAAGTATTCTCCACCTAATCTAGAAACCGCTCGCATTCTCCTAACTCCTCAGGTAACCCTTCGCCAATTTGCTTCGCCCTGGATATGCAAGTAGCAAATCCGCCGTAGCACCGCAACATCAAACACATAAATATCTACATCTGTCTGCACGTTTAATCGGTTAAACGTTCCATGGAACGTTGAACCCTTCCGACCACGCGTCGACTCCTTCGCCCCGGGACTCCCTAGCAAGTACAGCCGTCGAAGGGTGTGACATTATTTATCACCGGATAGAAAAGTACAAACATCGTTTTCAGGGTCGCGCCTCCTCGGCGAAGGCGCGCACAATGGCAGCATAATTTTCTTCCGAGACTCCGAGTTCTCGTTCGGTCGTTAAAAGACAACTCCACGAGGACTAATCGTCGTTCAAGAACCGATCCAGTGGATTCTGTCCCTTCAGCTTCGACTTCAAGGTCGACGTCTCCGAGCTCTCAGCTGCAAAAGACAAACACTCGTTAATCCTCCTCAAGTACCGGTAATTGCAACGAGCAATGGATCGTAAGATTTACAATTGGCCGTCCATCGTCCAGAAAAATATACCGAAGAGATAATTATTTGAAGAAGAAAAAAAACTGATCAACCTGGCGTGGGCCGTTGCGCATTCAGGCAGCTCAGCCACTCCGTCATGCTGATTCGCCGGTCATTGTTGATATCACAGTACCTGGGCAGCTTTTTACCGCACCTGCGTAATTGCCTGTTGCTAGCTACCATAGTCCGGAAGCTCTTCCACTCCTTCCTCTCCAGCACCTGGAATAAAGGCCATGGTTCTTCAACCACTCCTTAAACGATCATCCTTACAATTAGACTCGGACGATTAACACCCCCTCGAATCAGCTGGTCGATTTAAATCCCTTCAAACGCTAACAATCTACCATACGATTCTCCCTCGCCATTGCGGGGATAAGTTTCTTGAACCGAGAGGAGAACGACGCGGAATGCGCTCTCTAGATTCCGCGTCTCTGCATCGATCCAGCCGACACCTTGATCCCGTTGAGAAGCTCGTTAAACGGAGGATTAACGAGCGCGAAAAGATCGTTTAAAATGTACACAGGCACCTTGTTCTTATTTTTATCGAGCATAACAAAGTGCCAAGTGGCTATTCGCTCCTCCTTCGAGGCTTGCCACTCGGCGGTGGTCTCCTCGGAGTCGGCGCTGGAGGCCTTCATCTTCTTCTGCATCAGGTCCATCAGGTCCCTTAGGAACATCTGCTTTTTCGTCTCCGGACACCCTGTGGGGGGAAAGATAAGGCTTCAGCGAGTTCCTTAGTTTTCCCTTTCATTTCAGGAACGATGGGTCTCACCTTTCATGGGTCGGCTGGGCGTGGGTACCGGGTTGCAATTCGGCGTCCTGTCCTTCGAGGACGTCCCTGGTATCGGCTTCCCGGTGTCCTGGTAGACGCACCAACAGTACCCCGAGTAACACTGCACCTTGTGGTACCTCCCATCCGGGGTGCACTGGGGGATGTAGAACTTCTCCTGGGAGTTCTGCTTCTGGTCGTCCAGGACCGATTTCCTGTCAGATATGCAGTCGTTCGCTGTAAAGAAGAAAATAAATCCGTCCAGTACTTCTTCCCATGGAAATATGGAAATTATTAGACCAAGGACGTTGGTAAAAAATAATGTCAACGAAGAGAAGAAAAAAAAATTGACAAAAAGGACTTACCGTCACTGTCTTCCTTGGTGTCCGGAGGATCGTCATTGAAGGTCGGTCTCGTATGTACCGGGGCAGGATTTCCTTTCAAAACTGAGAAACGCAGATCGTTATTCCAAAACCTCTGACATCCGATTTTCCTCCCAGGACATACCTTCTCGGAATAAATATTAAATTCAGACAGTCTCCCGCGAATGATAAAACTCCTCCGACTATTTCAAGAGCGCAGAATTTAGAAAACGTAATTTAGACAAAATTCCGTCACCACCCTCCGGATCTCACGAAACGGTCTCTCAACGAGTCCAGATAAATACAAGCGCATGCAATTAAAACTAAGCCACCTTAACGTTATTAAACAAGATTAAATAAACAAATTAATGAATTAAAAAGACAGGAATAAAAAAACATCGAAGTTCAAATCGCGAGGGGGCAGTGCCCACTGGGGGTGGTGACATCGCGCACGTCGACATGGTCGCCCAAATTGTTTAAACAATAATACCTAATAGTGGAAGATACGAGTACCCTGAATTCCCTAAATCTCGCGAGGTCTCGTCAGTAAACGAGCAGCACCACCACCTTGGTCGCGACTCAACAACGCAACAATTGTTGTTGTTCCCCAGAGGTGGAGACGGTGCGAAAGAAAAAAACAAAAAGGGTCTATGAATAAACAATATCCGGCCAATTTCAAGAGCGAACAGAGATTCCTTGGAAAACGAACGCTTCGCGGAGATGAAATACTTCTTTGAAAATACCTCTCTCTTGCAGGGAAGAATAAGAAAAAAAAAAAAGAAGTGAAATAAAAGTAGCGTTTCTCTTTTCGTTTCCCTTCAAGGCAAATTTCCGTTCGACTCGTTTCGCGAGACTTCTTTTGTTAAATTAGTTAAGGTCTCGTCCGAGGGGGTGTACTTCGGTTGGGGCCTTATCATCGGGGTTTTCCTGTTATCAGGGCATTGTTGGGGTGGTCGACCAACGTGGGGGGCCTTCTGGAGAAGAGGGACTCACCTTGGTCCGTGGCCCGGGTCCTCTGGGCCTCAGGGACCTCGGGGCGCTCGTCTGCAGGGTTCAGCGACAAGAACAAACGTACTAAATGATAATAATTACATCACTCAGCCGACTGGCTTTACCTAGACAATTGTCGTGTGTGTCAATCAGGTGGAGAGCGGTAGGGGGATTCTTGCGGGGGGGTTTACAGGGAGATATACAAAATTGCAGATGTACAGATTCACGGATAAACGGACTCCACCGGTGACTATCATATCCCTGCGAGGAGGGGATGCACCCTGCGCTACGAGCTTATCAAAGTCCCACGAGTAGCCGATAACCCCGGATTTCGATTCGACTCGTTCACCGAGAAAAGTCACTGCTCCTCGGCCGACCAGGAGTCGACATCCGGATTCCCCATAAACGCATTCAGATTTTTCATCCTGATTGTTACTAGACATCGACCAAACCGACATCCTGGACCAACGTCGAGGACGGACCAGAAGCATGATCGTCGACTCCCTTAGCAGGGGAGTAATTTAAAAAATCGTGAAATAGTGTAAAAAGAAAAATAGAAAAAAATAAATAAATGTCGTTCAAGTAACACCGAGTCGATTCCTGGATTGGTTTAGCAGGAGGTCCCAGGTGGGTTTTCTCGGTCTTGGGGGCCGGGAAAATCGACCTCGGTTGGTTTACTCGGGCAGATCCAAGCCGACGAAGGTCCCATGCAGGAGAGGCAAAAAAAGGCCCAAAAGGCCGGCCTTATCGATGCAACGATGCAAGCCGACTCGCGTGAGGGATACTCTAGGTCTAGCACTAGCACCGTGTCGGGTGTACGTGTAGCCCGGGAGGGAAAAAGGGAGAGAAAGAAGGGGGACAAGAAGGGAAAGAAGAAAAAAAAAAAAAGAAGGAACTGCAGAGGCAGTTCCACGTATCTTTGATGCAGCTGCGAGAGCGCGCTCGTACACGGTGCACGTAGGCAAAGAAGCGAAGAGGCAAAGAAGGAGAGTCGACGGTTCCGCGAAAGAGCCCGCAGCAACATCGGCAACATAATCAAGCGATACGGTTTCCGAGGCCGACGTCATGCCGAGGCTCGCCGTAAGAAACGAGCCCCACGTGTCGGGGAAATTCGCGACTAGAGCACCGAGTACTTAGGGCGATTAATTAACAGCAAAAAAAGGAAGAAAAAAAAAAATTCACCATCCCCTTGGATGGGATTTAAATACGAGACAAATCGCGACGAGCGAATAAATATGAATAAATTGGCCCTAATTAAATAAAAAAAAAAACATGAAAAGGCGTGCGAGTCTCTAAGGAGTGTTTGGTAATTAATTCATATTTTCGGATAGTTCGTCAGTCGACTGTTGAGACATTCTTCGAGGGCGAATGCTCCTCGATGATTGAGAAATTGTGAAAATCTTGTACGGCGGAGGGGATTCTTTCTCTCTGTTTTTCTTTTTTTTATCTCGATTTTAGTGCCTGGAGATGGCTCGCGCTGAAGAGAAGACTTCGAGGGCGGGCCTTTCTGGTTGCGTAGGAGTGCGCCAGAATTCCTTTCCGGCGAATCGAATTAGCTTGGGCCTTTCATTGAAGGCGTAGGTGATGATTTACGGAGTGCATGAGCATTAGACGGTGGGGCAGGACACAGTCGGGCGTAGTTTGCGCCGCGCCAATTGTCTCAATAAAATTCCGCCCATGGCGAGTTGTCCGCGGTGTGGGCAAACTATTTCCGGCAGTACTCGCTTAGGAGCTCGGCAAGACCGGAAGTAAAGATGACATCCTGCGGAAATAACCGAGTCTGCCACATTGGGATACGGTCACTGATCGAGAGAAAAGTCTGGCACCCTTTCGCTCCTCGTTTCCTCCCAACCGAGAGCATCGACCTTCCACGGACATTGTCACGAAGAGCCTCCCAGGAAACCACGACAACGGTCTCTGAAATTTAAATGGATTGTGGGGAGAAAGAAAAAAAAAAATTATCCACCAAATTTGAAAGCATCCCAGGGTCGTCAGACTTTTTGTCGTGAATATTTACGAGAGACCTGCTGATCGCGTGCACTTGTCGTGGATTGACCTCCACTAGATACGAATTTTTCGTGACCATTTTAAATGGTTCGGACATTTTAGGCATTAGGTATTAGAGGGACCAGAAATTCAGGGATTTACTCGGGAAGTAAGTGCTGACACTTTCGGGGACGTCGAAAGTCGGTGAGAAAGCACCTCGTCGAAATGCAGAGATCGCGATCGGTAAAACGCGAAAATTAGCCCGCGAGATAGTGAGGCGAATCGCGCGAGGCAAGCAGGCGGCACTGATTATTCGTATAACCAGCTTTGGGCCGTTAAAAAGCGAAAAGATTGTCAGGCTCTGGGAAAGGTCAGTTATTAACGCGCGAACAAGCCGCTGGCTCGTTTGCTGTCGAGTCCGCGATACAAGCGAGTGCGATTATGTCAGCCGACAATTCGAAGCGAGGCCCCAACACCCCGGGGGATTTATTTCGTGATTAATTAATAATTATCGATTATCGTTAACGAGGCAACCACGCCGGGGAGACTTCCTACCTTCGACTACATGCGAGACCTGGCGGATCATCCGGCACGATTCGCTCATGCAAAAAAAAAAAAGAAAATCAGAGAAAGAAAAATTTATCCGTAACTTTTTTTCTTTTCCCCTCGATATGCAAATTTTTTTCCGGATGCTGCGCCAGGATGAAATTCGTCCACCTGCAGAAGTCTCTCTTTTATCGGTCCCAATTGTTAATTCAGGTGTGGCAAATTATTTCCGCCTACCGTGAACGGTCAAAGAAAGAACCCACGTTTGTTTGCAATTTTTTCGGAGCAATCCGCAAAGCGAAGTACAGTAACTGGAAGGTGAAGCAGATAACTATGCTAATTATCGACAGACCAATCGATCCGTTGACAGTCGGCATCGATAATAATTTGCCACGTCCAGTTAGCGGCGGCTCAGCTTTCGACTTACGAGTGAAATCGTTCGCCAGGCAAGCTCCCCATTCCTGGCGAGATAGTTTCAGGTCCCGATTCAGGTCGCAGGTCCTTGCAAAAGTCCTGGCGCACTTTTTCGGGCGTACCGCCTTTTTGGCGAGCCTCCTGAGCTCCCTGTACTCGGTCCTGTCCAAGAAACCATCGCCATCCTTATCCAGGGTCATGAACTTCCAGGAGAGGACGCGTTCGACGTTCTTGTCTCCTAGAAAAAAGTACAAAAAAAAAGAAATCCATAAACTCGGAATTTATCGAAGATCATTAAACATTAATACCTGGGGACCTCAAACCTGACTACGAATTTACTGCCCGTCGAGGAAAACGCGACAAGGTGGACATGGCCATCGGTACCTGAAGGGAAGTCGCAATTTCCCGAGAGAATATCATCCCGGCGATTTTATTCAAAGAGAATTGACAAAATAAGAAAAATCGAGCGCTTCCAAAGCGTATAAAGTATCCTCAGAGAAAGAGGAGAAAATCCACCGCGACTGCCGGTTGTCAATGCTCGGTAATTGCTCGGGATAATTGCCGCCTCGAGCTGGCGCCAGTATGAGCAATATCGCTGACATTGCTTAAGGCCGGCTCGTTGCGGCGTTCACCTTGCAGCTTTTTCCGTCACCTTTCCTCGACGGCGGCGGCGTTACTCCTTAAGGGGTTCCCTGACTTTTTGCCCGGCCGAGATTACCCACATCTTGGTTCTCGCTGTTCCTCGAGGTCAGTGCAAAAAGTCACTCGCTATTATAACGCGTATAAAGATTCATCCGCGAGAACGTTGCACGGAATCGAGGGAACTTTCTTTAGATTATACCCTCTGGTCCACATACGTACATATATATATATACACAAAGTGTACATAGATACATATCTTACCGCGTTTACATAGACCGGGGAGATTTCAGACCGTGGAAGGGATTAATATTAAATGAATTAATATAGCAAAGTGTCGGACGAATCTCGAGGAACGGCGAGGTCGGAGAAACGCGATTTCTCGAGGTTATCACAGAGACGGCTACCGTCGGCGGAGATGTTGGTCCTGCGGTACTCGATCTTGAAGTTGTCGATGAGATTCCCGTTGAACTTGGACCTCTCGTGGCGGTCGCAGGTGTTCCGGTGGCGGGCGTCGGGGTACTGCCTGCGCGGGTTCCGGGGAGGCGAGCGGCGGCGCTGGCCGCTCCTGGTAGAAGCAGCGGATCGGGATCCGGGTCTCATACATCTTGGTCTTTGGTGTCTTACCGAGGTGTCCGGTATCGGCCGGCCTTGGGCGGTCACGCACCAGCAGTACCCGGTCTCCTCGTGGCACTGCACCGGCGCGTACGTGCCGTCCGCCCGGCACGAGGGCCGCGCACCCGACCGCGCCGTCAGTCGGGCCGAGAAACATGGCGGCGTATCTAAACGATTAGAAACGATTTTTTTTTTAATCAAAACACATTTCGGTACAATAATAAATAACATGAATGATTCGCGGGAGAAAAACAATTAAATTGGCAGAGCATGCGACGTGAACCCGACCGCGCCGTCAGTGGGGCCGAGAAACATGGCGGCGTATCTAAACGATTAGAAACAATTTTTTTTTAATCAAAATACATTTCGGATTAATATTAATTAACATGAATGATTCGCGGGAGAAAAACAATTAAATTGGCAGAGCATGCAACGTGAACCTGACCGCGCTGTCAGTGGGGCCGAGAAACATGGCGGCGATTAGAAATGATTTTTTTTTTATCGAAATACATTTCGGTATAATAATAAATAACATTAATGATTCACGAGGTGAAGAATAAAAAAAATGGTTAAAATCGCGAGATAAAAGAAAGGTAAACTTAATTGGCAAAACACAGGGCCGCCAGCAATTTACGTTAACATCCCTGACCTTCCTCTCTACCCTGCAATCTCTCGCCTCTTCAAAGTGCAATTTCGCCTTCAACGTCACTTAAACCCCTCGTGAAACGAAATCACCCGGACGGCCGTCGTCGATTCATCCGTAGATATCGCAGGCACCAATCGGATCGCGTCGATCGATTAGTGTCAAATAAAAAGCAATGAGGCCTAATCCCCTCGGTGCCGAGTGGAATCGAATGTGAATTAATTCCCTCGGAATCGAATGCAATTATTCGAGGTTAAGGCGTCACGCCTTATTAGCACCTCCTCGCTCCTCGGGTAAATAGGAGCGACATTGTTATCTCCGGGTGTCACTTTTTTCCTACCTCCATCTAACAACGAGAGTCATCGTTTACGAGGGCTCGTTAATATAAACTGGTCGAAACCGAGAGAAAAGAAGTGAGATGACCTCCCCTGCCGATCGGTAAATCATGATCGAGGGATCGACGGCGGGCAGAGAACGATCGACTCTCGTCTGCCCGCGACAGTTGCTATTTCTAGCCGGCGTTTTTCTCGGCGACATAGGTGTATTTACCGGGCCGACCGAGTCCATAATAAACGGGATAAGAACCGCGAACATGGCGTCACGGAGAAACCAATATGAGTAATTGCGCTACAGCCGGATAGACACCCACTCCTGTCATCGACACGCTACCGAGTCGTGAACAGCTGATTAATTAGTTAGGGGACGCAACAGGAACGCCGCTCGATGAGTCCACCACCGGATTGTCCTTTGCGAGTTTCGATCCTGACCGGCATGCTTATACCTCGCGTAATCAGGATTTTTATAGTCCGACTCGACGTGTTCAATTTGGCACGCACCTGGACAAGGTCCCGTGTGCTTAACGAGAAGAGAGACACCCTGGCACTGCTTAGAGATGACCTGACATTGACTAGGATACGTGACACCGTCGCTGCCACAAACTGGAGCACTGTTCCCTCCGCTCATCGTGCACTCGGCTATCCTCCTTTTACAGTCCTCCTGCGAACAGAGAGTAATCCGATTACAAAGGCCGATAATCTCGAATGAACGAGGAATTAAAGATTATCTCCGAGAAAATCTGATTCCTCGTTAAAGAGGGTCTTTTGGAAGATCTCGTGGTTTCCGAGATAGGTGGGGTCGACGTTGGAAAATCAGCTGGCAGCTTCGGTCAGGGTTTCCCAAATATCTCGAGAACTACAAGTCGGTCGAAATTCTGCAAGGGAGCTTTTCTTCTCGATTTCTTCCAAGGATTCGAGCGAAAGGCTCCCCGGCGATTTTGGATCGCCCTGTATCGCCGCTCGAATCTTTGCGGAATGCCGTCAGGTGCATTCACGAGGTGCACTATCGGGCGCCATTAATCGCATTGCCGTGGCCGATACACCTGTGTCTACCGGCAATTGGCATTGGCGGAAGTTAACGAGGTGTGCAAATGTCGATCCAGGTGAGAAATCGAAGCCCAGGTGTTACCTTATCATACCTCGAGCCGAGCAAGGCAATCACCTGCACGCGAGTTTCGCGCCGACTAAGGCCCCCCTCACACCGGACGTGATCTTTCTATAATTTGCGCAATCTGACCGGATCATAAGCATTCAGCAAGGTCCAACAAATCCAGGACAAACTATTTACGCGTACAATAAAAAAAAAAAAGGCGAAAACGAATCCAGAAAAGCATCAGGAGTGGATCGAGGACATGCACGATATCTTTAATTTCCCTGCAAAATGCAGGATCTTGCGCTGGAGAGAGAAGAAAAAAAAAATCAAAGAAGAAAAGTAAATAAATTACCATGTTAACTAAATGCTCGCGCGAACGTAAATAGACTGAGTCATACTTTGAGCCCATTAACGTCTACCGCCACTTTGCGTATCTTATCGGTACATCGGTGTATCTACATCATCGTACGCCCTGTATCTCATTCGGTATGACGATTAAAAAAAGGAAAAATCTCCGAAACACGACGCGGCTCTTCCCCGGAGGTTTTCTCGCTAGGAAAAAGCCATTTCTCTGGCACCCGGGGCACGACGCGAGGAGATTAGGCCTCGTTGCATCCGACAGTGCGTGTCGCTCGTATCTCACGGAGAAAGCAGCGGGAAATAATCGAGGTCTTCCTTGAAAGTCGGTCGGCGATCCTGGAGGGCTCGCATCGCGTCGGCCCGCGACCCGACCCTCCGTTTCGTCGTTCAGCTCGGTAGAGTTCCGCGCCAAGTACAAAGTCGCGCATAAGAGCGGGTCGTCCGATCTAATCCGTTTTTGCCTAATCGATCGAGTGATTCCTCGGGTCGCGGACCCCGCAGAAATGCCGACTCGCAAATCGCAGGACGCTACGCGACACGTGGATTTATTTAGCGTTAACGCATCCCGCGTACACTCGCATCCCACTTTCTTGTTTCAGGAAACCGGCACTTAGGCTCTTGGAGGACGGCTCCGTAATGTGTCGGGCCGATTGTAACGTCAATCTCTTTGAGTGGTCCTCGCCCACGTTACGCCAATGCGGACGTCTCATACGTGCCGGTTGATAATCCATGAATATTTACAAGGAACGCCGGATCGATCTTGCGCCAATCGAGACGTAACCACCTCGAGTCCTTCGTGACAAATCGGTCTTAATTTCGAAGACCCTGTACCTAAAATGTCGGGAATTAATTACAAACAATCAACGCCATCGACGCAGCCTCGACATAACTTAGAAGGCACATTTATAATCTAACCCTGTCGTTAATACTCACTATTTCCATTTTCGGCTATCATAAGGACCGTTCGGCCACTGATAGCCACGACTCACTAAAAGGTAGCGATACGGGAGAATTTTTTTTCACGAAGAAAAAAAAAAATTAGGAGGTGCCGTGAATTAAAATTACCTCCAAGGCTCGCCATCCTCCGTCGCGGTTAGTTATGCGCGAAAACAAACGCCTTATCAATTTTTATCTGACGAGTACTTAGAATTAGGACGCCTCGGGTATTTCTTCAATTCCGGCGAGGTCACAGTAAACGTCTCGAAACATCGGAATTTAAAGTTAAAGGGATTCGAATATTAATTCGAATTATTTCTCCCTACACATGGTTAGTACAACTCCTGAATTGCATTCTACTTTTGCACTCTATTGGACGCATATTCAATTACATATATATATCGAATCGCACGCGTTCATCACGGAATGAATTATCCCGTTTTTTTGTGCGCCTTCAGTCCAATTAACTGAATTCTGCGAGGATTTTCTAGGTTATGTAAAGCGGTGTCGCTCGCGGCGCTCGGCCACGTGACCGCGGTGACGCATGTGCAGAAGGTAACGAGAACCCTTGACGGATAGCGTAACGTCGGAGCGACCTGCGAGGGCCGTTAATATAGGAGAAGTACGTGTGTACACGTGAACCGAGCGCGAATCGAATGCCAAACGAGGGATCGATATAAAGTATGCGCGAGGTGAGCGTCGTTGGCGCCGCTCTGGGACGATCGTCCGCTTCTCGTCGCTCCTTAAGAGCCTAAGATAGAATTCGAAGCATCTCGGCGCCTAATATCAGCATTCCGTCCTGGCAAATCGATTGCTAGGTATAATTATGACGAAACATCGAGCGGCGCCATACACGCGTCCGCGACGCGCCGCCATGTTGTTTTTTTCCTTCCCGAACCGCGGAGGCGGGGGCGCCCGTTCCCGATACGTTTATCATATTTAAGGATTAAGAAGCCGATTAATACACGTCGGTACGGCTAGACAGATCAAACGGGGCTAAAATTCCAGTCGATTCCACGACTCAACGCGCAGGATAAGACCTCTCTAAGACGCGAAGCAAAACGTCCGCGTCCGACAGCGTACCCGACATGCCTCGCGGCTAATGGCGGCGGATACCGAATTTCTCGAATATAAGTATATATACAAGGGAATTACCGCAACGGCTCGACGCCGATATATCCCTCGCGTAGCCTCGAGTCCGAACGGTCCGATTAACGTGGCGGAATCTCTCGATCTGAGGCGTGGAGGAATTTTAACGAGGTTGAAATACGGAGGCGTCCGAAAGGCGGCGGCCATTTTGAAAAAGGGGTCCCGGCGCGGGAAATTCATCCTTCGAGGCTGCCGGTAACGCGGATGAAAGATGCATCGTATAGTGGCCCCTTTGTGCCACTTTGATGGCCTGCGAGTCCGGTGGACGTTATATTACGATGCGCGCGTGTCTCCTCGTGCATCCGTAATTATTGACCGGCACGTCAGTCGGGGGATATTTACGACGCGCACCCAACGCCGGGAGTCACTCTTACGCCGATGACATAACGCGATTGGAGATCGTCCGTAGTGCCGGCGCGTCCGCGCATGCGCCGCCACCGAGGCTTCCGATTGGCCGAGCCGTTCCCGCGCATTCGCCGCGCGCCGATTTACGCGAAGACAAGAAGAGCGAACAAGACGATATGAAAAAGGAGGCGATTAATAAGAAAAAGGAATAAAAAAAAAAGTTACGGTCCATTTACCAAAATCCTCGCATCGAATGGAGAAGAACCCAGTGTCGGGCGAACAATCGAACTTTGTGACCATCTCCGTTAATTACGTTAATAACTTCGTGGGAATCCCCACGAGGCCCCTCGGCCGAAAAAGAAGAGAGATGAGACGCCGCGTCGTTTTTCTCCCCTAATGATAAAATGCCTGATAAATGTGAGTATGTTCATACGTGCATGCCGAAAAGAGGAGAAATTGAGGAGTACATAAATGGGCATAGAATGTATGTACGCGTAACTCGTAAACACGGGGAAACGGTACAAGCGCAATTTCGAATCTCGGTCGAAAGTGAACAACCAGTTCCCTCGATTCTAAGCCTAGCTCGTAAAGCCTCCCCTCGCCCGCTCCCCTGAATATTAAGATATTATTATATCATCGCCCGGAATTTATGCGAATACGGTAACTAAAGGTCTTCCTCTCCGTCTCCCTCGCTCTCCCACGGCGAGTCGCGATCGCTTTTAATGGAAACCTCGTCCGGATAATCCGACCAATCTCGAGCGCCTGTTCATATTAATTATAGGTAACGAATCGAGCGTATTACGCGGATATTCGAGGTATGCAGGGAAATTCAAAGGCGATCCGTTAGCTAAAGCCCCTTCGGTAAGATTTATCCTCGCGCTGTTGATGTGAGAAAAAGAGAAGAAAAAAAAATTATTAATTCAATATTCCCATGAAATTCACTTCAATATTCTCGAGCGGCTGTTCGCATTAATTATCGGTAACGAATCGAGCGTATTACGCGGATATTCGAGGTATGCAGGGAAATTCAAAGGCGATCCGTTAGCTAAAGCCCCTTCGGTAAGATTTATCCTCGCGCTGTTGATGTAAACAAAAAAGAAAAAAAATGAAATAGTCCCATGAAAAGTGGAAAAAAAATTCCGGCGTGATTACCAGGCATCAGTTGATAAAGATTGGGGTGATAAAACGGAATGGGGAAAAAAATGCCCGGTGAAGAGGAGAAGCACTTGGCCATGGAAAGTCAAGGCGATCCCTTGATGGTCGGCTTTTCTTTTTATGGGTCGTACAGAGTCCGGAACCTTTGGCCCATAAACGGACCGGACAAACGACCCTAACTCTGTCTAACGACATGCAAATAGGAGCATCTGACAAACAAGCGTCACCGTGTCTATATAGCCTCTCCTACGGGCTAAACGACCATCTCGAATGGTCGCACCTGCGATTTGCGTTATTACTCCGACTGCCTTGGGGTCGATTTTCAAGAGACGCGCAATATCGGTGACAAATTTCCACATACCCAGTTCATCGCCTGAACTGCCTTCCCACCGTAAGAAAGAAAGAAAGACGTGGAATTCCTATTAAATATATATTTTTTTTTTCAATTAAATCAATTTCCGAGATACTCCTTAACTGGCCGCAGGACTCTCGGTCTCGAGGGAGAACGAGACGTCGGCCGAGCAGTCGCGGATTACTTTTAATTAGAGTCTTAATTTTGAAGAAATTAGCCGATAACGCGACAGGGTTGACAGAAGGCTCGCGTTTAACGGCGACTCTCGATTTCAATCGGGCCGGGTAAAATGGCCTCACGAACGATTCCGTAAGTCTTTTTCCCCCGGAGGGATAACGATCGACGATCGGCCGGGTGTCCCGAATCTCATCCGGTTGGATGGAATTCGAGGAGGTGTCCACGTTCTCCGGCCAAACGGGTTTCTTTGGACACATTCTTGGTAGGGACGCTCGCGAAAACCGGCGTACACATATGCATAAACATACGTATACACGGGTACGCATACCTATAGAAAATAACCAAGCTCTCCGTTATACTTATTGGCCACTTGACCGAGGAGATACAAGGACCCCGAGAACCGGACACTCGACGTGACTTTTCGTTTCCACGGAGCTTCGTTTTCGCCGGAAGACCGAGGACCGACAATGAAACGTTCCCTCTTAGGATTAACGAGAGAGAGAAAAAAAAAAAAAAAAATAAGGGAAATTTATTGGATAAGCACTTCAGAATAGGTGACGTTTCATGAAATTCATTTTTTGTGGGCGTTTCGTGAATTCATTCGTCCTTTTTTTTTCTTTCAACGGTGCATCAAGGCTTGCCTCGCGGATAAGAAAAATCATGGGAATCGAAATACGACGATATATATATGATTTTTTTTTTCAACTTTCGGAGGGGAAAAAAAAATCGACAGAAGAATTTCCATCTTGGAGATGGCCATGAGTCCCTGTCTAATAAAGTTTACCCGCCCTTCGCCTTATCTCGCCCGCTCTAAACCCTCCTCGTATCAGCTCTGCTTCTATTTGCCAAAGACTCCCTGATACGGCCACCAGAAAAACGGCGTTACGGTTGCACCTCGCTAATGACACTGTACCACCGCGGCATCCATTTACTCATTATTCTAAGTTAACGTTAACGCCAAAAAAAGAAACTCGGAAAAAAAATGTCCACATCCTAGACACTCTGTGGAGGTATTTCCCGTAAAAAAAAATTGAATCCCAGAAAATGAATACGAAAAGTAAATAAAAATAAAAAAGCATTCCTCGTTCCGGTACACAGCTGGCGGTTGTAAAATCATAGGGTAGGGGATAAAAGAAAAATATCGAAAAGAGGGAAAAAAAAAAAGGTTATCGTTCCGACACCTGGTCAGCCGTATATCGACACACGGGGTCTGAGAAAAAAAAAAAAAAAGAATCCAGTGGTCGAGTATGCCCACGTCCGGATTCCTCAAGGCGGGTTCTCAAACGCGAACTCGCGAAAACACATCGACGATAAAGGCCCCTCGAATCGCTCTCGACGGATAGAAATGTATCTTTCCTCGACTGCCAAAAGAAAAAAAAAAAGAAGAAATAAAAATGTTTAATTTTATCCTTTTCGTATTAAAATTTCTGCGTCTCACTGCAGCGTAACCGGGGAAAAGTTTCCTCCAAAGCGGGATCAGACGATCGAAATGTATATTTCGCGCAAAAGGGAGCGAGGAAAAAAAAAAAAAAAAAGAAGAAAGTGTTATAATTAATATTTTTGATTTTTCTTTCATTATCTATACTCGTTCCCCATGGAAGTGTCGACTTGGCCAGAGTTGTCCCATATCCCCGGAGGTTACACGGTCAATTCATCGAATTAACCTCCGTCGTCGGCCTTAAAAACCTCTTCCTACCCGCTGACTTGGCCTCGCGACGAGAAAAGGGAACCAGCGCTCGAAAAAAAAGAGGAAGGGACGTCTCGGAATAATCGCCGATATTAATTATTTCATTTCGTCCCCTCATTTCGTATGAAATCACTCGCCGAGGTGGAGGTAAGACGCGAGTCGGCCGCTCGCGGAAACGGCAATCGGCGGAATCCCCGGATTAATCTCCATATTAAGCGGCTGGAAAAGGTTCAAATATCTCCGACACTTTACGAGCCGTCGGGCTTGCGGTAATATCGCTGATTTAATCGAAGGAAGACGGTCGTCAACGGAGGTTATTAAAATAAAGGAAAACAGGTTGCCAGTTTCATCCCCGCCTCGGCGTCATCGATAAATCATTTCGACTAAAAGATAGTCACAGGAAGCCTCGGCTAAACGCAATCGTAAAAACAAAGGCCTATACCCAACGTTAACGCAACAACGTATAAATAATCGAAGACACCCGATAAAGGAGAACCACTAACGTCGCAGTTAAACCAATCCCAATTTCCACACATCTCTCAGAAATTCGTCATTGACTAAATCGATGAAACGTCAGGAGAGAAAAAAAAATAAAAAAAAAAAAATAAAAAATCCGGATAATCTCGCACCGTAGCATAAAGCCCACCCCAAAGAAACGCATGCAGTCGAGCCCCGTTAATATCCCTCGAAAGAGGGTAAAATCCTCATTCCGGTTCGACTCGCTCCCGGGGTGGAGTCAAGACAGGAAGGTAAACTCGCAAATGAAGCAAAAGGCCTTGACAAAAAGTGCCTTGTACCTTGGCCGGCGAGGAATCCGCCGCGGCTAGGTGCAGCAGTAAGAGAAGCCCGAGGGAGGCGCTCGGGAGCAGCAGCATCCTGAAGGGGGTATCAGGTGCCGGCGCGGCAGGTGCGTCGCAGGTAGCAGGGGGCGGGCGGTCACTCGCGGGGGGCCACGGCGGCGCGCGCACGTGGCATGGCAGGCCGTCCTCGGGGTCCGGGCCCGACGGTTATCGGCACTGGCCGGCCGAGGGGCGCACCGGCCCCTCGATCCCGTTTCCCAAAGGGGGGCTGCGCTTAACCTGGCGAGCCTGCGCTTAACCGGGAGGGCCAGGAGGGCTCGCGCTTCTCCGGGGGGGCCGAAGGGGGCTTGCGCTTCTCCAGGGTGCCCAAGAAGAGCCGCGCTTCTCCGGGAGGGCCAAAAAGAGCTGCGCTTCTCCGGGGGGCCCAGGGAAGCCTCGCGACTTCGGGTCACTTGTCCGGGCCTTCTGCGGCCGAGTCCGACCAGCCGTGGCAAGTGCCGGCGAGCAACTGGCACTTGCCACTGCTCGCCACTTGCCGTCGGAGGCCTGTCTCACCACGAATACCATGCCAGGCCTCGTCCGACGCTTCCCCGACGCGGCGCGTCCAAGAGGATGGAGAGAAGTGCGCCGATATCGCCGGGCCGGTAGGGGCCCCGCTCGGCCCCGCTCGGCCCCCTCGTACCCCTGGCACCCCCGGCAGGGGCACCTATCCAGGGTATCTTCGAATTCCACGTGTGGGGACCCACCCCGCGCACCGCCTTCTGGGCCTGAAAATAAAAACCGGCTGTTACCAAAAATTGCAGAAAAATGAGATTAATAACAGCGAACTAGACCCCGGATAAAGTAATCAATGGATTTATATCAGTTACCCCAGTTCTGGTATATACGTTGATTTTCACCGTGATGGGTGTACTGGTCTTTTAATCGACGTTTAGGAATGATAAAAATTGAAAGGGTGGGATCGGGTCAGGAGGGGTGCGAACGAAATAGGGTGTATCGAGGGTGACGTAAAGTCGTTTGCGTAAACGATGGTTATCGGGGACGGAGCTAATGGTTCCTCGAAGGGTACCGAGTCGTTTTCGAAACGAGATGAAAATAAAATCAGGGAACGACTTTCGGCTCGAGGGAGGCCCTTTCCGAGAATCGTTCGATCGGTTCTAGTTAAACTCGCATTAAGTCTCGATGGACGAGCTATCCGGGGAGGAATCGCGACAACCCCGATCCCCCCTGGCGCTCCTGGCTCCATTAAACCCGGAGGCCATTAAATTCGGTTTTGCGACGAAAGGATCGGTTAAGCCGTCGAGATCGCTCGTCGGACTTAACCCTGAGTTAACGGTAACGCTCGCGACTCCCGGGGCCTATAAAGCACGAAGAGGGGCCCGAAGAGAGCGAGTCAAGATCCGTGAGTCACCGGGAATTCGAAACCGATTCAGAACAGGTTACCGGCATCGGAATGTAGCATTTAATGCAACCCGCGGTTGCGAGGGAGGTCGGCATGCCCCCCGATGCTCAGCTGTTGGAAATCGACGTGAGATTTCCGGAGATTTCTCATCGGCACTTTCCTCGTCTCGTCCCCCCTCCGTTCCCGAGACCTCGAAGTCCGCAGTAAAACCGATTTCCAACATTTCCATCTCATCTCCCGTCGAAGTATCCCGCTCTTAAAGTCGGGCCCCGAAGATCCTTCGCTTCTTCCTTTCCCTTTGTATACGCTTTCCTCGAGGTAACGAATGGCTCGAGAGATCTGCCATTATCAGGGGAGGTCCCTTCCTTCAGGGGGGCCCGATTCGCGGCGGTGGTTGCGTCCCTGTTCTCGGCAAGAAGGGGACTTAAGGACGGACAAGAGCGAACGCCATCCTCCGACCTGGCACGCCCGTTCGCCGTGGTATGCGGGGGGCGAGAGGGCCCCGACGGGCCCCGCTGAGAAGGGGCCTCTCCGCTGCACGGTCCCCGATCCGAGATTTACCTTACAACTTTATAATACCGCCTTCCCCCTCGGGTCTCTCTCCGGCGAAAGGAAGAGAAAGGAAACTCCAATTTCTCCGGCATACGTGTAAGATGACGGGCCCTCTAAGGCCCAACGAGCGTTTCGTAACCCGCCTAGAAGATACACAAAATATCGGGATTTACCCTACATCGCATTGCTTTCCAACGCACGGAGAGAACCCTTAAGGATTTTTCTACAACCGCAAATGGCCCGTTATTTAGCTCTAATGAATTTAGGGCCTTATCTTTATTGTGAAGAATCAGAGTTTCCTCTCACCCCGCGACCGATGCATAAATCGTCCCATTTGTTAGGAGCAAAGTAGCGGATGCAAATGGAAATAAAAGCGGGGAGTTTAAGGCGGGATGATTTAGGTATAGACGCCAGAGCGTCTGGAGCAGTTGGGTCGGCCGAAGGGGCCCGAGGGGTCCCCGGGCCCTTTCGGAGCCTGCCCCGTCGAGGGGTCCAAGCCACGATGTAACCTAAGCTCCTCTACACTCTGCTCTCCATTATGCGACCCGGAATATATGTCGCCTATTACAAAGGACGTTACTACGGTAACAAATAAATACACGCCTCGACAACTGCTCTTTACAATCCGATTCGGAGGCTTTGGTTCTTAAACCTCATTTTTACGGTCAAAAGACATCTTCTATCCGTGGTCCTTAAATGGCTACAAGACACTATTTACCGCTAAAAGTGAGGTGTAAGTACCTGCCTAAATCCATTCACAAAACACGATTTCGATTGTCTTAAAAAATTCGCACATAAATCGTATACTTGGCGCGAGACTCTATCATCGTGATCGCAACGATAAGCGTGAATAGATACGAATAGAACTGCGCAGTTCGGAGCTGGGAGATGCGAGGCAGAGACGCCGGAATGTCTGGAAGAGCCGAGGGATCTCCAGATGGGCCAGCTGGGGCCCGTAGGGGGGTTGCCCCGTCGAGAGGCCCAGACAATAGGACGCCAAGACATAACCTAACTCCCGGGCACTCCATTATGCGCTCTCGGCCGTATCGCATACCACGAAGGACGTTACTTTCTACGACCGCAAATCAAACCGCCGCGGGTGCTCTTTACACGAATTACATCATTGAATTAAATCTAATTACATTTCCAGTTGCATACAAATACGTTCCACGATTCGCTGAAACCGTCATTTTGTGATTACATGGGAATTTTAGGATTCATCCCTCTGAAGAGTACATAAATTAGTTCGGATATCGGATTGGTTTAGGTACAATGGCCGGTGCCCCTGAAAGGATCGAGCTGGCCCAAAGAGGCTCCGGGGCTGCCTTGCCGAGAGTCCCAGACAATAGGACGCCACGATCTAACCTAAACTCTTATAAGGTCCTCTGTTGCGTGCGCTGGCCTCGCGCAGCTCGCCCTGCACAGCTCCACGGGGGACCGGGTGTCATGTGAGGCCCGTCGGGGCCGTTGGGACCGGCGGCCTCGCAGGGACTCGCGCCGGTGGTGCGAAACCATAATAGGTCGTTCCAACGAGCCAGTGATGCGTTTACCTCGCACCGATCGCTGGCCGATACACCTGCGGAATTGCAAAATGAGCAAAATCCCATCGGGCCAGTTATCGCGAGATCGGGGGGCCCCGCCGTTTCGTCCCACCTCGCGAGTTTCATGCCCCGGAGAAAGTGCAATTGAGGGGCCCGGGACGGCAACGCACCACCTCCGGGTGCGGCTGAAACGGAGGCAGCACGATATCGCAGTAAAATCGCCAATTACCGTCGAATTATGACGGGTAAAGCCGGATTAATGCGAGAACCCATGACGACCGTTTGTTGTCGGACAGTTGTCACGGCAACCGCGAACATGGCGTCGGTTACCGTGGCAACTGCTGCTACGGAGACGCGTACTCTGGTAACGGTTGCCATGGAGACGTTTACCATAGAGACGCGGTTGGATCGAAGAGGAACGATATGTATGCAAGTTCTCCTATTATTGTAACGAACATATTACACAAATTACATAAATGAGACACGCAGGCTTACATGAGATCCGAAACCTACTCGCGAGTGGAATTCGCCGCTCCAGAAGCGACGATTCCGCGACTTATGCAACTCGTATGACCCGATTTATGGTTTATGGAGATTGGGCCCGGACCCCGCGGGCATTTTCGTGAGCTCTCGCCTCTTATGCGTTTAAGAAAGCGAGCCCTTGGTCGTTATGACTTGCAAATCGTGACGGAGAGTAATTGGGCATTAAGGTTTAAGGGTCTAAAGAATGGGCCGCGATACTAACGGTCCGTGGACTGGGAATCTCATTAAGGACTAGAACTAAACTCCAAACTTGAAGCGAATAACACCGAGGTCAAGGTTTACTGACAAATGATTTGAAGATAATTACCTCACACCATGTGTAGGTGATTATCTTCGAAATAAATTCTGAAAATTAAATGTCTCGTTAATAAAACTTCAGATAAACCTTCTTGACAAAATTAATCAAAGCCAGATACAATCGTTCAGGACTCTTTTTTTCGGAGAACAATTTGGACCCATGAGCCTTGAGCGACCTCATCTTACTGAACTCGTCGGACAAGGGATGATTCTTCTCCGACGATCTCCCTCCCGCTCCCAGAGACGGCCTTATCAAAAGGCTATTTCCATCGGGAACAATTACGTTATTATAGCTCCGTTACTTTATGATTCACCGGCGTACAATAATTGTAACGCGCTGATGCTAACGGCGTCTGTTCCGTGTTTTTCTCCGAGAAAAAGGGTGACGGGCCTTATCGTATGACACTCGTAGACCTCTGGGCGATATTGTAAACAATTGGCATCATCGAGGAAACATTTAACACAGAAACGTCCCCCGAACATCTGCAACTGCAATCTACACCGATGCCCTTTAAATTGGAAACATCGACGTTCAAATGAATTTTGCGAACACAAATAGAATAACTAAAGTGTTAAGATAATATCCCATCACTGTGCGTCCGTATGTTTTCTAATGTGTAATAAACGAAAAGGATTGTTTCTTAGGAGCTCAAGTGAAAAAGTAAGCACTAGAGAGTATTAATTACAGATTGCCGATCAACTGGTAGACGAGTCTGTTTCCTGAGTCGTGTGTTCTTCTTTGAGCGACACGTATACCTTCACCGTCTCTTGCATTGCCTTTTCAAAAATCACACTCCCGTCTTGACGTTTCGCATACTTGTATAACATCGAGCAAGCGTTCGACAGACCTACTTGCATCTTTTTCAGCCAGAACGTACCCTCCTTGTCTTGGTCACGGGTGAATTCCCAGATGTTGTCAAAGTACAAAGCGTAAACAGACCTGGGGAGGTCTTTCTCAATGTCTATGGAGGCACACGCATGAACATCTATGTTTGTAATCTTCGAAACAGCATTCATCGAATCCAGAATAAGGGTGCACATCCTCGCTATATGGATCTCCCTGTGTCCTTTGACAGAGGGATCGGAGGCATAGTGCTCAAGATTGTCGATGATCAGGACGGTGGGCAGAATTTCGAATTTATGTAGGTCCACTAGCTGTTCCATCAAAGCCTCATAATTCGGCAAGTACCTGAAACAATTGCCAAAATTGCCATTGACAATAAAGATGCTCGCAACTTAGTATCCTTTAAAGAGTTACATTTTTACAGTACATAGAGAGATACCAGGGTTTATCTGTAGAAGGAATAACAGATATCTTTACTGAAATACTTACATGAACCGAATCAATTTGAAGGTCGCGGCAGCCGGTGGATTTCTGTCGTGATAAATAGGGGGCAGCGATGCCAGCGGTTTAGGCGCGACGTAAACTACTCGTCGGCCTTCGTCCGCCCAATGAATGGCAGTCTTGTAACAAATACAAAATACAAAGTCGACCCATGTATTTAAAGTACCCTAAATATTCTGCGTCTCTTACCTCGAAAATAAGAGACCTCGTATGTTCTGTCGAGCCACAAAACAGCGTGGCCATTACTTGATTCCCCGGCGAGAACATCGATAGTGTTAGGTTATGTTTTTCCCGCACAAGTTATGGATACACGCAACCAAACTATCAGGGATCACGAGATACAATAAATCGGTTCAAAATATTTGTTGGCGTTTTCTTTTAACTCGTTTGATCACGATTAATGGGTTTTATGCTTTATACTATTTGTATACTTTACAGAAATTGAGTTTGACATTTCCTTAAAGCAGATTTACGTGCCGAAATATAAAGTACAGAAGTATATACATACGATGGCAACCGGTGCGAATTAGGGATGGATACAGCACGTGCTTGAATATAACCTATCATCGGCTGAGTTGTAATATTGTATCGTGGTTGTGTTTATAAATACCGGCAATGTCTGTAAGAAAAATATGTGATATTTATATCGATAGTGGACGCCGTTAATGAATACCTAATTCTGGACGCAGAATGTGATGAAATGACAAAGTATCCCAAAAAATAACAGTCCATTATTTATTTAAGCACCGGAGAATATTCATAATTGTTTATCGCTGTTTGAACGTAATCAATTTAAGGGAAATAGTATTAGTTAGATTCTTTTCACAGTGATTTAGTATTTTTATTGTCAATGAGTGAAACAAGGTACGCTTTTAAGTTATACCTTTGGAGACAATGTTCCTCAAGCACTTCCTCGGTCTGCGAATCCTGACGAGGAAGAAAACTCAGAGAAATTTTATCTGGAGTCGGGCCTATCACAAACTGCTCGACGATGATGTCTCTGGAGTATCGTTGGCTTACATAAAAAATACGTTGAATTCGATGAACATCAGCTTTTTAGATGGCCATGCTTGCATTATTACAAGTTGTCCTCTATGCAAATCAGAAAAATCTAAAGAACCTAAGGTTTTTGTAAATAAAACCACTGGTGAGTAGGAACAAATATTTTCTTTCAAATTTGATCATTGTACTGTAATTTAAACAGAAATTTGTTTACTTTGAATCACCCGACATAGGTTTCTTCATGTGTGAGAAGTGCAGGTATACTGGCTCGTGGAGCACTCTGGAGAAATTCTTTTCACCAGGCACCTCTGCAAAGAAATTGCAAGAATTATCGCTGCTGAAAAATTCTTTAACAGCAGAGAACAATTTAAAAAATGAATGGAATAAAATTAAAGAAAGTTGTCAGAACATAACAGAAATGTCAGTGGATGATTATAATAATCTTCTGAAATCTCTATCACTACCAGTAAGGAAATTTCATAATATATATTTGTCATAAAAGAGTAAAGTATATTTTTAATTTCTTCTGTCAGGAAATGAACAGTGAATCTATGATACAAATGGATTGCGCATACAATGCACTGTCAAATAGTCTCCACTTTCCCTTGGTGGGATTAGGGAATTGTATAGTGGGTTACAAGACTTTATCGGCACATCTAGAAGTCGAAACTGCAGTGCCAGCTTCTAACACAAGTGGACTTGTCTGGTATAAGTCAAGAAATGTTAAATCAGATAGTACTGCTATTATTGTACCGACTTTGCGAGACCTCCTCGCTCTGGTTTCCAAAAAAGCAGCCACTGTTATCATTTGTCTACCTTATGGATTACAATTCATGCCACAACAAATTCTACCAAATTTAGAAAATTACAAAAAATTAATCCTATGGTTCGGTAACAACACGCAGAGCTGGGATGCTGCAAGACACTTTGCAAAAAAATTAAACGAGATCAGATGTTACTTTGTTAGGCCAATGGACAACCAACCGAGTCCAAGAATTGCAGCTAATTTGGATTATAATCTGAAAATTATAATTCAAAATGCTCAGCCAATATGGCACAAGAGTATTACTACGTTCCAAAGTCTTCGGCAAGACGTCCTAAGTGATCTCCAAAACATTGACCGTGTGATGGGCATTAAATGGAAAAGATTTCCATCTTTGAATCGAGTTCTTAAAGGACATCGCCGAGGAGAACTAACTATATTGACGGGCCCTACCGGTAAGATATAAAAATTCATTAGTCATTAAAATAATTTTCTCTCAGATACTGGTTACATTTCAACACCGACTGGTCATTAAATGTTTCATACTTTAAATAAATTTTTATGTGAGCCAATGCATCTTCTATATTTTTTATAGATTTATTTTTTAGGAAGTGGCAAAACAACATTTATTAGCGAGTATTCATTAGATTTAGCATTACAAGGTGTAAATACTCTGTGGGGTAGTTTCGAGATACGCAACGCAAGGTTGGCAAGAACGATGCTGCAGCAGATGGTAGGTGTATCGTTGGAAGAGAACATTGAAAACTTTGAGAAGTACGCTGACGAGTTCGAGAAGCTCCCAATTTATTTCATGACATTTCATGGTCAGCAAAGCATTAAAGTAGTTATGGAGGTAAGATTCACAGTTTGATAATTTTGTAATCACATCTTTCTATCTTGTTCAATGTTTTCAGGCTATTGAACATGCAACGTATGTTTACGACATAGCACATGTTATTATCGATAATGTTCAGTTCATGATGGGCGTATCTCAGGAGTCAAAACACAATGACAGGTATACTTTACCATGCTAAATTCTCACTTTTAACTTGATCAGCATGATGGGGACAAATATTTTAGATTTTGGAAACAGGATGCCATCATATCGTCCTTCCGAGCGTTTGCTACAAAATTCAATTGCCACGTAACGCTAGTGATCCATCCAAGGAAGGAACGAGATTCAGAAGAACTGACGACATCGTCGATCTTTGGGAGTGCCAAGGCTAGTCAAGAAGCTGACAACGTACTTATAATTCAAGATAAAAGACTGACAAGTGTCCGGGGGAAACAATACTTACAAGTAAGCCTTCTTATCGATATCGATCATCCAAGAAAATCATTAAATTCTCCCTGGATTTACAGATCGCAAAAAACAGATACAGCGGAGACTTGGGTTTAATGCCGATGGAGTTTGATAAAGTTAGTTTAAGCTATGCCCAAAAAAAGAAATCCAAATTGAAAGAAGAGGGGAAAGAAAATGAAACTACGCAATCTGTTCCTAGGCAAGACACTCGAATTCTATCTACCAAGAGGCGCTCCACTGACTCCTCCTCCTGACATAGAACTCATAGGAATTTTCTACTGTTTACAAAAAAGTAATAAAACTATTAATTATTTTGCACAACCAGTGGAATGTCCTATCGTACACATCCATCATGTATTTCCGATGCCTTTTTGTTTCCTTGACGGAAACCAAACCACTAGTAACGTTACTTTATTTTTGGACATTCTTTTTCCCCCATGCATAGTTCCTCTTTAATTTATGGTTGTATGGCCCTCACTCTTCTCACTTTTCTATAAGCCCCACCAACAAGCCCATTCACACACACAGGAGTTAATTTAAAGCTCACTTCACAAACACTAGTCTGCCTCCCGCGCCTTATCAAAACGGAGAAGAGAACGAGACAAAGAGCCATCCGGTGGCCTTATCGCGACATGGGCTTTCGTGAACCGTTCTTTAAAGCCCGTATCTCCTAAAAACGTACGCGACTTCCCTCGGGTTCATCTTAAAACGCACGAAAATGCAAATATCGGCTCGCCTGGTTTTTCTCCTGATAACCTGCTTCCTTTCGGCTGCATCGTGCACCAGAGCCGTAAAACAGCCGACGGTTCTCGTGGCAGTTCTGGCTAGGAACAAAGCACACACGCTTCCGTACTTCCTGACCCTCCTGCAGCAACTGGATTATCCTAAGGACAGAGTTTCCCTCTGGTAAGTCTACCTTTTTCGCATAACCGGCTGTTCCAATCGGATTAACCTTACTTTCTCGGCTGCGAGGAACGACGCATGGGGCCGCCATCTTGAATGCGCGCGCCGCTACGAAATCGAGATGCGCATTGAAGTATATCACAATTAAATTATTTCCGAGAAACATAATCAATTTAAATAGGAATCTTCTTTTTATACATGCACTGCTGCCAATTAATTTTTTCGGTATAATTATTTAATGACATGCAACGCATATATTACCGCGCATTTAATTCAGGAATCCTCCTCATCTCTGCTCCCAACTCATCTCTGTGTTTCGAAATCAAAATGTTCGTATATTTTTTTTCAGCTCGTGGAGGATAAATGTATCGTAGAGTTTACGCAGGGAAGTTGATTGACGCCACTTGACTTTTGTTCATTCAATGCATTGCTAGGGGGAGTCGTTGAGGGAGGTCAGTGCCCCTGTACACCTGTTGAGCCAGGTCAGGGGCGGGGTCAAGGTTACGGGAGAATTGGAGAATACCTTTACTTTCCTCATAATTTCAGCAGGTTTTTCGACATGCGTGCATTTTTTGCATCCGTTAAACGGGAACCTGTAGAGTCACACCATCCTTTATTCTAATCTACCTTCTGATTCCTTATTAATCGCAAATGGTATTTTAGGATTCGGAGCGATAATAATGTCGACGCAACGGCTGAGATATTAAGAATTTGGCTAGACGAAAAGGGGAGAAATTATCATTCCGTCGATGTCGAGATCGACAACGAGTCGAATGGAATTCAAGGGGAAAAAGGAATCGCCGACTGGCCCTTGGAGAGGTTTAACCACGTTATCAATCTGCGAGAGGAGGCCCTAAATTACGGGAGAAGAATCTGGGCCGATTATGTTTTCGTAAGTCTCCTAATTACTTGTTTAAAGAAATGGAAAAAATTTTTTTTCTCGGCGAGAAGATGTACTAATAATTTATTATTTCACAGATGCTAGACGCGGATGCGTTCCCGACGAACCCGAAGAGTTTGCAACTCTTGACGGGGAAAAATCAAACGATTGTTGCTCCGCTCTTGAAGTCGGATGGAATGTACAGTAACTTTTGGGCAGGCATGACTTCGGATTATTATTACTTAAGGACGAACAGATACAAGCCGATTTTAAACCGAGACGAGACAGGGTGCTTCGACGTGCCCATGGTTCACACCGCTGTTTTAATCGACCTGAGGAAAGCAGAGAGCGATCTCTTGACGTATCAGTCTGAAAATCTAGAGGACTACGATGGGCCCAAAGACGACATCATTACTTTTGCAGTCGGTGCTAATAAGTCAGGTAAGAGCTCCGTATATTTTTCAGTCGGATCATTTTTTTTTAAACGATGCAATTATTGGACTTTATCCAGGGATTCCTCTCCACGTCTGCAACGACGAGGTGTACGGTTACGTGATGGTCCCCTTGGAGAACCAGGGCACGATTGGCCATGACTTGCAACAGCTTACTAATTTGAAACTGGAGATATTGGGTAATGGAGCGCGTGGATAATATTTTTCTTCTTCTCTGGTAATTGCAGCAGGATTTACGGTGGTTTATGGTAATACACATTGAATTATCTTCCCAGCCCAAGGGGAACCATTGCCACTCTCGCAGATCATGTCTCCCTTTGTGAGGTACCCAGAAAGGGACAAACTTGGGATGGACGAAGTCTACATGATAAATCTGGAAAGAAGACCGGAGAGGAGAGTCAGGATGGAACGTTGCTTCAAAGAGCTGGGCATCGATGCAAAACTGGTAAAGGCAGTGGACGGTAGGTGAGTTAACGAAGAGAGGACTCGGAAGGTATTTTTTAAACTCGATCTTACGTACCTCGTACTCACCCGTATATAATTATTTTCAATTATTTCCGTCGCTTTAATTAAAGATTTTACGCGATTTTGTGACTTCCAGGACTATCGATACGAAGATGTTCGACAATTGGGGAATGTCGATGATGCCCACTTACTTGGATCCGTATCACAAGAGGTAGAGGACAAGTGGATCGTCTATACCGTGAATTTATCTACGTGCATATAATTACAAAACATTTATTTCCAGACCAATGACCAATGGAGAAGTCGGATGCTTCCTTAGTCACTTCTTGATATGGGAAGAGGTACCTCAAACGTCAATCATTTCCAATTGTAACTTCCCATATAAATCACGGTAAATCAGTGAACTAATAAATGTGTACATCCACAGGTCGTGTCGAATAATTATACCCGAGTGATGATCCTGGAGGACGATATTCGCTTCGAGCCGTACTTTCGGCGTAAGGTCAATTTCATCATAAGCGAATTAACGAGGCTGGACCTTGATTGGGACTTGGTGTGAGTAGGACTTCGAGTAAATCATTATAAGTTTTGGGATCTTATTTTTTTCCCAGAAGAAGGTTTAAATTCACGGTGGAATGTCAGGTACCTCGGAAGAAAGCGAATGCAGGAGCAAGAGGAGCCGATGGTGGAGGGTTCCGAATTTCTGGTCCACGCTGGATACAGTTACTGGACCCTGGGATACATGTTGTCCCTGAAAGGGGCCCAAAAACTGATCGAAGCCAAGCCCTGTGAAAATATGCTGCCCGTGGACGAGTTGTTGCCCATTCTCTTCGACAAGCATCCCAGGTAAGGAATCTCGCGCGAGGGCTAAGAGGGAATATCGGCTAAATCCTTCGTTCCCGTGTAGGACCGAATGGAAGGAGTACTTCCCAAACCGCGACCTGGTGGCCTTTTCGGCGTCACCTCTCCTGGTTTACCCAACACATTACACAGGGGAATCCGGCTACATAAGCGACACCGAGGACTCGAACGTCGTGTCGAAGCTAGAGAACCAAAAAAATAAGAAAGTGGAGCTCTGAAGGCTCTTCCTTCCAACTATCCCACCGTGCCATCAGAGTGAAACGCTCTATTTTTCATACAATCAAGCTGCTTGCCATTAATACTAATACTCTACAAGAGATCTAACTTTAGTTATAACTTTTTATAATTTTGTATAACACGACCCAGGTAGACCGTCACACTACCGTCGAGTGTATCGAGTCTATCCAATCAAGACAAATACCTAGATTAATGAAAATAAATTCCAACGTGCCATGTTCGTTAACCCTCCCGAATCTGTCGTTTCATCCCCAGCCCACCCCCTTAATAGTACTACACAGGGAAAACGGATACACAAGACCAGACGTAAAAAACTGTAATTTTTATTAATCGTAATAATATGATTATTGACAATGACGCGGCTATGTGCACATTAAAACACCTTATCTTTATCTTACAAGACCAGCTTCTCTTGTACACTATGTACAGTAACTAAATATCTCGTATTACTCATTTGCGTTATAATAAANACTCTTACACGTCGATCGACAGCCCTCGGAAAGATCGCGCCGCGAGCGACCTCCATCGTATTAAAATTCACATATATATGTGTATATATATATATCATTTGCGTTATAATAAAAACTATGTATATTTATATATTTATATATATATATATATATTCATTCGTATTTATAATATTAAATTCATCGTCGTTACCAATAATTACGCGTACGGAACAGTTAAAAATTACTCAATTGTGTTTATTATTTAAATATTTACAATATATAGGCTCTTAGAACTCTCCTTATCACTGACACCTGTTTCACTGTACAGTGTAAGTTGCGATTAATGCGCGTGGATCCGGAAATCGGAGCGTGTCCTCGCGTACCACTCATTTCGCTATCTACTTAACTTAAGGATGGTTTTCCCTCCCTCTTCCTCGGAAGAATAAGAAGCTCTCGCCCTTTGCGAAGAAGGAAAAAGAATCTCAGCGGGGGCTGGGGGGGCGCGGGGGGGAGACATCGGAGAAATCGGTAAAAAAATAAAAACGGACCGCCGCGCAGGAGGGGCCCGAAAAAAACCTAGGGCCCCGTATCTCTCGCAGGGGTTTACAATTTTTCTCTCTCCCCATCGTTCCCCCCCCCCACCTTCATCCTCTCCGGGGAATCAATTAAAACTTAACAGAGCTCCTCCTTATCCCGCGAGAAGACATTGCCCCGCCAACGAGTGCGTTTTTTACGGATTTCTCGTTAACAGCCTATCCAGGGCGCGGCTCCGATTTTTCCTGCGCATTCTTCCCCCCGTCGGTTTATCCTCGGTTCTTTAATCTCCCCTTCGGCAGGGGAGCTTCGGAGAAAATTCACGGCCGGAAAACGAGATTTAATTTCCGGAATCACTGGGTCGCGCTCTTGGGCGATCGAGAGCTATCGAGACGGAGCTATCGATACCGGGACTCGGCGACACGATCGCCTCGAAATTAATTACAAAAATCGAAGGGGGTGCGAAACCGTTGTTTCTCCTTTTCTCTCCTTTCCTTTAAATCCAGGGGCAAGGAGCCGAAACTTCCGACCGAGGAGAGTGCGTTCGGTTGGATAAAATGTTATATTAAAAAAAAATAATAATAAAATACAGAAACCTCTCGATTCCGACCGGAAAAAAAAAATGAATAAAAAATCGTCACATGCTGTAGGCTCGAGTAATGACAAGACCATGACTCTCTGTTAATTGATTGTGCACACGTGACACCTGTCGAAAGTTTCAGACGTATCCTTGCGTGATAGAAAAACGGTGAAAAATTACCAACTACGCCGATTAAGTCGGGACAGACAACGGGTGTTTAAGCGAACCCCCCTCACAATTATCGCACCTGATTCCTTACTCTCTATCCGTGTAATTGCAGAAGTGGACGTACGATGCAGCCGAAATGCATTATTTCAGGTGAATCGTACGTCGCCCTTCCGTATATAATCCGCGGATCGTTTCCTCGGTGACCGGAGACTCTCTCGATCTTGCGAACACCTCTCTCTCTCAAAAAAAAAGAAAGACAATAAAAAAAATTTATATATAAAAGTGCACGTACAGTTCACCCGAATTTCTCTAGGTGGAGAACGTGGACCTTACGTGGCCCTTCATCACGATTCGCAGATCATCCCGCAGAATCTCTCTCACTCGCTCTCTCAAAAAAGGAAAAAAAAAGAAAAAAAAAAGTGTAAATTAAAAAAAATAAAATCAATATTAATATATATGTATATATGTACATGTACACGTATCCTAGACAGTAGGTGTCGGAAGAAAATCGCCTCCGCGAGATACGCAGCGTCAACTTCGACTTTCGCCTGATGTCAAGACGAGGTGGAAATAAGTGTCGGCCCACACCCTCCCCGCCTCTAGAAAAAAATAGGTTCGATGGAAGAGGACGTTTCCTTGATCTCTCCTTCTCGATCTCAGGGAGGAAACAAGTGGAAGAGACGGGGGCCCCGGAAAATTGCGAGGGGGCCCCCCCCATGGGCGGCGTTGATTGCAAACGTGAGACGGGAGGTGAAGAAGTTTCCAATTTTTTCCTTCCCCCGATATTCCCGAACTTTCCATTCCCTATAGGTACGTATCTCTTGACAGATCGAGTAAATTGACAAAGTCAGGGGAGCCCTCCCGCACCCTTTACCTCCCTAAATTAATTAATTAATTGTATTGCTTCTTTCTCGTCGCTCGCGACCGTCCCTGGGTCGAGTCGGAGAACGGGGAGTCGACGGGAGTTATTTTTCTTTTTTTCCATATCGAATCGTCGAGAGAAATTGATCGGCAAAAATTCGACCGATTCGTTAAGAGTGCCCGGAATACGAGGGTATTTTTTTTAGAGCTTCACCTGTTACCGAGGGAGAGTAAAAAAATCTTGAAAACGGGGCGTCGACTCCCAGGGCTCCCCGTTCCTCGCGACGTCGGGCTCGATTTTCTCGTTATCCGGATCGCGTTTTCTGCGTCCGGCGTGTACGATCGACGTGTATAGACGTTATTAATCTCTTCTTAACGGGTCGCGACGAAAAATCGAACTTCCATTGATTAGTCTAGGCACTACGATTTCTCCGAGGGGGAGGGCTTCGAGACTCGGACATTTTCTTCCCCGCTTTTTCTTTCCCCCTTTAAAGTCGTACCAAATCTTCGTGACCTCTGGTCTCACGCACATTCGCGAAACCTTTCCGAATCCATTTTAACGTCTATCTTGGGCAGACTTTACATCCGGCCACCCCTTTTTCGCAATCCTTTAACACCGGTACAGAGTTCTGTATGGCACCGAGCATATACAGACTTTTATACACATATATCATTTCCCTCGCGCTCGTTCGTCCCTCGTATCTCATTTAATAAACGGCCCCTAAATCTCCCTCGCAGGGCCGCGTCCTCCTTAAATAAATAATCCTGTCCGCATACAATCAATAATATTAATAAACGTAATAATATCCGTCATAAATAAATTACACAGGCTACGCACAGCAGAGTCCCGGGCGGTCGTGGAGGGTCTCGAAAGAAGCGATTATTAAAAAAAGAAAAAAAAACAAAAAAGAAGAAATCCACTGCGATTACTATCACTCGTTAATCCTGCTTAATATTTTCAGATCGACGTAGAAAGTGAAAGACAAAAGTCTCACTATATAAAATAAAATAAAAAAAAAAAACAATTTCGAGACAATCGCTCCTGACGTCCTTCCGCGGGATTATCGACCACTTGGGTCCTTCCTTTCCGAATTTCAAGCTTTAATCGGTGTGAGAAAAATCATGTAATTTTAATGGAACAGAAGAAAGGCCCCATGAAATTCGAGAAACCGACTCGCCGAGACTCTCAGGCCTTTGACCATGTTTAGTGACTCTTACACGTCGATCGACAGCCCTCGGAAAGATCGCGCCGCGAGCGACCTCCATCGTATTAAAATTCACATATATATGTGTATATATATATATGCGTATATATATACAAATATATAAATAAATGTACCTAGGGTTTAAAAATCACGATTTAAGCAGCGACTCGTGAAGAACGTTTTGTACAGGGTAATTCCCAGGGAGAGTGGCGACCGTCGAGAAGAGACTCGTCTCGTTGAGTAGGTCTCGATCTTCGATCTCTCCCAGACTCGACGGGAAGATTCCCCAATCCACCCACGTTGTTTCGCCAATAAGGGTCCTTATCCATAAGGAAGCGCATTTATCTCACGAGAAGTCGCAACTACGATCGAGCGTCTCCGCACGGGTTCCTAATCGGTCGTTCAAAAGAGAAGAAAGTGGGGAGGAAAAAATAAAAGAAGATACATACGCCCTCGACAAAAGACATTTAAAAGCGACTCGTCATAATTCGTTATCTAAAATATGATACACATAATCCACGCTAAGTGGAATAAAATCCCTCCATAAAATCTGGACCTAGAAAATTAAATAAATTAAAGGGAAAGTAATGATAACGGAAAATCCCTGGAAAAAAAAAGGAAAAAAAAAAAAGAAGCATCGTATCCGTCACATCGACAATGGATAATCGATAATCAACGATCATCTCCACTTTCGAACAACCGACCAGGCAAGCCCTGAGTATACAATAAACAACGAGCGTCGTCCCGACGTCCCGTCACTCTCTCTATCTTTCTCCTCCGAAATGCACAGGCTATCGATATTATGGTGAATTCTTGGGCACTTTGTGACATTTCACTTCACCCTCGGAAACTGTACAGCGTCAATAATTTATATTACAACAAGGAGACAACCTAAAGACCCGAGAAACGAAAAAACCGCGTCCAGGGTGTAGTCTTCCCGCACGTCCCTCCGTCCGCCATACGTCATCCGCTCGCGTTATATCGATATCTACGTAAGCACGCAAGCCCCGCGCGCGCAGGCGCATATCCGGCCACACCAGGAGGCGCACGCGCGGGCGGGGAAGCGTCCCCTAATTCGAAGAGAAAAAAATCCGCAGAGTCCATATATATTACACGATTATCATTAATTATCACCTAACTTGGCATCCTTGCGGTAGCGGAGTAGGGGGGCAGCCGGGAGAGTTGCGATTGGTCGGCTGAGCGAGGAGGGGAGGGCCGACCCCCTCCGGGGGATCGGGGGGCCTGGGGGCGTCGGCGTCAGGGGCCCCGGCGTTCGGTCGGGATCCGGGGGGCGGCGGGGGCAGCGAGTTGGCCCTGGTCCCGGGGGAGTCCTCGGAGTTGGCGGGGGTGGCGTTGACCGCGAGGGGCGGGGGGGCCTTGAGCTCGTAGCCCTCGTGGCACCTGGTGAGTTTTAACCTGATGGGTGTGACCTTGGCGGCGCGGACGTTGCCGAGGGGGGCGGCGGCGGGGGCGTCGGGGTCGGTGGGGGTCGGCTTGTCGAGGATGGCCTCAGTTTCCGGGGGATAGGGGGGCCGGGGCTCGGCAGGCTCGGGGGCCGGGGGCGGCGGGCCCACGCGGTCCTCGGGGGGTTCGGGCCTCGGGGGGTCCTCGGCGGGGGCCCGGTCGCGGTCCTCCAGGTGGACGGAGGGCGTCGAAGGGGCGTCGTCGGGGCCCTTCCCCAGCCTGATGATCAGCTTGGGGGGCGCCGCGGGCCCGTCCTGCAGGATCTGCACCCGGCCCTCCTTCCGGCTCGACTGCTTCTTCCTCCGGCGGCCGTTCTTGTCCTTCAGCTTCTTGCTCTTCACTTTGGCCCGCTCGTCGTTGTCGAATCCGGCCATGATCATGCGGCGGAACTTCATGCTCTCGCGCTTCAGCTCCTCGATACTGGGCATGCTGCTGGGGATGCTGCTCAGCCGCTTCTTGGGGGGCCTGATGCGCGACCGGTCGGCTTCCTGGGCGCCCTGGTCCTGCCCGATCACGCTGTTGCCGAACTTGATCTTGAGCTTGGGAGGCGCGGCGTTGGGAGCGGCGACGGCGGCCGCGGAGGCGGTCGCCGGGGTCGGCTTGGGCTGCCTCCTGCGCCGCCGATCGACGGTCCCCGGAGGGGCGCCGCGGCGCCTCTCCTGGCCCGCCCCCTCCTCGGCGTCCGCGGGGTCGAGATACCCTCCTCGCTCCTTCTCCATGTTCGCGTCCACCACGGCCTTGTAGTCCTCCCTCGTGGGGATGCTGGTCATCGAGGCGACCGCCTTGGGGATGGTGATCACCGTGCGGTTGATGGGCGCGGGGGCGGAGGCGACGTTCCCGACCCCGGGCTCGTCCATGTTCATGTCCTGGGAGCAGTACTGCCGAAGAAGCTCCTTCTTTCTCATGCGCCTCAAATTCGAGGTGCCGGAGGCGACGGAGGCGCTGGTGGCGGCGGGGGTGATGACCGCAGGGGCCTGCTGGGCCAGCGGAGGGACGGCCGAGGCCGGCACGTAGTTGGCGTCCAGGAAGGGGCCCTTGATCTTGACTTTGAGCTGGTTGCGGGAGTCGGTAAGGGAGACCCTGTCGGCAGGGTCTCCGGGGCCAGTTGGGGGGCCCTCCAGGCCAGGTGGAACCCCGGGTCTCGAGGGTGCCTCGGGCGCCCCGCGCTGCTCGCCGGCCAGGGCCGAGCGCAGCTCCTTCTCGAGGTCCTCCTCCAGGTCCGGTAGGGTCTGGTCCGCCGAGCCGGCGGCGAAGGCGCCCAGAAGGTGGTTCCCGTAGGTCTGCCCGTGGAGGGATGTACTCCGAGCTTCCGCCGCCGAGTTGTAGGTCCTCATGTCGACGGGACCCGGTAGGAGGGGCATCACGGCCGCGGGGTCCGAGAAGGCCTCGGGCCCCGCCAGGGTGCCGGTCTCTCTGGCCGCGGGCGAGCCCTCGTGCCTCCTCAGCAGGCCTGTCTGAGGGCTACCCAGCAGGTGCGCCTGGTGGACGCCCTCGGCAGACCCCCCCATGGCGTCCCTCCTCTCGCCTGCCTCCGTCGACTTCTTCCTTTCTCGCATAGTCCTCAGGTCGGCGATGTTGGCCTCGCTGGTGGAGTCCTCGTCGGAGTCGAAGTCGTAAACGGTGCCGAGGAGCTTGCTCTGGATGGATTCGTCCCCGTGGAGGGCGTTGGCAGCGGCAGCGACGACCGGGCCCGAGCAGGCGTTCTGGTGAGCCCTTCCCCTGCCCCTGCCCCGCCCTCTCCCCCTTCCGCGGTATCCGGCCTGCTGGGAGCCCTTGGCCCCTCTTCCGCGGCCGCGGTTCCCGGACGCGGCCCTCGGGGCCTCCTGCTGCCTGGGCGACTTTCCCGGGGACTTGCCCTGCAGCGAAGTGACCCGGGCCGAGGTTCTGGTGGGCTTCGCCGGGGACTTCTTCCCCGACTGGGGAGTCTTGCCCCCCGAGGGGGCCTCCTGGAGGCCCTCGGGCAGCGGGGCCTCGGCGGCGCCGGCCAGGAACCCCAGGCCCAGGGCTGGCGACTCGGCCGGCTCGGTCGGGCCCGCCTCCTCCTGGTGAGTCTGGTGCAGCGCCTGCGGCACCTGCTGCACCTGTGGCGGCGGCCCGGGTGGCGGGGTCGGGATCTTGGTGGGAGAGACCATGGCGGCGGTCAGGGCCATGTTGTGCGAGGAGGAGGTAAAGGCGGCGGTGCAGGGCGAGGCCTGCAGGTTGAGCGAGTCCTCGAGCGGCTTCGGCACGTGGGGCATAATGGTCGGGGGCGTAGGGAAGGGGGCTCCGAAGGGTGGAGGGAACATGGCGGCTCCAGGGCTGGGGTAAGGAAGCGCCGCGGCACAGGACTGCGGCGGGAATAGGGAAACGGGACCCGCGTAGGACGTGGACTCGGGGTAGGGGTGGTACGGCCCGGCATCCACGGGGAAGGGCACGGGGGGCCCGAGAGGCCCCTTGTAGGCCGGCATGGCCGGGTGCTCCTCCGCCGAGGAGGCCGAGGTCATGGACGAGGAAGTGGAGCGCCGGGAGGGCAGCACCTGCGATTCGGCCCACCTGGTGTCCTGTCCGTAATCCTGCCGCACCTCCACCCCGAGGTCCTCCCTCTCCAGGGCCCGTTCCGGCTCCGGGGCCCGCTCCTCCTCCTCCTCCTCTTCCTCCTCCTGGGGATGCACCTGGGGGTGCATACCGCCGCCAACTCCCAGCTGGTGATGGTGAGCTATCTCGTCGGCAACGACGGGCCCGGTGGCCTGCTCCAGAAGACCCGGGCCTCCCGGGTGGGGGGCCAGCTGCATCAGCTGGTATCGCTCCTGGACGAGGTGCGCGTGGGCCGGCTCCTCGACCTCCGGGCCCGGGTACCGATGGGCCTGGCTGTCCACTAGGGCTCCCAGGGCCACGGGCCCGGGATCCAGTGTCGCGCTCGGGGGCACCCACCGCTCGTCTGCCTCTCCTCGATCCAGTTTCTCGCGCTCGGCCGCGCCCACTTTAGCGGGCCCCAGTTCGTCGGGGCCGTACGGAGGGAGCGGCTCCGTCTTCGGCGGGGTCTTCTCTTCCGGGAGGGCGCGTCCCTCCTCCCTCTGCGGCTCCTCCGGCTCTTCGGGGTCTTCGGGCTCTCCTTGCCCTATCGGCACTACCGCCTCTTCCTCCTTCTTCACGCCCTCCTCTGGCCCCACGGCCTCCAGCTCGAACTGACTAGAATTCGACTTCTTTGAGAGCTCCATCCTCAGCTTCTCCACCAGGTGCAGGGTCTCCCGGGCGCTGTCCTCCTTCGAGTCCTCCTTGAACCAGAGTTCGTTGTTGAAGGAGAACGAAAGAGGGGCGGTCCGTTCTTCCGCGTCGCGCGGCATTCCGAAGCCGTCGTCGTTGACCATGTCGTCGGTCAGGATGTCTTGGTCAAAGTCGAAGAGTTCGGACACACTCGGATCCTTGCCGACGTGCTGGGGGGAGAAGATGGACCGGTTGACCGACCTGCGCCTTTTCTGACCCTCCTGCTCGACCTCCAGCCTTTCGGTGGGAAGCGGCCTGGGCAGGGCCCTCTCCGTTGGTTCCTTCGCCCCATTGTCGCCCAAGGTGTTCAGGGCTCCTAACGCGGTCAGGGTGTTTAACGTGTTCAGGGTGTTCAGGGTGTTTAGAGCGTTCAGCGTATTGGGGACGGAGATCTCCTCGCAGACGACAACGTTCCCGATGGGTAGCGCCTCCGTCTTCTCTAGTTTTCTCCTCTCTTCGGGACCCACGGGTCGACCGGGTGCTTGGGTGAGGACCTCGTCCCTCTTCGACTTCTCCTCGACCAGCTCGCCGACCTCGAAGACACCGTCCTCGCTGACGTGGTTCTTTCTGTCCTCGCTCTTCACCTCATTGGACGCGCCGACCTTCGTCGGCAAGCTCGGCATCCTCTTCGGGGTTACCTCCAGGCCGAGACCCTTTTCGGGCTTCACCTCCACGCCCTTGGCCTTCGACAGCTTGTCTAGGTGTTCTCGCTTCTCCAGGAGCTTATCCAAGCCCCTGGAGGACTTCTTCGGGCTGTCCCGCTCCGCTCTGCGCTGCTTCATCTCCTCCTCCAGGGTGTTGATCGAGTTCCTGCTGCTGGTGGTGGTCTTCTTCGGTGGTTTCCTCTCCTCTACGTTAGTCGTCCCAAGTTGGACTACCTTGGGCTCCTCCTCGGAGACCTTGACCTCGGTCCTGTTCACCGGTTCCTTTTCCCTTTCGGGTTCCTTCGACCTCTCGTTGACGACCGGCCTCCTCTCTACCTTCTTGACCGCAGGAACGTCCTTCCCGGACCTCTCCTCCTTCTGCTGGGGCAACTCGCTCGATTTTCGTTTACGAGCCTCCGGCTTCGACCTGGAGGTCGCCGTGGGGGTTCCCGGCGTAGGCGGGGGCCCTCCTGGCCCCGAAGCGTCGTCCTTGGGTTTTGCCGGGGGCTGGTGGGTCTGCTTGATGGGGGGCTGCTGGCTCGGAGGCTTCTTGGCAGGCTTGGGCGCAGGTAGACCTCGCAACCCATCATGATCTCCAGGCCCACCAGGTGCACCGACCTGGGCGGGGGCATGCTGATGTTGCTGGTGATGTTGCTGCTGTTGCTGCGGAACAGGCAGGGGCTTTCTCCCGGGTTCGCGGTGGTCCGCCCTCTTCGGCTGGTGGTGATGCTGGGGCTGCTCCTTGGTCGGGGGGCCTCCACCTGGTTCACCTCTCTGAGAAGTCGGCGGCTGAAACTCGGGTCCACGCCGCCCGTCGGAAGTTTTAAGCTTCTTCTCGGGCAGCCGTTTCGGTTTCCGGCCGGCCGCCAGCTTTCTCTCGGGTCCCGTCGCCTCGTCCGCACCCTGGACGGGTTTCTTCGCCAGGGCCTTAGCACGCTGCTGCCCGGCCTCGCTCTCGGAGGAGGAGCTGGTCGAGCCGCAGACCGGCGCCTCCCCAGCGGGTCCCCTCGCAGGGGCCCTGCCCTCGTCGGTCTCACTGCTGCTATCCGAGGAGCTGGAGCAACTGCTGCTGGAGGTGGTCTCGCTGTTGCTCGACGGCGCCGACGCAGCCCTGGTCTCCGTGGGCGGCTTGCGCGGTTTTCTGGGGGACGCCGTGACGACGACGGTGCTTCTCCTCGCGTCCGGTGACTCCTTCTTCGGCCTCTCCCTCTCGGGCGGGACCTCGGGTTCGCTGGGCGGCGCCTTGGTCCCGAGGCCGCTCTTAATGTGCTCGGCGGCCTTCTTCGCGGCCTGCCGCTGCGGTACATAAGCCAGGATCTCGCTCCCATCCCCGGCCTCCTTCTCGAAGTCGTAGACGTCGTTGTTCCGGGGATCCCGCGATACCCTGGGTGGAGGAGCCTCCTTCCGAGGCTTAGCCTGATGCCGGTCGCGAGGCTTGGTTGGCACCCGGGCCTCCTCGGCTGGCGACCTGGCCGTCTCTTGCACGTCGCCGGAGGGCTCGCGCTTGCTCTGCGCACGCTGCATGATCTCGGAGGCCTTCTTCGCCGCCTGTCTCTGGGGCACGATCAGCGCCGAAGGTATGCACTCCTTCCGCTTGGCCGGCGCCTTGGTCCCGGGCCCGTCCTCCGTCGTCGCCCCCGGCACGCCCTCCTTGCTGGAGAAGCTCTTCTGGTTGTTCTTCGCGTTGTCGGCCGCGGAGAACTGCTTCACCGCGGCCTTCGTGATCAGGACAGCCGAATGCGAGGCTTGCTCTCCCTGGGAGTCGGAATCGGTGTCCGAGTAGATGGCGGCGGCGGCCGAGGGGCCCAACCGGGCCCCAGGTCCTGCGCTGCGAGGCAGCAGTTCGTCGCTCTCGCTACCCGAGGCGCTGCCCAGCTCCCTCTCCATGTGCTGCAGGGTCCGCGAGCCCGTGACCGTCGACGAGTCCGGCTTCTCGTTGCCGCTGCCTGCCCCGGGTCGATCCGGGGCCCCGGCTCGCCTGGGTCGCCGTCGGCCCTTGGACCTCACCACGGCTCGCTCGTCCTCGGCGCTCGAGTCCGTTGTTCCCTTCGGGTCCTTCGGCACCTTCGGCTTCACCTCCGTCTTCACCGTCGGCCTCGCCGTCTCCGTCTCGCTGCCACTCATCGACGACAGGTCGCTCCCGTAGAGGCTCCGCCGCCTCACCGACCCGTTGAAGTAAAGCCGCTTGCTTGACGCCCCGTTGAAGTCGGCCCTAGGTTTCTTCTCGTCGCTCGACACCGGCGTCGGTGACTTCACGCCCGCGATCCTCGCGACGATCGTCTCGAAGTCGCGCGTATGGTCCTCCGAGTCCGGGTGCGAGTAGAGTCGGTCGTAGATCGACGGCCCGTGGTTCGCCTCGACGACCGCCGCCGCGGCCGCCGGGGTCAGGGGGCCGCACATCACCAGGGCCTGTTTGTGGAAGGTCTGCTCGCGGAGGCGAAGGAACGTCCTGCACAGTTTCTCCCGTCTACCCACCATGTAGCAGAGGTTACGCACGCGCTCCAGATCCTGGCGAAGCTGGACGAACGTCCGCATCTTCTCCAGGTCCGCCGCCTGTCCCTGGGCCCGCGCCCCAGCTCCCGCCCCCGAGAGTTCGCCGCACCGAGGTGCCAGAAGCGGCTTGTTGTGGCCGGCCTGGAAGAGAGGCATCGCGATCGTTAGAACCCACTTAGAACAATTAATTTTAAACAAACGAGCAAACTCCCTCGAGGATCAGGGAACACCCTGGGACTTACTCTTCTCTTGAGTTTCCAATAGTTGTAGATGTAAACGATCCCGTCGTGGTCGATGTCCAGCTGCTGGGAAGCGATATCCTTCAGACTGACGTGCTTGTCGAATTCAGCCTCGATCTCTTGCAATCTAAAAAAACAATACATGAACATAAATTATACGAGTTCGTTCTTCGAGAAGGAACGAGAGCAAGGTAAAACTTACTTGGCCGCACGTGCTTGGTTCTTCTCCTCGGAAGTCATGTCCTTGCGTTTCCGCCTCCTAGACTCCCCGTCCTCGGAATCCGAGTTTCCCTTTCCGCCTCCGCTCCCCGTGCTTCCTCCGACCCCGACTTTATCCTTCGTGTTCGTTCTACTGTGTTTCTGACAGTACGACTGTAAAAAAAGGAAGACGGTAAAGAGCAGTCGACAGGGATCGGTCGTCGTTAACGAAAGGTTCCTCGAATTATAAAAGTATCGTGAAATAAACCCTCACCCTCAGCTTGACCCCATCGTCTGCCATCTCGTCCTCGATAATCGCCTTCATTTCCAGTCCGTACTTGAAGGCGCAGGTGACGTGATAAGCCGTCTTGCACGTCTTTATACTGCACTGGATACAAGCGCCGACCCTCTCGCGACAGAGCACGCAAATTAGTGCCCATCGACTTTGCTGTAAACGATCAGGACATCGATTTATCCAGGGAAAGGTTCGACGCGTTAAAAGTACAAGGAAGTGACGGGAAGTAAGTTGCTCCCCGACATACCGGAATACTGGAGATTTTGGTGATCGGCTCCATCCTTTCGACACAACCGATGCTGACTTCAGGGATCCAGAGAGCACAGGACACATGAGCCCACTTCTGGCCACTACGTGTACACTTCATTGCACCTCCCTTGTTTGGGCATAAAACACAATCCGGTCGCTGGCTCAGCGAACAAGTTCGGCACAGCCAGGAGCCATCGGGTATCGAAGTGATCCCATAGCACGCCTGGTGCACGCAAATATTGCAGCAGTCGCAGAAGACCATCTCATTGCCTTCCTCGGAGTCCGGCTGTACCGCAGAGAAAAACCAAGAAGTAACTTAGAATAACAGCGAAGAGAACAGAACACTTTCACTGGACCGATGGAGAAACTGGCCACTCACCGATCTGCACACATCGCAGATGACATTTTCATCGTACTCGATGCCAAGACCCTCCTCGTTCTTTACTATCGTCTGTATCCTCTCCCAGCATCGAACCTCCAGCTCCTCTATCACACGTTCTAGCTGAGACTCGGACACTGACGGTTGACCAGCCTGAAATTAACACTATGTATGACTGCACTTACTTCCTTCCTAAATGACTACCGAAGCAATGGATCGAATGCCATACTCTAGACCTACAATTTCCTTGTCGATTACCTGCGCTCTCTCTCCGTTCAATACATCAAGCCACGCGATATCGGTGTCGTCTAGGTCGTAAGCGCAAGCCTTTTCGGCGCGAGCTGGGGTGGTACTTAAGTGGTGCTCTTCAGGATTGAAGTAATCGTCCCGGGATATTCTAATAAACTTTTTCGGCCTGAAAACAGTTAAGTCGTCAGGGTCCTTCCGATAAATCATGGAATTGAGTATTCTACAGTAGAAGGACTAATGCAGTGCCTACTCCGAAATTCTAATTGAAAATCCCTAATCGAAGGCAGATGAAAACACATCGATGAGCACGATGCAGGAAAACTGACACGTGTATTCAATTTATTCTAGGAAGAATCCGGATTTTTATGTAATTTTTTTAAGCAACCCCTTTGGAAGAAATAAGAAGCGGAACACTTGTGTAACACTCACAATTTAAATTCACCATGTAACTTGTTAAGAGGTGTAGTTTGCGTAACAGTCACTGTTGGTTCTGGAAGCGAATCTGGATTGACCGGCACTTGAACCCCTCGTTCCCACTCCTGCTTCCATTGATCGGTTATCACCCAATATTCATTGGGACTGAGGGGCTCGCTGTCCGGTAACTTCATAGCACTAATCAAGTCTTTGCGAAACAACTCGGCAGGAGCCTCCGCTGCGGACCGGTTGTATATGCTCGAGATCTTAATGTCACTGAGCGGTCGGGGGGTCCAGGATGCCCCCCCTTGACTGGACGACGCCATCGTTTCCTCCTCTTCGGAGGGTCCCAGGGTCGTCGTGGGCACCACAGAGCCTGCGACAGCCGGTCCCAACCTGCACTTGCGCCGCTTGATAGCGCCTGGGCAAGACGCCGAGTCATTGTCGTTTCTGTTGATCCTCTTGCCTCGTTGTGCCATTCTACTACGTCGAGTGAGCTAGTGGTACGAGGCACATGCAGGTGAGCTGCGCGCACCTTAAAACCATTTCTGCTCTCGCGCCCCCGGTTCTTGGCTAGCGGACATCGTCCGACAATATCCAAGAGGAAATACTCGCTACATAGCTGGCCGTGTATTTAACAACTGGAAAATGTGGTTTCTGCTGAGCTGCAACCGAAATAATCAGTTTGAGGTTAGGTAATAGGACGGTAGGATAAAAATATATCTTCAAAATTAATTTTCACATACCAAAGAGAAGGTGTCCCTTCAATGCCCTAAGATTCTTATTGGCGCATCCGCAGCCCTTCAGAGTAAGGTAGTCTAACGCACACAGACATGGTGAGCCTAGACGCATACTTTATGGCAAGAGAAACTCAGGGTCCAACTCTTGGCATCGGCTCCGCCACGACCACCGAGGCACATTCGAGATTCAGGTTAGCTTGTCGTATGTCAACTGTTCTACCATCTTAGTTTCTCTTTATTTATTTCGAGAAAAATCACCTTCTGAAGCTTCTTTACGTCGCCAGTGATAGATATCACTAGCAATATAGCTGGTAGATTACAGGTATGGCCTAAATATCGAGTTAGCGATCGATCGGTCAGCTGCAGACAGAAAAGAGGTTATAAATATCTTTCCAACTATAGTTGCAGCCATATTTCTTTAAGTATTTGTATCACACGAGGTTCAGAACACAGTGCACTAGCATTTTTCAAACATCCCGATCAAGAATATCGGTAAAGGCACGACACCCACAATACTATAATAAAAAAAAAAGTAAAAACTCACCGTTCGCCGTTCCAGTTGTCCCCTTACTGTGCACCGTACTACTTTTTGATAAACTTTCTTTTTCACAGCCCAGTCACATGGCCAGTATGCACGTCGGTCTTCTTCCCAAAGTCCAGAAACACTTTATGGTACAGCCAGTTAAAGCACTGGCCCGGGTCATGGAACGGCACTCGCGATCGATCGATCAGCTGCAGAAGAAAGAGAGGTTATGCAGGCCTCTACACCCTCGCTTCCAACCCTAGCGCGGTAACTCAATCATTCCGGTAACACAGTTCTGGATCCATCACGATTAACCGGTATTCTACTGAAATAATCCCCACATCCATCCAAGAGCCACGGCAAGCAACCTCATTCGGAAGCCTACCGCTCTATGGAATATCACAGGACTCACTGTTCGTCTCTCGGCAGAACCTCAGGCCACGGTCACAGTCTGCCTTTTCCTAGTCCTCCGTAAATCGTTCCGCCACTTAGGGACTCCTCGATGAAGTCGTCACGCTGTTTCTCAGCCAACTACGTCGCCGACCCAGATGGCAGGCAGCGGATTCTCTGGTTAGCCCGGAGCAGTCCTCACGGTCAAGAGGTAAGCTACGGAGAGAAAAGAGGTTATAGAGGGTTGGCGGAGTGCGGGGCCGCTCGGCGTCGACTCGCGCCCGTCCCCGGCGACTTTGGCGAGTTCCCGGCGAGGCGAGGGCCCGGGCGACGGTCCCACCTCGCAAAAGGTCGATCCCGTCCAGGATGCCGTGTAAACATTGGTGGGTGCGAATCGGGGCGCGCTGGGTGCCCGAGCTCGGTCGGCGACTCACCGTCGTCTCGGCGGGCGTTCCCCTCGGCGTGGTCGGCGGATCCCGGCGGGTCCTCTCGGCGGCAAGGGCGCGTGGTCTCGCTCCTCGGGAAAGGTCCTCGCAGCTCACGGCTCCATTACGCTGCTGGTGCGCTCCTGCTGCCCAACAACATTGACAATACAGATGGCGCCACCGTCGGTCGTTCCTCGAGGACCCAGTGGCCGCACACAGCGCTCGGCCTCTCTCTCTCGCGCGCGCACACACACCCACGGGGGGAGAAGCATTAAATACCTTATTATTGATCTATTAGCCGAATATATCGGCGGCGGGCGGCTCGGCGGGCGTGAGATCTCCGCGCGATCCGGCCGGGCCGGGTCGTCGGGCCGCGGGGCCAAGGGTTCTCGGGCCTTGGTCGGGGCCCGGCGGCCGCAGGAGCTGCGAGACGGCGTGTACGTGCCTCTCTCTGTCACATCGGCCTAACCAACATGTCCCCGTTGGCGAGGAGCAAGCGCGCCGCACCGCTCTCCACCGATCCCCCTGTAACGCCCGGTTCGTACTCACTCGTGAGCGGGCCGCGAGGAGCGCGAGCGGCGCCCCTCACTGGTTGCACCTTGCCCCGGGATCGCAACCCTGCGCGACCGAGACCCGACGGATCGACCGTGTATTTACATTAAATTGGCCACTGCCGTTTGGCGCCATCATGCCTGAAAAAATAACTGTGGAACCACGGTGTCACGTGACCGATCCAGCGAGCTCTCAAGACTTGCCCTCGCGGGTCGCGGAGCCAACCTAGAGACGCCCCAGGATGCCGCGTAGGAGGAAGCGGGAGACGGCGCTGCCATGGCGCGGCGGGTACGGGAACCCACTGACCGGTTCCACTTTCGGGGAGGAATAAGAAATTAGATTTTAAACATTGGCCACCCAATTACAGTGCTTTTTAGTCGGTCATTGGTTTTTTAGGAGCCGTTCTGCATATCTCTTCTAAGTTACATGACGTCGGTAATGAGCTTCGGTCGATAATTATTTACGCTTCGGTTCCGACATCTAGCGAAGCAATGGAGAAATGCAGAGTATTCGATGCTTTTGGGATCGATATTGTCGGCATCAAATATAGCTACTGAAGATAAAATACCCCTGGGATAAATCGAAGTAACGACGTAATCGATAAACCTATTGGATCATGGGTCTTAACCGTAGGAGATAATCTTACAAATCATTTAGTTTAAGCAGAAACCGATAACGCTCGCGATTTTGTAACAAACCGTGTTTTAATTTCTGTCATCGATACACATTTACAATATATATATTTATACTTCTTAAGATATCGCGTTATTCATATTTGTTCTAATCGATACAGGATCGCGTGGGTTAACACGGGGAATTCGGCGTTCAAATCCTAGAGCTGTTTCCGTTGGACCGGCGTCAGGGATTGGTCGGATGTTTCGACCAATCGCCGGGCCGGAAATTTTCCCGCGACCGGACGCGCGAAATCGAGGCCCCGTTCGAATCGAACTAGCCTCTCGAAATGCGAGTCCGTGTCTGTATCGAACGCGTCATCTAAGGGGAGCACGAGGGATATGTATCTTATGTACAAAGAAATGATCTACCTTAAGGTTACCTTACGTATATAGTTTATGTCAACGCGCACTTTCTCTGTCTCCCTCTCTCTCTCTTTCTCTCGCTTCGCCTTCGAGAAAGCCAGAGAGAGAGAGAGGCCGCGCTATGTCGTATATGTATCATACAGGGACCTCTTTCGAATTGGTAGCCACGCATACCTATGTCAATAGACCTATCTAGAGAGGCCGCGCAACGTTCGGATCGAGGTAGGGAACCATGGCCACGATCACGACCTCGGCGCGTCTTCGGAATTCGCATAACCCACGCCCCGATACGTCGGCGGACTTAATATATACATATTACTACATAGATTACGAGTAAAAGCTAACGTCCTGATAAAGTGTATAAAATGCGGAGGTTTCGTACCGACGGATAGAGGGGAAACACGCGTAGAATCCAACATGGAAGGTGCAGGACCTAGAGGGGGGACCGGTTGGCGCGCGCCTGTGGAAACTTCTGAAAAGTTTAAAAAATCTACGAAAAAACGCCCTGGGGAGGCGCTCGCGCTCCCGAAAAAATGCTCGCTCGCTCGTTTCACCGTTACTTCGCAAAAACTTTCGCATTCGTGCGGTCGAACCCTCTTCTCCTCCCTTTCTCTTTTATCTTTCGGTTTTATAGTTAAAGTGTGTACTTCGCGAGTGGGAATGTACCCGAGTTGGACATCAATCGAGGTTCGAAGACAACGGGGAGTCCCGCATCTGGAGCGTCGAAGGGTATGAAATGTGAAGTGACGTAGATAGGTGACGCTACCGAAGAGATCGATTTCCACTTTTCTGCTGAAGTGCCGCCTTGATAAAGGACCATGATAAATTGACGGCGACTGGAAGTCGGTGTTATAAATTAAAACAAAGTTAAAAAAGGAAAAAGAAATCAAGATTGAGGAAATTAGACCTTCGTGGCGACACTGAAAAGTAGATGCTACGTTCACTGTCGAATAGGGGAAAAAAAGAAAATAAAAAAAAATCGGCCACTGCTACTACTTGATTTGGGTGTACGGTCTGTAAAATGTAGCAACGAGAACGTTTAAAACAATGATCCTAGAGAGCTGTAAATTAAATGTCTTGCACGACGAAATTGCATTTATCCCTTGTACCTCTCCCACTGGGTCCCTCGAATTACGGAAATTGCATCGACGAGTCCCCAGAATTTTTACCCCTTGCCGTTTGCTAGTGACATTCCCCCATAATAGATGAATGATTAGATCCTTTCTACACAGAGTGCATAAATATCTTCCCAACGACATCCAGATTCAAACTCCGCGTGTAATCGCTTAAGAGAGACCGAAGGTATCCTTTTCTTTACCCGAGCTTACCACCTTGATTTCTCCTCTCATCCCAAGATAAGCCCACATACAACCATTCGCATTGATTTACGAGTAAACGCACCGAAAGGTTGCAAAAAATTGCACGATTATAAAAAGTCTAAAATCCAGAAGTGCAAAGACCCACGGTCTTGTCTTCTGCCGATTGCGAGTGTATATACATAAAAAAAAAAAACGATTCTTTGAGATAAATTTTTTTTAGATGCAAACACCCCGGTATCCAAAATTCAACTACTCTCGTGAGCTTAAAAAAAAAAAAAAGTAAAAATATTATCGGTAAGTCGGGTAAAAAAAAAAATTCCCAGCGAACCCCCTTAAAGCTCCTCCCACTGCTTATCGCAGTGCCGCCGCCTGGCGAGGAAACTTGCAATTCGAGCGACTCGCCTCTCCCGGATTGGTCGAAATCGCGCTTAAAATCTCGCATCTCGCTCTTGCTTCGCATCTAACCTGCGGCCAGGTTTCAGGTGCTAAAGCCAGGAGGGCCTGTGGTGGTGTGCCGGGGGTTGTAGCGCATAGAGGGAATGGAGATACTGCTGATAAGCGGCAGGATCCACGCCGAGATTGGGTCCGTGTGGGGAGACATACGGCGAGACGGGAGGACCATAAGGTGCTGACCTCTGCTGGAGAAACGGATGAGGCGGATAATTCCTGGGCGTCTGATTGGTCAGCTTGTTGCAGGCCTGGGCAGCGGCGGCGGCATCGGTGGTCACAGGAGTAGCCTGCTGCTGCTGCTGTTGTTGCTGCTGTTGCTGTTGCTGTTGCTGCTGTCTGAACGCCATGCTGTAGTAGCTCCCAGGGTTGCGGAACTCGTCGAGAAAGGCGAACGCCGCAGCGGCAGCGGACGTGGAGTCCTTATCGTAGAAGGGCGAGCTGTTGGAAGCGGCGCCAGGCGTCGCAAAGTTGAAGGCGCTGCCCCCAGGAGGTACCACCGCGCTGTTCTTCAGGGCGATGGAATCGGCAGGGCCACCCGAGGAATATTGAGGGAACCCCGGTATACCGGTAGCGCTTTGTTGCTGCTGCTGTTGCTGCTGCTGCTCGACGCTCGACGCGGGCACGGAGACCTGCTGTTGCTGTTTGCTCTTCTTACTTTTCTTCGTCTTCGCGGGGGCCCCCGAAGAGATGGCCTCGGCGGACCTCCTAGGCATAGGGAGGATGCTGGGGTTCTTAGCGGCGGCGTTCAGGCTCTGCAGGAGGTTCAGGTCGAGGTCGGACGCGGCGGCCGGACTTCTGGCGTAGGCCAGGGGGTCCGGCTTGGCCGAGGGCCTGGGGATGCTGAGGAGCTGCTGCTGCTCCTTGGCGGTCCGACCTACCAAGCCGAGGCCGAGCCTCGCGTAGGCCGGGCTAGAGGCCACGGAGTCCACCAGAGAGCCGAAGGCTCCATCGAACTGAGCACCGGCAACGGTCTCAGCCTGCGACAGTGCCATGATGGCCTCGAATCCGAACTGCTCCTGCTGGGCCCTGCCGGCCTCCTGCGAGAGGTTGCGCGCCCCCTCTGCAGGCTCGTTGTAGACCCTCTTCTTGACAGGCCCAACGCTTCCGCTGGGCTGTCCGTTGGGTCCGTTGCTCCCCGAGCCCTTGGGACTGGCGTCGAAGTAGTGGGGGCTGGGATAAACGGGCCTGCACGCGGAGTTCGGCATGGAATAGGCAGGACCTCCCTGGAAGCCCGCGGAAGTCTGGTAGATCGCCTCGTGGGCCGAGGTCAGGTTCTGCTGGAACCCCAGGATCTGAGACTGGTCTTGCGCCTGCAGCTGCTCTCCATTGCCGGTGGACTTGCAGAGGAAGCGCTGCTGAGACAGGGGCTGGGTGTACTTCTGGACCCCAAGGGGCTCCCCAGATCCCGAGAAGCCATGACGCTCCTGCGCCTGCTGCTGGATTTGCTGCTGCTGTTGCTCCTGATTGCTGACTCTGGAGAGAGGCCTCTGCTGTTGGGCACTCGCCTCGGAGGCGCTGGCAGGCCTCTCAGCTGGTGAAAAGCCATTTCCAAAGGTCCCGGGATACTGACCCGCGGCTGGGAACGACTGGCCCAGGGTGAGGGCCGGTTCGCCTTGTCCTGAGAATGTCCTCGACTGCTCGGTGCTCTGCGACTTCTCCTCAGGGGGTTTCTGGTACTCCGGCCTACGTTCCACCTCGGCGGCCGTCTGGGAGAAGGTGGGACTACGTTTGAAACTTCGCGAGTAACTCACTGCAGGTTGCTGCGCTGCCTGAGGATAAGTCTCGGTGCCCTTTGCTGGCTGCGGGAAGCTGGTCGTAGGTTGCGGCGACGTCTGAGAGTAGCCGGGAGCCTGTGGCGAGACCGTGACCGATGGACAACTAGTGGCCTGTTGAGGAGACGTCTGGGAGTAGTTGTGAGGCTGCTGGGGCGAGGGCTGCGAGTAGCTCGCCGCGGTGGTCTGCTGAGGCGATGGCTGGGAGAAGTTGGGTGCGCCTTGAGGAGACGGTTGCGAGTAGCTCGGAGGCTGCTGAGGCGATTGTTGGGAGTAAGCACCAACCGACTTCGGTGAGGGTTGAGAAAACCCAACCGATTGCTGGGGCGAGGGCTGCGAGTAACCAGCAGTCGGTTGAGGCGAGTGCTGGGCGAAAGTCTGCGACCGTTGAGGAGAAGGTTGCGAATACCGGGGTTGAGGAGACGGCTGTGAATATGCAGGATGTTGGGGAGATGGCTGTGGATAAACGGGATGCGCCTGGGGAGAAGGTTGAGAAAAAGAGGCCGGAGGTGGCTGAGGAGAAGATCGACCATAGGACGCCGGAGGCTGCGGTTGAGGCTGAGGAGAGGCTCGGGGGTAACTGGGGGGTCGTTGGGGCGAGGGCTGGGAATATCCGGAATGTTGTTGAGGGGATGGTTGCGAATAACCGGAGTGCTGCTGAGGGGACGACTGCGAGTAACCGGAGTGCTGTTGTGGCGAGGGTTGCGAGTAGTTCGGGGATGGTTGGGAGTAATTCGGAGTGGGTGGCTGTTGCGGAGAGGGCTGGGGCGAGGGATGAGGATAGGCAGAGTGCACCAGCCGGGGCGATTGCCGCAGGTACACCGGCGACTGTCCTTGTCCAGCAGTGGTAACCTGCTGAGAGGGAGGATAAGCTGGATCTGGTCGCGGCGAAGTGGGGGCAAGAGCGCCTTGCGGTGATCGTTGAGAGAATCCATCGCTGGTCGCTTCTTGCGTGGAGACTCCTGGCTTCTGGTAGACCTGGAGGGAGGGCGACTGGGACACTACTCCAGCGGTCATCGGAGGATACGGAGGAGTCGGCTGGTCGTAGCCTGCCGGCGAGGGGTAAGCCGGCGAAGGGTGGTTGTTCTGCGGCGAGGGCGTCGGCGGCAGCTGGGCAGAGTATCTGGGAGGTGTCGCGTAGTACGGGCTGTTGTAAGGGCTACTCCCAGCAGAAAGGGCATCCTGATAGAAGCCGGCGCCTCGCACGGTGGCCTCGGCGGGCGCAGCTGTCGGCATCAAGGTCTGAGCTTGCGGCGACCTGGTCGCCGACCTGCCCGGTGGAGGCGACTCCTGCGAGAAGCTGGAGACCGACTCGCTGACGCTGCTGCCGCCGGACGTGCTGAGACGTCGTTGCCTCCCGGGTACCTCCTGCACCTCCGGCTGCACCTTCACCTGGCTCTCCTCGGTCTCTTCCTCCTTCTTCTTCGACTTCGGCGCCCCGAACGCCTTGAACCACGCGCTCAGGTTCGGCGTGGCGCTCTTCGGCTTCTGACCGACCTCCTCGACCTCCTTGCCCTTGGTCTCGACCTGAGTGGAAGCCGGTGCTTCCGTCTCTTTTTTACTAGCTGCTTGTTTCTCCTCCTTCGCACTGGCCTGCACTGCCGGTACCGCGGGTTTCGCGTCCTCCTCTTCGTCTTCGTTCGACAGGTTTGGATTCGGCGACGAGACCAGGCTTTTGCAGATCAACTGGATCGAGTCCGCGTTCCTTAGGACGGTTCCCAGGCTCAATTTGGGCTCCTCGGGGTGTTCCTTCTTCGGTTGTTCCAGGTCCACCGTCGATTGGTTCGTCGCCGCGTCGCTAACGCCGCTTCCGCTCGGCAGGTTCAGCGGCTTCTTCAGGAGCAGATTGCCCTTGCTCTTTCCCGGCTGAAGCCGATCTATCGTCCGCTGGACCTTTTTCGGCCTAGTGGGTCCGTGCGGCCCGAAGAGCTTTATCGAGCTCGGCCGCTTCCTGGGGACCTCGACCTTCGGACGCGACGAATCGCTCGACGACGGCTGGAACACCGGCGAATCGCTCCCCGAGGAAAACTCGGAGAGTCGTGGCGCGTCGTCCAGCCATTTGTTGATGTCCTGAAATCAATGAATTCGTTAATTCTTTAATTAGACTCGATTACCATGTCGCATATATATACACGCAAAGGGAACCTACGTTAAGGGTCTGTTCCGTAGCTTGGTTCAAGGCTTGGATCGTCGGGCTCTCCTCCCTCCCGAACGCTTTGGTATGTTTGCCCTGACCAGCCTTGACTTTCCTCGGTTCAGGTGCATCTTGACTTTGGTTCCTGCCGACACCGGCCGCGGCGATGCCAGCCTCCTCCTTCGCGATTCTCTTCGGCTTCGCCCGCTTCGCACTCCCTTTCCCGGCGTCCTGAACGCTACTACCGTTAGAAGGCACTTTTTTTTGATAAACCCCATAGCCGTCGCCTTTCAGGCCCTTCCTCTGCTTCTCCCGTTCCATTTTCAACCTCTCCTCGCGCCTACGCTCGCTGATCCTGTCCTTGAGCCCGTCGAGCGATTCCAGATCCTTCTCGCTAGAAACCGAAGAGAACTTGTTCGAGGTGGGCACCACCTTTTCCAGGTCGGCCTTTCGCTCATCCTCGACCTTGTTGGTCGTTTTCGACTTTAACTCCCCGTTCCTTGGGCGATCCTCCTCCTTCGGTTTCGCTTTCTTCTCTCTCTCCTTCGTCCTGGTCCTCGCGTCGGATTCCTCGCTAGACCTCGAAGAAACTTCCAACTCGACCCTCTCCTTCTTTCGATTCTTCTTCGACTTCGTCTGAGCGGCCTTCTTTCCGTTCTCCTCGAGGGCGCGGTTCTCCGGTACCTCCGCGTTCTTCTGCTTGCTCTTCCTGGTCCTCTCCACGGAGCTTCCGCGCAGTTCTCTCTTCTCGATCTTTTTGCTCTTACTCTTCGGCATGCCGAGTTCGTAGTCCTCCTCGAAGTCCTCCTTCCTCTTCTTGTTCTCCTTGGTCTCCTTGGCCGAGCGCACGATCTCCGGCTCCTTCTTTTCCCGCTGCTGCTGCGTCTTCGCTTCCTTCTTGTTGCCACTCTTCTTCATCTCTTCCGCGACCTTCTCCTTCTTCGAGAGCACCTTCTTGCTCTCCGCCAGCAGTCGGTCCAGCTCCGCGTGTTTCTTCCTCTTCGACTTTATCACATTGATCTCATCGGATATTGCACCTTCGTTCTTCGCCTCCTCGAGCTCCTCCTCGAGTTCCTCCTCCTCGCTCTTCGCTCTCTTCGATTTCTTCTTCCCCTTCTTCTCTTTGGTCACTTTGGATTCAACCTCGCTCCGCTCCTCCGTCTCCTCATCCTCCTCTTCGGCTCGCTCCTTACTCGACTTCTCCGATTTGCTAGATTTCGACTTTTTGCTCGGTTTTTTGCTGCGCTTCCTCACACCGTGCTGCGTAGACGGCGAGGAATTACTCCTAGGTGGACACGGAAGAGACGGAAGACTCTGACGAGGCGACGACGGCGACGGTGGATCCTCCTCGCTGGACGACTCGGATTCCAAATATCGAACGACCGCTCTATCGAAAGCCTCCTTGAGATTAACGGCCATCTCCGTGTACTCTATTGAACGACCACCAAGAAAATTATCCACAAATTCTCTCGCGTCCGTTTAGTCTACTTCACGTGCAATTTTCATCTAACACCCTACGGATCTAGGATATACGCAATAAATATTCGAAAACATACGCTACCATTGTCAGATCCATTGTACTGCCTGCAGTTATCCACAATGAGTCGGAAGTCTCTCTTGAATTGACTCAGGGTCTTGTAAGATCCGCCGTCGAGTTTCTCCTCCATCGTGCTGAGATCCATCGGTCGCCGCACCACGCTGTAATACCTGGAAGAGAACACCCTGACTTGAATATCTCGAAGCAATAATTCCATCAGAAATAGAATCTTCATTGATATCAGAGGTAATACCAGAGAATAGGTCATGGAACTACCTGGGGGCGTACTCCTCGTCAACGGGGTCGACGAAGGGCCAGGCATCGACGTGATCCTTGATGCTCTCGAGCACCTTGTGCATGCCAACCCTGCGCTCCTCTTCCTCGTATCCGTATCCATATCCGTAGCCATAGCTGGAGGATAAGTAATCGGGTACTCCGTGTTTCCCGATGCCCTTCTTGTTGGCCGGATCCTCGACTTCGTCCCTCGTGTGGATGACGATCTGTCCTACGGCCGAGGCCAGGGAGTTGTTCGTCTGCCTGCCTTTCTTCTGGACAGGAGGCACCGAGCGCGGCTCGGGCACCTCTTCCTCGACCTGGATGTTCGCCTTCGAGGTCTGACCGGTCTTCTTTCCTCCTTTGTTGAGTTTGCTCTTGACCTTGGCCTTGACCATGACTGCCTTGGCTTGGCCGGCCGGTTGGCTACGCAGCACCCTGGAACTGTTCCTCTGCAGCAGTCTGTGCCTCTGTTGCTTCTCCTTAAGGTCGAAGAGCTTCGGGATCTCTGGCATAAAGTCCTCGGACAACGTGCGGTAGAGCTTGCGTTCGGTATCGTACTCCTTGAAGAGAGAAATTTACCTTTCCAGTGTGAACGCGCGGCATAGCTTCCGCGTTTATTCTAATTCGAACATTTTTAACGGCAAAAAGAAAAGGGAGAGCTCTTACCGAATTGCGAAATTTATCAACCAATCGACTCCAGTCCTGTTGACTAAAGCAAACCACTTGCCAGACGCTCTCCTTTCCTTCCTCTCGGTCTATTAAGCCACCTTCTTCCTTCTCCTCCTCTTCCTCCTCCTCCTCCTCCTCCTCCCTCGCCACTCTGTTCCGTCGTCTTTTACGTTTCCTGTCTTTTGGCTTGCCCTTTTGCTTCTGCGAGACGCTGTTGGAAGCACAGATGTAGTCCTCCCTGTACAGTCGAGTGCCGTAAAAGTACCAGTAGGCAGAATTCTTACGGTCATGACCCAATGGTTCGACTCGCAGACTGTCCGAGTCCAAGTTACTCAGTGATTGCTCCTACGAATGTACTTGTTATAACGACGTAACGTATTAATTATCCAAGAGACGAACGGTTCAAATACACACCACGTCCTCGGCGTCAAGCCTGAAGTCACAGAGAGCACGTAGAATTTCTACCTTCTGCCGCAAGGGAAGCAGCTCGAAGTCTACATCCGTATTGAATGGATTTTCGCACTTGTATTCCTAAAAGATGGAACCGTTACGGTAAACAAAGTAAAGAAGCACAAGAGAGAGGTAAAAGCAGATTTATAAACAAGTCGAGGTTTTGGCTTACCTGGCATTTTTTTCGAAAGAGTCTGCGCAGGAACATCTGATAATTGAACGTAGAAATGTCATTGCGAGTATCGTTGGGCAGGCAGCCCTCGAGCAGCCGTACTATCAATTCTTGTAAAAGGTGTCCCTCGGTGCCTCCGTCAGTTAATAGCGCCTCTTCTAAATCCTGTGACGATACATATATTAATTAATAAATATATTATCCTTCGATGAGAACGTCATTGAGGGTAGATTCTTCTAAACGTGTTCCCAAGATGAACCGTTCCCGCAGTCTCTTTAGAACCGATTTTGAGGAATCATCCCTTTGGGTAAATAAAAGCCGTGCATGAGAAGCGAGGTCCTGTGCAAAAGAATCAATGACATATCGCACTGTGTTGATACACGATATGCATTGATTCATGGCAATAATTGTTATAGCATGTGTGAGTGGGAGCTAACTTTTGGTCAGGTACCTCGATGTCAAAGTCCAGAAGATTGAAGGCGGCCCTAAACAACGAGCAGAAGTGCGCTATACTCGGCACCTCCCACCACGATTGTATGTCTAGAAAAGCGAATGAATTGTTCACACAAATTCGCTTTATACTTTTCGGACTAGAGATTGGTATGACTAGGTTAAATTGATTTAAAGTTCAATGACACTTTCATCCATTTATTGCCACTAAAAATCTGCCCCAAAATAATTCTTTCTAAGACGTATCTTTACAATGAACCCTGGTTTTGCTTTTCGACATTTGTTCGAGTACATGGCTTTTCATTTCATGGAGAAAACTATTAAACAATTCTTTAAGAAATGAAAGTAAAACTACCATTCACAGACTTCATACCGAATAAAATTCATCATCTCCAATACCTGAAAGGTTGGATATCCTTTCCTGGTAGACATCTTCAAAGAAAATTTGTATCAGCACATACTGCAAATTCTTTCAAAACAACTTAGGAAGTAAGTACAACTTCCTGCCTAACACTTGAATAAATTTAAATGCAGTCACTAGCCACAGATTTACAGTAGATAAAATGCAAGATATTAAAAAAAAGGAGAGGAATACATGTGTACCGGTAGAATCCAAAAAAGAATATATACGTAGTCTACCATATTGATAGCACCTGCCCCTCAATGCTAAATGCACCTGTTATCAATATCATCTCCTATTTTGTCAATACGCACCTAGAATCCCAATGAAAGTGGGAAACATAACCCGTTCTGTAGCGGGCAGCAGATTGTCAGAAGACACAGGATCAAACAAATCGCAGGGCTGAGTTATGCCCCGGTGTGCGTAAAGGATAACCCCTAAAGGGGTCGAGGACTAGCGTATCGTCCTCTTGGTCCTAACGCTTGCTCCAATGCTTCCCAAATCCTGTTTTTAACATATAATAAAATCTTCTATTTTATCTATTTCATAATGAATGTTACATGTAAAAAATCTTAACCACATAAATCCTTTGTGTCTACGAACCTGTGATACGCAATGCCTTAAGCTACCAAGAAAAATGATCAGCCTACTGCGCCTCCACATAGCTTAAGGTATACCATCCAGCTTTTAACTTTCCACTCACGGAAACCAGCTGAAAATCACAGAACACCGATAAAGAAAATTTGTTTAATCTTCACCCCACCTACATAAACGTGCCCTCACCTGAATATCATAAAAACACGTTCGAGCGATCCATGGGACAGAATTCCGAGACGAGTTTGCAAAAACATCTCGGAATGGAAAGCAAAAACTAGAAAATTTTACTTCACAGCACCCAGAACTGACTTAGTCTCGATGCCACGTAACCAGTGTTCATCGAGTAGCAGCTTAGAACTCCAGCGTAGCAAACACCTCGAGGAATGGCTCAGGGTTGACGATGTGGAGGCAACGAATCGAGCTGTTTGAGATGCACTCGGAGCCAGATGCCAGGATTTAACACGTCGCTAAGTTGTTGCTCGTGCTCGTGACCGTCCTCTGCGAGTCCTGTGCCGAACGAGCCTTGTTCAGATTCCGTTTAGCGGAGGTAACCCTCGGTCCGGGTGCCGATGGCGAAAAACACCGGGCTACTCACCCGTGGCACGCGACGCCCAGAGTTCCCGCGGAGGAGGGTCGACCGGACGCACTTCCGCATAGCTCGCTTCCGCGTCTCTCTGGGTGGCGGTCTCTTCGGCCGCGCGATCTCTTCCTCGTGGTAGGCGCTTTCGCCCCTTTCTCCCTCGCGGGGTACCGATTTATTTTGGCCCGACACTCCGCGGGCGGAGAGCGATGCGCGCGACACCCGCGACCATTCCACTCGGGAAACACTCCGGGGTCAAAACAACCACCAGCCTAGCCAAGCTCGCCGTCGACGGGGACGCGCGTCACTCGATTCGCGGTTAATCGCGATCCACAGGGAAACGCCTCGTATAAGACGTCCCTAGCGCGCTCGACGAAGAAACCTTCCAAACCCAGGCTGGGCTGCGGATCAGTGCGGATCGCGCGGAACTGATCGCGGGCGTAAACCCGGGAGCAGAGATGAGTTGGGAGATTGCTCACGGGCAGGGTCGCGCGATCGGTCTTGTGCTGCCCCTGGTGGTTTGTGCGGGCGGCTAACGTACTTGCCACCTGTTACCCCCAGTGGCGGTGCAACACATTTCTGGTGGGAGATCGTGCATCGCGATGGCGGTATCATCTAACAGTCGCCGCTAGCAACTCACGCATTCGTGATGCTCATACCCTGTGACCGTTAATGTAGAAAGACGCGGGAAGACGAGAGATCAATTTGAAGAGAACAACCTTCCCCATTGAGCTATTGTGGTCGCAGGTGGGAGAAAAATTCACTGGCGGCTGGGCAGCCCGAAAACCAGCTGAAGAAGTCATGGACCCCTCGCAAAAGCTTCAAATCCTGCGTCTGCCATCGCGATGCCGACTCCGAGTAAATTCGACTGTCGCTGCGAGCTTCGCGCGTCTCCCGCTAGATGGCCCCACCGGCGCGTCAGATTTGAACGAGAAGCTGAACGGGGAACGCGCTAATAACCGCCCAGCCGGTAATTTCTATTAAAATTGAGTTATTCCAGCGATGTGAGTATCGATCATATCATTTAACCGAAAAGCTTTTGCGAAGTACACGGACACTCGGCGACACGTTGGCGCCTGCGTTGCGTTTTCATTTGTCGCGGCATGTCAGATCCCCTAATCGGGTCTGTTCGAATGTCACCCATCGATAATTAAAAGAAAAAGCGGCACTCGCGTTTATTCCGGCGATAACCGAACCGTCCTCGACGACTCATGGGTCTTCCAAGACGTGTCCTTTGTAGCGGGAAGCCTCTTATGTTATGGTGAAACTTTCCTGGCTGATGTGCGCCTTGATCGTCGCCCTACTCTCGTGCGTCGCCCTGGAAGAAGAAACCAGACATCCTGGAGTTCATCGGCGTCAGCGTCGACATCATCATCGGCATCGTAGGCACCCGAAGAACCACCATCACCCCTTCCATATGCGAAAGAAGAGGTCGAATCCAAAACTGCAAAGAATCGAAGGCAACGCAACAGAAATTGAATTAACTTTAGATACTTCGTTAGAAACTACGATGAAATTTGTCGAAAACGGTTCAGCGCTTCCCTTGAATTCTTCAATTATAACGAGTTCGACTACCGAAAATGAAATGTCCTTCACGATTAGCGATAAAAATGGCTCGATGGGATCACTCCTCACGGTGGATATGGAAAATGTAACACTCGTGATGAACATTTCATCAACCACTGGGATTTCAGAGGATCTGGTTATGGAGAGAATTTCTGAGCCCCTCAATGATAGCGTTTCGCAATGGACAATTTCTACAGGCAATTATACTCGGAGTAAGGCACCCTTATTACATTCCCCCAAAAAAGGAACTACCGGAAATTATAGTTCTACAATTTCCACCTCCGGAATGGCTTCTGTAAATTATTCGAGTAACAACAACGAATCTACGTCCACGTTGGTTTATTCATCTACTTCGAGCAGTCTCGAGGAGAAGTCGTCCTTGGAAGACCTCAGCAAACTCTTCGGCGTCATTGATACAGTTAATGGTGGAGAAAATGGATCAGAAGTCCCCGGAACGGTTCAGATTCGGAAGAAACGTTCGACGTTGAAGACATCGAAGGTGGGAAAAGGGACTCTTCAAGATATGCAAGGTCCTTCGATCCTCGGAGACGAAGAGGACACGTTGGACATGGATAACTTGGTTCCACACATTCGCGTAAAGAGGGACAAATTGGAAAATGAATACGCATCATTGAACGATAATCTCGCTATAAACAACTTAGCTGATAAGTCATCCTTGCAGGTTCGTGTTCGAGATACCTATCTCGATGATCTAGCAGATTCTTTCCCCCGGAGCAAAGACGGAGTCACCTCGAGCGAAGTCGGCTCAAAGAGCAAACGACTCGACGATATTTCCGAACGAATCGAAGAAAAGAAGAAAGTATGCGGGAGAAAGGTGGAGGATCACGCGGCGAACTTGAAGGACGAGCTAGATATTCACCCTAGCAGATTAAGTAACATGGAATGTGATGAGCACATTCGAAAGAGCAGAGACAATTCCAGAGTGTATCCTGAATCGCTTTCCATAGACGAAGTCAATAACGTATCCAGTAACGAGGAAAACGAAGAGAACCAGGGAAAAAGAGTTGTCAGCGAATTATCGTCGAGAAACGACGAAGATTTAATCCCCTATATCGGGGATAACGAAATAATCGAGTCAATGTTGTCCAAAGTCGACTATGAAAATCCCGAACAAAGTTATGTCTCCAATCAGGGAAGTGCCTCTTATCGAAAGACGTCGAAACGCGATTCGGATAGAATAGAAAATGAGCTTAGGAGCTCTGACGAGTCCTCGAGGAACCTGAACCAAATCGTGGAAGACATCAGGAATCTGAAAAGAGTGCTGTCGAAGGTTGAAGAAGGGTCTGGGCTGAGCGAAGAAGAGAAGTCTTTGCTGAGGCGATACAGGAACGTTCATGAAGAAAGTCCTTTGAATGATAAAGACCGGTACAAGAGGCGACTGATATCGGGAGGGCGAAGAAGTAATGTCGGCTCGAGAAGGAAGATAATCATATCAAAGAGGCATAAAGAGAGGAAAAGTGGGCCCTCCAAGCACAAAAGACACCTCAGGAATAATCAAGCGTCCAGAAGTCTTGCGGAAGAAAACCGAAGGCAGAGGAAGGTCGACGACCTAGAAGTCGTGGGTGATCTTCATGTGGAGTCCAAGATGGAGAAAAGGGACTCGAGTGATGGCAGATCGGAAGTCGATATCGCCAGGAGAGACCTGGGTAGGACCATGAAACAAGCTCGGAACGAAAGAAGCCCAGAAAATTCGGAAGACGAACAGGAGGTGATTTCACCTCACGACGGAAGACCACGGAGAGAAGTCGAGAACGACGAGGACGATGGAGAAGAAAAGAAAGATGGAGACCCCGAGTCTAGTTTAAAGGACCCTAAATTAGCGGATAACAGTTTGCCCAGAGCAGCAGCGGCTCTAAGAAGTGCCATTCACGGGGGAGGTCCACCTTCTTCAGGGGATAGCAGGGTTTCTTCGGACAAACCGGGATTTCGTCGAGTGAAAAGATACCACGAGGAAACCCACCCATCCCAGAGCACCAGTGACCAAGAATTCAAGTTCTACGAGGACGTCCGGGAGCCGGAATCAACTTTGAGCCAACATCGGGAACATCACCCATCATTGGTGGAAGAAGGACGATTCCTTCGCGGAGATCGCGCTTCCAGATCCGTGGAGGAAATAAAGGAGCTGGTGGAGAAACTGGTGGCGAAAGTCGACGAACTGCAGAATTACATCAGCGGGGGACACGCGGACAGACGAGAGAAGAAGGGACGCAGCAACGGAGGAACTTCTCGAAGTAACATCACGGAGGACAACTCAAGACTCGCCGAGAACAGGAACGACTCTTCAGGGATCATAGAGGCGGTCAAAGTCGATCCAGGATCGAGGGAGGAAATGGCTATTGATCACCCGGGGAAGGAAAAGTCGAAAAAAGTGGAAGTCGATCGTCCGATCCAGACCAGACCAGCGAGGACCTTGGAGGGTCGCAAGCCCCGAAGAAGACGGCGAGGCCGAAGAAAGTTCCACCGGAAGTGGGACAAGTGGACCGACTGGAGCAGCTGCAGCGTCACGTGTGGAAAGGGCCGACAAATACGCTGGCGACATTGCATCCACGACTGCACAGTGGCAGAAACGGAAATGGAGGAGAAAACCTGCCAACTGCCTGCCTGCGCGCCTGGGAGGTTCCTAGGATTATTCTAGGGAATTCATTTTAACCGACTGAGAGCCTCAGCCGATCAAAATGGAAGTATTATATCTAAAGTTAGGGACGACTTGTCGCTAATAAAGGCTTCCATCCTTTCGTATTGTTTAATGCCTTTCTCCAGGATAAAACCCCTCATCCTGTGGATCTAATAACCCCGGCCTCTTCCGGGTGGAGGCGCCCGACCATCCCTCCCTAAACCCTTAAACCCGCGAGGAGCTCCCGGCAGCCTGGGCGGTTAATCGCGAGGAGGCGAGAGGAATTAACGCCAGGCAGCGGCGGGAGCGTTTCGCCGGTAATATGTGACCGCAGGAATAAGGGATAAAGCGAACAAACGTTAGCGCCTTGGGCGAGTTTCCATGGTTACGGCGAACTCAATATCCGCCGTTGGCCGGCGGCGTAGCTGGCCCCGGGCTGTCATCCCTCGAACCCGCCGAGCGGGGCCGAGCACACCCGAGCTTAGCCGAGCGGGGCCGAGCGGTGCGCTGCCTGATTATATTCCATTTCTGTATCGCCCGGGGGCCTTCAGCCCGGTCCTCAATACCCGACACGTGAAGTAGCCTTTGGCGTCGACGCCGAAGACAGTTTGAAATTTGAGGATCCCGGCGCTGGGTAACCCGAGGGGCCCCCTAAAGTCCCCTTCTGCTCTCGGACTTGGCCTAACGGTCTTTTATCCGGGGACTTTGCCGCGGGGCGCCATCTGTGCGGCCATAGATGGAGCCACTGGCGTCGCGGCCCACCGGGAGCGCACCTGTAAGGTTTATGCGATTGTTATGTAAATCCTATGTTGATCCGCTAGTCGTGTGTACGTTCTACGTGCAGGTGGTCCGTCAGGTTCGGCGCGTCCGGAAACGCACTGGTCGCGTCGAGGGACAAGATGGCGGCGAGGATCCGTGGATCTATGAAGAAGCACAAAGCGTATTTCTTTCATCATAAAAATCGCAGATGTCGGCAAGTGGCACCCACGACTCGCCGTTTTCCATTAATTTCTCCATAAATCCAGCGATCCAGAGGATCCTCAGCGGTGAGGTCAACGCAATTATTTATTTCGTTGTTTCGCGGCTCACCGAGTACATAAGAATCGCTACGCGGCGCTTTCCTGGGTATTTACAGTGGGTAGTATGGCGATTTAAATACATAAGTACACCTTAAATAACAGAGTACTGGAGGGTATGATAGCAAGGGGACACGCAGGTCACCGAGCAGCCATTGCCCTGGACAGGAAATTCGTCGATCTTGGTCAGTGCCGGAAGCCAGAAGTGGAAGAGGTCTCCCACCAACGTTCCCGACCCTGAAGACCCCTAGGAAGGCGATGCAACGTCTGCATTTGGGGTATCCTGGGCGTCATCACGGGCGTCATGACCAACCAAAATGCATAATCCCCAAGGGGTCCACTTCCAAACGAGTTCCTGCTGGACTCCGGGTCACCTTTCGCTCCTGGACGTCCCAAAGTAGTCAGACCTGCTGTCCGTTCTAGGTTGGTCTGGTGACCTCCCAAAGTATTTCGACCACCTCTCGGCTGGCCACCCGCGAACAGTATCCACGTAGGACGCAGGAGGCGCCCTCACTCGAAGTCCGAGTCCTGGTGGAGGCGCGGCGACCTGGACGCCTTCCTTGGTGGCGAGGGCGTGTTTCGTCAGGTGTTGACGGACTGCCTAACGAACAGGTACTCCGAGAACTGCTGACCCTCGACGCCGCCCCCGTTGCTGGCCACCACCTGGAAACCTGCGTTCAGCAACCTGGTGATGGCCTGGACGGAGTTGAGCTTGCAGTAGCCGTTCAAGGGGAAGCGTATCACGTGGCGGGCGTCTTGCTGGTGCCAGGCGACGCCCGACCTGGCGTCGATCACCGCCTGCGTGGTCTCGGGGAAGACCTCGTCCAACAGGGCGCGACCACCCGACAACATCACCCGTTCCCCCAGGTCGGGACTGACGTGCAGGGCCACGCATTCGTAGCTCTCCGTACGTTTGTCCAGGTCTCTGTTTGCTGTCCCACCTGACCCCCCGCGACTCATCTGATTGGCTGGAGGACTGGGAGGTGATATCAATCCGGACCCGTTTTTCAGTCGCTCCTTCTTCATCTGCTCGAGCTGCCTACACATTGCTGAAAGAAGAACCAGAAACTCAACGGAGGTTATCGATACGAAATATGTCCCGTGATAAGAAAATCCTGCAATCGAGTGCGGCCTCGAGAAGGGTCAGATCGAGTGAACGAAATGATTTGATATCAACGGCAATTAATTTAAATCGATATGAATTTTTCTTCTCGGCTAAGTAATCGTTCCTTGCGGTTATTACGGGAGAGTATGGGAGTCAGCCGGTACTTTCTAAGTTCAAGGTACGTTAAATGCATAGGTATTAAATCCTTACGTGCGATGTCGAAGTACCGAGCCTCCTCCAACAGCAGGTCGAGGTCGACGAAGTTCTCAGGGATGAGGAGCCGGGAGTTCCTCATGAAGTTCAGGATGTGACGGAACATGCCGCCGTCTCTGTCGATGAAGTAGTGCTGCTTCAGCGAGTCCAGAACGATGGGAATGCTGCCGTTAAACAGTTTGGCGAGCCTCGACTCCGGATACCTGGAAAACCGAGGGAACAATTCTTAGGAGATGGTTAGCGGCGTTTCGCACGGCGTGCTGCCGCTCCGGGCTGCGGTTTATCGTCCCAGGGCCGAGCCAAGTCGGAAGCGCGGGTCGGGGCTGCCGATCGGCGCAGAAAATCCGACCTCGACCGCTCGATCGATCCCTCGGAAACGACGGACAATGCGGCACTTTTGCGGGGAATTCCACTCGGGGAGATTCCACGGACGGGCAGGTGACCGAAACATCGGCACCTGCTCGAATCGCTCGGAGTTACGGCGCGCCTCGAGGCAGGCGGCGCTTCGGCTGCAGCTGCTACTGCCACAAATTTTCCAACGAATCGACTACCATCTACCGACTGTGGTTCGGTAGATAGCTAGATACCTAAATAGGTACCTACCGAACCATCTACTGCCAGGGAAGCCCGATCAAGGACGACACTTGGTACCGGTACCAACGCGAAGACCTGGTCCCACTTCGTCCCCCTGGTGAACTCTTCCCTCCAGGAAGCAGCGTCCCCCGGGTTGACGTTTTCCCCGGATAGAGCGAGGGGACCCAGCAGGGCCCAGCTACCGAGTTTCATTCCCGAGTGTACCCACTCGACACGTGATAATTTATTCACCCAACACCCGTCCATCGAGAGTCCCTGGGGTCGGTCCTTAGGCGGGCCCCTCGACGTCCCGAAACCCTATCCGCGCAATTTGGGCCCCTTTGGGTGGCCAGGCTCGCCTCGACCCAGAAAACGCGAATGGGCCCGCGTGGGTCCCTTTATTACCTTAAACACCTCGAGAGAGACACCCGAGGCAGGGAAGGCGATCCGGGGTCGGAGAAAGCCAGAAGGCTCGCCGGGTCCCGGTCGCTTCTCCTGGCAAGTCGGACACCTCGGGCCCCCCCAGGGTCGTCTTTTTCACCTTTTCACGCCGGCGCACGCAACGATTTGTTACAATCTCGGTGCGGCCGGTTAAGCGAATCCCTTACCGAGAAAGGCAGAGGTGTCGAGCAGTAAAACCGCGATCGCGCCGAGATGGCTCGCAAGGTCGCCGGGAGATCTCACGTTCGTTCGGGTCCGTCCGCGGAAACCGTGACCCAACTTAAGCACGTCCATCAAAATTCTCTTCCTTAACCCCTTAACGCGCGACTACGTATTCGACTGGGTTCTTCGAGTCCTGACGAATACTTGGCCTTTGGTACGAACTTCCAGAGATTCTCCCGTCACGATGCCAAACGATTCCCAATATCGAATTTCTACGGGAAGGGTTAAAACCCCCTTTGGAGTAAAAAACGAGGGCCAGTCTCAAGGGAGTTCCTCTCGCTTCGACTCGAGTGCGGGCCCGGGCCCACCCACCTTTCCCATATCTCCTGCCTCGCGGTCGGGCCGGTGCAACAAAGTTGCAGGGCCGTTGCCAGAGGGTGGGATAAAAAAATTCGCGGTATCGCGTGCGCTACCGTAGCCCAAGGTCGTTCCCTGGGCAAGCGCGCGTCAGTTTGCATGCGGCGGAGACGCAAGTGCGGCAAAGAGGCCGCGTCAGCGGGGCAAAAGGGAGCGCTGGTCCACGGGGAGCGACCGAGAGAGACGGGGCTAGGGGGAAAAAAAGAGAGAAACTCATTATACCTCGGTGCGTTATGGCACAACGAGGAATACCCGGGGCAAGTTCCCATACCTTCCCTCGCGATAACATATAATAACGCCCGCGCGCCCGGGGGCGCTCAACTTCCACGGGAGGGCGAGAGAGAGGAGACGCGGCCGTGGGAGAAGGAGGGGAGGTGGAGGAGAGGAAAAGAGAGAGAGAGAGAGAGAGGAGCGCACACCTCGCGGGGACCCAGGAGGTGGATGCACGACGGTGCCCGGTATATAGGTGGGTCAGTTAAAAAGCGAGAAAGCGAGGAAGCGAGCGAGACCGCGAGGAAGAGAGGGACGCCCAGGGTGGAGGGGCCAAGGGGGGACGGAGGGGGATAGAAGGGGCAGGAAGGGGCAGGAGAAAAGGAACGACGAGGAAACGGCACCGGGGGCGGAGGACGAGAGCCGTGATTACCGCGGGGCATCCCGGGCCCCCGTCCGGGGTCCGATCCCGGGTCAGATCCGCTCGCTATGGGAAAACGCTAAACGATCGGCTCACATCACTCCCGATATTCCTGCTCTCCTTTCGTCCATACGAGGGAGACGGGCACGCGCGTCTACGTGCATCCTCCTCGCGGCCTTGGTCGGGGCCTTTGGCAAATTACAGCCCGGACGTGCCGGGCACGGGCCCTTCGGGGACTACGTGCCGCACCAGGACCTGGACGACGTCGGGAGATGTCGGAAGGTGTCGGACGTTGTTGGAGGATATTGGATAAAGTGAACGGGGACCGAGAGGACTCGGAGGTCGAAGCGTAACTCCCGGAGGAAGGTCCCGAGGAATACCGATTCCGGGTGGATAAGTGCCCAGGACGCGTCCCTCGTCCCCTTTTCGGAACCACCTCCGGCGGCGGCTGCCTCGCTCCCGGTCGGATTTATGCGCTCGTGACAACCGAACGGGTCAAACGCGTGCACGAGTTACGGTTTCGCTGAAACGCCCCATCGGGACGCAGGGGAGTGTCGGAGAAAGGCCCTCGCGGAATCGGGGGACGTTTAAGTACAATCTCGGTGGACGAGGCGTTGGCGAAATCAGCCCCGGGTGACGCCGCCCGTTCGACTCGACGAAACCTCGTACGCGAAGACAGGCCTCCTGGGAAATGGCACTTATATGTCGGCTCTACTCGCAGGGCCAGGGATTCGGTACCCGCGAAGAGATCCCCCGGCTTCCAGGTGAGACACCGAGAAGGACGGTCTCACTCCAGAGGACGCCACGAAAGTCCAGGACAACCCCAAACCGGGACCAGGCGCCAGGTCTTCCTCCCTCCCGCCGACCCCTTATCGCGCCTCGTCGGGACCTAGGGTCAACATTGCGGAATCGAATTGCGCAAATTGCGGCCCGAGAGCCCGCCGACGGCCTCGAGTGACACCGTTCCCTGGCCGCGGTCTGTCCGCGAGTTCCTCGCCGGCCAGGGCGCACGCGCGGCCGATAGAATCTGGAATGCGATCCGCGGAGTTACTTTCAACAAAACAATAAGGTCAACAGCATGTAATGAGGGAGGAAGGCGCAACGGAGCATGACTCGGAGCGGTCGTTGCGGCCGGCAAGGCAGCTCTCCAAGGACCGACGCGGACGCCTTTCCGCGCGACACGTTCCGCGATATCGCGGCCGCTCGATATATATCTCGATAGGCCGATTGGCCGGCAATCAACGAACGGGCCGATCGATCGCCGACCCCCGATCGACCGGCTAGAGGGACGTGGCCAATCCGCAACAGGTGCCCCGCAGCGGATCGGACGCCGCCACCTTGCGCGTCTCCTGGCGGCGGAGCGTCTCCGAGCTCTCTTTTATTCCTCGACGGTCGTTCTCGAATTCCTCAGATTTAATATTGACCCAAAAGGTGTCGATCGGCCACGGTTCCGCTGCGGATCTTGTAAACGCCTCCTCGTCGATAGACGACCGGGGAAAACGGCCGCGATTATCCGGAATCAGGTATCAACAACGACGGATCGCAATTTTCGCCCGGTTAATGGCGCCGACGACAGCCACGCGGAATGGCCGTCGTTTAATCTCCGAATTCACGGGCAATTTCCTCCGGGATGACGACGCCGATGACGCCGTCCTCGGAGAGGGGAAATTATTCGAAATTGCGACCTCCGCCTTCCGACGAAACGGCGAGTTCGGAACGGCGCTCCGATGAAATGGGAAAAAGAAAAAGAGTACATCGAATATAAAATTTCGAGTCGATGTCTCTACATGCAGGGAAGACAAAGACGTAATTCCGGATAAAAGAGTGTCAGTCCGCACTCATCGAGTGTACCTTGAAAGATCCCTCCCAGGAGCGCTAATTAAACCTATAAAGACATTACGATCGCAGGAACGATCCCAGGCAAAATCTCTCTTGAAAAAAAAAAAAAAAAAAAGATAATAAATTCTTCATAAAGTACGGAAATGAAATAAAATGTAGGATCGGCTCGAAGGCGATGTTAATCCGGAATTGCGGCCGTCGTCGGCACTCTTCGAGGATATACCCTGGCGTATCCCCACCAGGAACGGCGATACCAAGGCGGATATTAAATTTTACCACGTAGACCGTCTCCCGCGGGAGTAATCCGCGGATTTACCCTACCGGATTTACTGCACGGATGGATTCATCGAGGTAACGGTACCGGCGACATATCCCACTCCGCGAGTACCCGGACGATAAATCGGCTCGGCTCGGTACTCACTTGGTGAGGGTCTCCAAGGAGGAGGTGTATATCGTCCCGCCGACGTCTATGTGCACCGGGGCCGTGTAACGGGAGGCCGCCGCGACGCAGGGGATGCCCGTCATCTTCTGGTTGTAGGCCGGAGGCGCTGGCGCCGGCGGGGTCGGCGAAGAGGAGTTCGACATCGTCGGCGATGTCGCTGGCGAGCTGCTTGGCGATAGCAATCTGACAGAGATACTTTCAACATTAGCCGCCATTAGGTCGGTCCTTGTCAGCGAGATACCCGAAATTTCAGAAGAGGACCCTTCCCCCTGTTCGCCCTGAGCGCGAAGGAAGCGGTCCTCGATATTCGTCATAGTTGTCGCGGACAATTGACAAGGGAGAAGTAATCCCGAGTCTGGACTAATTGTTCCTAGGTGGAAGAAAAGTGATTCTCACCTCATCTTAATTTGAGCGCTAGGGAACATATTGCGTTGGGTCGTCAGCTCGGTCTTCGCCTCCTTACCGTCGGCCTCACATTTCCGCCTGCAATCAGACGTCGTCGGAAACACTTCAGTATTACATTTAACATACCCGGCGCGCACTTTATATGCAACGAGCCCGTCCTACACGTACCCCGGCGCATCCTACGCGCGTCCAATACCACGCGATCACGACCTAACGCCTCTCAGCGATCCCTCCCCATCCTGGGGAACATCCTCACCTATTCCCCGAGCTCACCTCGTGTCACTTATTTTTGCCCCTCGATCGAATCCCCCCCCACGCGTTACTCTGTTGCAATACCGTAAGCCCCTGCAAGTCCCGAGACATATAAATCGAAATAAATCCGTATTAATCGTCCCGCGCTGCGGTTCGGATAAAATTGCGCTGCGTGTCGATAAAATTTCTCCCCGGGTTATCAGGGATTGCGGGATCGCGATTAAAATCTCTACCCGTCCAGGTAGGACGGAAGACTCGCGTGGACAATTATCCGGGAACGTGGGAAGGGAGATATACGTGGATAAAAAAAGCCTCCGCTGTTGCATCTTCGAGACTACCGGTTGCACCTCGGACCCTGAAGAGCCCAAGATATTAACCCGCCGCTCGCCCACGTATGCAGATCTTCGCTGGATATCTCAAATACGTCGTAAACGTCCGAAAGACATCCCCGACTCTCCCGGGATATCTCTTCGAGGCCTTTCTGCCGTGGCATTTAAATTGCACACGGCGAGTTACGATTCCCGGGAGGATCGTTACTTTTTCAATGTGCACACTTTGTGCGACGATGACGCGACCCTCCTCCGGGCTTACTGCCGGCTTTTCGCTTTTTTACCCCTCCGTATTGTTTACGGGAACTTGGCCTGTCTGGCTGATAAATATTTATAAGATTAGCCCCCCGCCGGTGGACTTTAACGGCCGGCGCGTCTTGCAAGTGCAAGCGGCGATTCCCCGGATGCACCGCCGAGATGCAACTGGCAAATTGTTTCCGTTTACCTGGTTCCGTCTTTTTCTTTCACCGGTATACCGAAGTCTCTGGATGACATCCTCCCTGCCCTCGCTTAAAATGGACGCCTTGGCATTTAATTCGGCGACGGGCGGACCCACACGTAGATTAAAAAAACGCGGTAGAAAAAAAAAAATATATATATATATACATAAAAAAGGCCCAACGAAAGGAACCATCCCATGCCGATTCGCGCTCGCTCCCGCGGCGTTCCGGGCGGCGATTCTTTTTTTTCTCTCTCTCTCTCCAGAATTTGCATATTCCTGAAAGTGGCCAGGGATTATATTTATTGCCCCGGGAGCGCGCGCGCGGCGCGCCGGGGAAAAGTGCATAAATAAAATTGCACGACGGGCCCGCGGTGAAAGTCGAGCCTATTTCGTAACCTCGAATCCTTAGGTCCCGTCCGGGCGATTTTCCCCATTGGCTCGATCGGGAGGATCGAACCAGGAGAGAGGAAAATAATAATACAAAATGAGGAAAAAAAAAAAAAAGAAAGAAATTCGACGCTATCGTCTCGAGTCCTCATGAACGATGGGCCCGAAATCGGGGCCCTTCGGGGGCCGCCCGCGACCCCGCGCCGCCCTCCGGTATTATCCGCATTTAAATAATATCCGCGGTGCGGCAAAGCGCGGCATTTTCGAATTTGCATTCACACACGAGTGGCCCGGGGCGGCGAGTGTCCTCAGACCGGGGCGTCGGTTCCTACCATTACGGAATGCGACTTGGCCGGGCCCGAATATAGGCGGTCCGCGTGTGGGTTCGGCATACGCGAAAAAGGACCTACACGTGTATGCAGGCCCGAGAGCCTATACAAGGCGCGCGCATGCGCACTCGAGGGCCCGCGGCCGCGTCTACCTGGTCCAGGCTCAGCCTCCGGGGGCCGTGCACTCCGGCCCCCTCGCTCGCCCGTCACGGCCGCTGCGGCCGCTGCGGCCACCGTTACCGCCTCCGCGACGTGGGTATACGTGGACTAACGTGCGCGGAAATCGTGCACTTTTCCAGGGAAATGGAGCAACGGATGGAAAAGCACGGAAATCGTGCAAGTTTACGTTGAAATGCGGCGATAGATGGAAAAACACGGAAATCGTGCACTTTTACGTTGAAATGCGGTAATAGATGGAAAAGCACGGAAATCGTGCACTTTTACATGGGGAAATGGGATTCTTAAAATATTGACATGTTCATTTATACATTCATTTAATCGTCTATTTATTAAAAAATATTTTGGCACTCCTAAAAAATAGTTGCCTAATTATCCATTAGGCACTCTTAAAAATTCCGCTAAATAGCCTCTTTATACCATACTCGTTGAATTCATCTAAAACGTTCAATCGTTAATTTAGTATTTGTTTGCAGTATTCGCAATGCGCGAATGATTAAACAATAAATTTTTTAGGAGCACTCCTGGATGCAGGGAAGTGGAAAAATGGCTGCGGAAAAATTGTTACGAGGGAAGGAGGGACGTTAATATTTTTCGGAGGCGACGCAGGCCCCGAGTGCAACGGCGACCCGCGCCGCGACGAGAGCCGCGTGCATTCTGCATCTCCTGCGGCGATCGGAAGAGAGAGAACCAGTCTTATAGTGGTGAAAATAATGGCCGAGCTAAGCCCTTCGTCTTGGCTTGACAGAACTTTCGGACGCCTCGCGCGTTTCGCGTCCCCGGCCGAGAGCCACCCGGGAACCTGGCCCGAGGCTGCGGATGGGACGCGGCCGGGGACGGGTAGGTCCGATGCACTTCTTCGGGATGCCCTCGGAGATGCATCGGAGTAACGAGACTGCAGGATCTTACGGTACCGTGAAGAGTCTCCAGGAATTTCGTCAAGAAATTCCCCGGGTGGATCGGTACCGAGAAGTGGAGAAATGACGGACACGGTCGAATCGAAGAAGAAGAGGAAAAAGAACGGAACGGCGCCCCGAATGACATCCCGGGAAGGATATCAGAGAATACGTCGAGGAGGTACGCCATTGGCGTCGATCTCCGAGGAACGGCGCAAAACCGCGTGGGCGAGCCAGAAGAGGAGCCCGAAGAGGAGCTGCCCCGAGGGAGAGCGCAAGGCGATAAATACTTGTCACTTCGTTCCCGGGTTTGATTCGACGTCCCCAAGTCCTAAGCGAATCCTTTACCGATATCGCTACCTGTCCCACACCCGAGTACACCGGTGCACGCACGAATGCACCGACCCCTCTCCACCTCCTGCGGTACCCAGCAAAACCCCCTCTCCTCCCTTCGAATTAAAATAAAAAACCCTAAAAAATAAAACATCCAACCTAAACGCTTTCTAATCCTCCTTCCTCGCCTACCTCGCTCTACCTCGCGCCAAGTGCACCGACGCCCCTCCGTTTCATCGACCCCCTTTTTATCGATACTTCCAATGTCCCATTCCTTCGGTGTCTCCCCTCTTATTTGAAATCATCTAAAACTCGCATTATCGGTTTTCAATATCAAGGGACGTGATATCGGTGCCCGATAACGTGGGCGCGGTGGTGGAGGCCATTTATATTCGCTTTAAAACCGATCCCGCCGTCGAAGGGCCTTAATGGCGCGTAAAGGCGAGGTGCTCTTTGTTTATCGACCGGCGCTGTAAAACGCGGAATGACTTCATTGTCAGTGCGTGGTAGGCAGCGCGAACTGACAGCGGGACTATAAACCTAACGAGTCATCTCCGCGGGTCGACTACCGGGGCCTCATTAAGTCTCTATCGCAAGAGTCATCGGCTGCTCCCACTTTTGTGCCGTCTCGAGCCCCGGCAAGACTCTAACTCTCGTCGAGAAACGTCGTTACGACGTTCCTCCCGGTCGCACGCGGGCACTCCCCGATGCACTTGCAAAAATTACACACCTTAGCGTGCACTTGCTCTGTCCCGCTCTAAAGTCCGCCGGGTGGAGGTTACGCGATATCGAGGAAAGTTCACCTGCATCGCGTCGGGATTTCTGCACCGAAGGAAGGAATAAAAAAAAAAATTAGGGAGAGGGAGAGATTAGAAATTAATTACGGCAATCGAGATATTCCTTGTCGATGAAATCCCTTAATCGAGAAATAAATATTTAGCTAATTGAAGTGCTATACTTTGGCGCCGTTCGTATGTGCATTTTAAAATGTATCTGGCGCGAGACTCTACCTTCCCTCACTTTTTCACTTTAGTCGCATGTGGTGGACGTATTAATGGGTTGTATCATTTTTCTTTTTTTTTTTTTATGAAACGGGGCAATTGACTCAGTAGGTGATATAGGAGAAACGGTTGCAGAAAAGAGTTTCTCAATTTCCAATACTTGATTCTCCGCAATATACGCGCCGGATGTAATTTAGCAAAATTGCATCGCCCTTGTTTCTCATTTTAATTTCCCCGGTTTCACCGGAGGCTCGTAAATCCTCGAAATTTTATCGGCGCGCCGAAATGAAGGATTTTACGATCCGCGGAAAGATGGCGGCCGGAGGAGGGCCCGCACGCGGAACGCGTGCGCTCTCGCTAAACCGCCCCATAAAGTCGCCTTTAATGGACCCCATGAAACGCGGTTTCCGCAGGTTCCACCGCGGCACACCCTCGCGGAATAAGAGGCATTGCCCGTTATAGGGACGCACACGAGTGGGATTTATTATTCCGCGTGCAATTCCGCACGCGCGGGCCCTTATTGCGGCGAATTAAAGCCCTGATTTCCGCGGTGGTCCCGGAGAGAGAAAGAGCGGTCCTGCACGGCCGAATTTAATGCACTCGCCAAATTGCCGCGGTCGCCGCTTTGCGGTTTACGGCGGTAAAGACAGCACGAGTCGGCGTAAACCCGACTAACATCGGTAATAAAATATCTCCATTCGGTTTATTAATCATTCATAAACGAAGGAATCTCACAAATCCCACCGCAAAGAGAAGCCCCGCCAACCCTACCCGCCGACGATCCGCATAAATGATAAAATCGCCCCCCAAGTGAATTAATATTAATTTCCAAGTGAATTAACATACTTGTTGTGCGTTGTGTGAAATAACATACAATACTTGTTGTAAGCACCTCGAGATAAAAATTCCATTTAACCAAAGAAATATTTCCT